TTGTTTATTTTTTTGTAATTATGAGAGGTTGATTAATCATTTTTATTGTGGAGGGTGTTAATCATAGATATTATCATCTTCATTATTTTAATTTTTAGAGAAATACATGAAACAGTTTCATTAATTTTAGAGAAATACATGAAACAGTTTCATTAAGTATTATATAAAACAATTTCACAACCATATATGAAATAACTTGATCAAAAAAAGTATTATATGAAACAATTTCACAAGATTAAACAATTTCATGAAAAAATTTCATAAGATTAAACAATGAAATCGACGGATGAAGGTAGTTTGCACGGTTTACACAAATGAGGGCGATTTTTATTTGATCACCCCTCTATATATATAAAGTGAGAAAATTAACTGAATGTGATATACATAAGAAATATGGATAAGTTGTTTCAAATGGTTGATGACGAAAAAAGAAATTATGATTAGAGAAATAACATATTCAAGGTTAGAAAGATTTTTAATGTACCAAAGTATCAGTCTGACTAACCCGATCAACCCGTACGGGTTGGGTTGGGTTGCACTTTGGTTTAGGTTGAGTTGAGTTTTCAACCTGATCAACCTAACCCATGAGCACCCCTAATGGTAATCATCTTCCAAAAATAAAACATGATTATCTCCCTAAAATAAAAACAAATTGTTTCAAAATTGCCCTTCATTTGATTTAATTTAATTTAATTTATTTTTCATTATTTTATAATCTCATATCTAACAATAACCATTAATAAAAATTAATCAACTCAGATGAATTTATAAAATTAATATTATTTATTTGATTAACAAATAATTAATATTTAAATCTCACATTCATATATCCTTAAAAAAACACCAATGTAAATAATTTATTGTGTAATTATTTGCCTTGTAGACAAAGGCTATGAGGATGGCCAATAGCTTTTCAAAACTTGGCAAAGGTTTATTTTTTATTAATATTCTCGAAAATTGTATTTTTGTCCTTTTGTGTGGGCCGCCAAGTATTTTCATAAGCAGTGACGTCATCATATATCTCTAAAATACCTTTAAGTGATGAAAATATTTGATTTCTGACCCCTTTTTTACTCTTTAATACTAGATGGTCCCTCATCCTTGTTAATAGTCCGTTTAGGTCCTTATTTAACCTTTTTTTTTTGTAAGGGTGTCCAGGTCAAAGCCCGACTAATCCCCGGCAAATTTGGAGGCTAAACATGGCCCCACTTAAATGTCACCAACACTCCCCTCCCAGGGCTCGAACTCGGGTTCATGACTATGCCATGTCCAAGCCTTTACCACTAGACTGGAAGGTCTTTGACCCTTATTTAACCTTTCTCGATCCCTTTTTTTCGTTCTATTACGTAAATCATTCACACCGATCCTGACGTAGGTTTGCTCAAATTTATTTGAAGTTGTTTTAAAGTCGTTTGTTTTTCATAGTGATCAAATTATGAAATACTTGCAATTAAAAGATTCTTAACTCAATTTTATAAGTCGAAATAAGAAAATATTGGTTGGTCAGTATATTAGTTTGTGCAGTATTGGATGGATGTACAGGTTTTTACAAGGAGACTTGTTATATATACTGAATTAACAATGTGTATATCCAATCTTGCTCGAATTAACTTCAAGATCATTTAAATGTATTTAGTTCATCTCTCTGTCTCTCTCTATCTCTGCGATTTAAAAATTACGATTTTTGCCCAAATAATTTACAATTTATTGTTATTTTTGTTCCTAGACGAATTCCTAGTTTCCTACCTTACAAGGGTCCAAAACAGTAAATAATTGTAAACCATAAAGACTAAGGGGTTGTTTATTTGCGGCTTAATTAGGCTTATTGGTCTATCTGACTTATTCGCACAGTTCATTTGGGTTGTTTACTTACGGCTTATTCGCATAAAACATGGCTTAATCGCACAAATAGAAATGGTGTGTTGTTCTCATTCAGCCACAAAAATGGCACCACTACCCCTTATTTAAAGTATCGTCTCCTTCCCAAATGAGACACCCCATCGTCAACCTCTTTAAGATTTTTTGTTTTGATGTTCAAATAATTAATATTGGGAGGTAAATCGGTCATTTATGTTATTCAGATTGTTGGTTCAGATAAAAAAAAGTAAACAATACCACCCATTTATCCAGACAGACAAATTTATTCATACAAGACTTGATACAAAATTTGGTAAACAACCCCTAAAACAACGATATCATAAGAACAAAACTAACAATAAATTATAAAGACAAAAACCATAATTTTTAAAGCATAAAGACAAAAATTGCAATTTTTAACAAACCACAGGGATGAAAAATGTAATTTCTTAAAGAAAAATTATAGGGACTTGTTTGAAAATAAACCATAATACAAAGGGGTCAAAGTGAAACATTATCAGCCTATATATAAATCCCAAGTCTGTATGTAAATTGGCATCATCATCATCATCATCATCATCATCTAATCTGTTCTTGGTGTTCAACAATGGTGAAAGAGGAGGTGGTTCTTGTGAGCTTCTGGTCAAGTCCTTTCGGTTCCAGAGTCAAAATCGCGTTGGAAGAGAAAGGTATTCATTATGAATACAAAGAAGAAGATCTCTTCAACAAAAGCTCCTATCTCTCTACAATCAATCCTGTTCATAACAAAGTTCCAGTTCTCATTCATAATCACAGATCCATATGTGAATCTCTAAACATAATCGAGTACATCGACGAAGCTTGGAGCGATCGATCTCCTCAATTCCTCCCTTCCGATCCACACCAGAGATCACAAGCTCGATTTTGGGCCGATTTCATCGATAAGCAGGTATTCATCACTCAAATTGTCCATTAGATTAGTGTTTTTTGTTCAGTTCGTCCATAGGATGTGCTGGAAACAAAATTTAATCCAAAATTACCTGTTTATATACAGAAATTGAAACTGCGAATTCGAAATAATTGGATTCTTCTTTTTTTTCCAGCTATATGAAGCAAGTAAGAAGATATATAGAGAGAAAGGGGAAGAACAAGTGAATAATGGCAAGAAAGAGGTACTCAGAATTTTGAAATTGGTGGAGTCAGAGCTTGGTGAGAAGGCCTTTTTTGGGGGTGATAATTTAGGGTTTGTTGATATATCACTCATACCATTTTACAGTAGATTTTATACATGGGAAACTTTTGGCAAATTCAGCATTGAAGAAGAATGTCCCAATCTTGTGGCATGGGCAAAGAGGTGTATGCAAAAACAAAGTGTTGCCAACTCTCTCCCTGATCCTCTCAAGATTTATGACTTCATTGTATCTCTCAACAAGTATTATCACAAGTAAAATGTCGTTTTCCGTTTGTGCTTTTTTGTCAACTGTGGGTGTTTAGAGCAATAAAATTCCACGGGGCCATGAAGAACAGTTTGGAAAATCTATGGTGGTGGGGAGTTTTTGTCTCGTTAGTGAAGTGTTTAAAACCTATAATGTATATTGTACGTTTATGTTCTTATGAATTACTTATCGAATACGTATATGATATGAAAATCTGCTTTAAATATCGTTTTTAGAGTATGTCTGATGTAAAGGGGGCGTAAGGAATTTGGGACACCGTTTGCATTTTCAAATCAAAACTGTATAGTTTTTTTTTTATTAACTTGGATATCCAACCTGTTATGCAAGCCGACTAATCTTAGGGCAACCGTCCGTTTCGCGCGTAGCCTAGAGTCACTGCATATGAACCTCCATGGTCATAAGAAGATTTTTATTCCTCCTTGGATTCGAATCTGGGACCTCCTGACATTTTTGGCCTTTGGAATCCAATCTCAAACCAATCGGACGCTACCCTTGTCGTTAACAAATGTAATTTTACAAATATATTGTAACGAAAATTCATGGTTCATGTAATTTTATGAGGGAAAAAACCAGATTAAAACACAAACAAACAAGCAAAAACATCAACTAAAGGAGGTGGATCAGAATAGTTACATAAAACTTGCATCGATTTGGTTGAAAATGATGTAACACGACCATGTTCAAAACAAGCAGGAGATGAAGGGTTTTGAGAACGAGGTGGAAGGAGACATCAACGCAACGTTCGATAAACTACATCCATTCAACATGCAATCTTATAAATTTATCTGTTTAATAACTAATTATGTATTTGTTAATTCATAAGCAACTGATTTCTTTTTATTCACTGAACTGTTTAATTTAGAATATAATTTATTAACTTCAATCACAATTAAAATAATGTCATTAATTTTATTCTCCAAATATCATTGGTTTTGCTTAATTTAGATATCTTATTGTCATTTACAGAGCTGTTTAGAAAATCAACATCAGAAAATCAAAATTTTGTATTGATTTTATAGGTTAACTGAATCTAAAATTTGCAGTTTTCTAGATTTCCGGTTCTACTTTCTATGATGGGCATGATCATATACTTACACTGAACCGAAAAAACATTCAGTACACTGTTTCAATTTTAGTCCATGTTCTTAGAATTGAACGGTTACCAACAAACTATTAATTTACTAATCAATATTCTAAACTGGGGGCGACCCACAAGATAATATTAGTCAATTAAACCTAATTGTCAACGATTTTATCAACTAAAAACTCCATTATAATATTTGGCAATCTTATTTTGTCTTTATACAATTTGAAAGCATGTGTGCTTTAGGGGCCGTTTACCAAACGCTTACCCGAGTAAGCGCTTATCAAGTCATATTACCTTACCGAATGAATATGATAAAAACTAAGAATCTTACTTAGTAAGAGTGAGACAAAGACCAAGAGTATTACCCGGTAAGGGAAGACGACGACTCTTACCATGGTAAGTGCTTACCAAGTAAATTGTTGCATACAATGTCATTTTGGTAAACTAAAATTTTATTCGGTAAGAAAATGATAGTGTTAAATTTTACGGGTAAACGCTTATCGGGTAAGGGTTTGGTAAATGGTCCCTTAGTTTTATCTTTTCTTGTTCTTTTACCTTCGTACGAACATTTGATGGAAAATTTTAATTGCAACACCCCATAAAAGGGACCTAGTTGTAAAGAAGAGTCCAACATAGGGACTGAAAAGTATGAAAGAACAAAGTTTAGGGATCTAATCGGCATTATTAGAAGCATGTGGACTCAAATAAGACTTTAGTTTGAATAAGTTAAAGAGACATGAGAGAGATGACAGTAGATTTTCTTGGCTTCAGTTGAGGAAGATGGATATATCCTAAGTAAACAGAACCGACAAACCCAATATATCTGATGTGGATATGGAGCATGAGGGATGGATATATCTGAAATGATGATCATAATGTAGGAAGTTGCACTTCAATATGTTCTCTCTCTTTGAAAATGTAGCAAGAAGTTCAAGGAAGAAATTAGCGAGTTTAAAGCATGGTTTTGATGTTAAACGCTTCTTTTATTGATCAGTTAGTAATATACGACGTCGCTTTAGAGTTTAACATGAGTTTGGAGTCGAGATTGAATCTGTAGAGCTATTAATTCGACGAGAATAAATGAGATGATTTGTTGTGGAGAATCATAAAGTCAGAGCATGATTAAAGGCATGAATTATTGTCGCAGTTAATGTTCAAGTATGTGTATGGATGGATAAAGATGTTACTAAGTGTTTGTATCCAAGAAAAAATGTGGAAATTTGAAGTTGGAATGAACAAGAATTATTAATACATATATATATATATATATATATATATATGTGTGTGTGTGTATGTATGTATATATGTATGTATGTATGTATGGAGATTTGGGATCACGTGAGATCAACCTGTTTTCATGAAATCATGAGACCACTTTTTTACACTTGAAACTTCACAGAAAAACGTTGTGAAAGTTAAAAAAAAAGCGGAACCTTCATAGCAAAAACGTTGTGAAGGTTATCTTCACAGTGTTTTGCTGAGAAATTTCAAGTGTAAAAAAATGGTCTCACGGATCTCAAGCTGGTCTCACGTGATCCCAGTTTATGTAAGTATGTATGTGTGTGTGTGTGTATATATATATATATATATATGGATGTGTATATATATATATATATATATGTGGGTTAACAAAGTCAACTTCTAAAAAGTTTAGGCTATCCAATTTGGTGAACTTGCATACAAGATCACAAAACAGTTGGTCGTTCTAACGGATTTGATATCTAGGTTAATAAAAAAAAATCACAAAGATGAAGGTGTAGGCAAGACCAGAGGTGAGTTGAAGTCACCTATACGAGATCAAAAACAACTTCAGGATTCGCATGGAAGTCACATACAGTGATGTAAGAGGCAAGCTTGGCTAGAGCCAGCTCCTTGAATTTGTATTCAAGCCGGCGCAGATGTAAGTGATTTCAATGTCACATAAGAAATCGTGTTTATCTTTTGTTGTGTATCGAAATGAGGTGATAACAAAATATGCAAAATGAAGGTTCTTATAAGAATCTTACGGAACCTTAATTCTTACCTCGAGTATTGTGTTGAATATTTTATTAGTTTTTTACATACAATTTTTACTTATATATAAATATTATACAAATACATAAAACCCGCAATAATAAGGGTTTTTATAAGGATCCGTTTGGTTTGCAGAAATGTAATGGATTTGGAGAGATTTATATTTCAACTACATTCCAATCCTATGTATGGTTTGCAGGATTTAAAATCCTAGGAATTATTTGAAATCTTTCAAACACAGGATTTTGAAATTCCACAGGATGGTCGGGGTTTCGTAGGATTTTTATATAATAATGTTTTAAAATATATTTAAAACATTTGTCTTCTAATAATTCATTAATAAAAAGGTAATTTATTTATTTTTATTTTTATAATTTTAATTTGTTTTTATAAATTTTTTATAAAATATGGAATTCCGTTCCATTTCAAATCCATCAAACCAAACACATCAAATATTGTAATCCTAATCATTCTAATTCCAAATCTTTCTATGAAATCTAAATCCCTTAAAACCATTCCATCAAACCAAACGTTCCCTAAATGATTATTAATTTATTGAGATTTTTAATTTATTGAGTTAATAATATTATTATTAAAGTATTTGAAAAAAGATTTTAATTAAATCACTCCAGTTAAAGAAATCTATACTATATTATAAAATATTTGACAAAAACTATTAAAAACAATTATTACGCATAAAGTACTGTTTATTGATCCATATTACTTAAATTCAAGATTACAAGTAGAATGTGCATGAGTACATCTTAGTAAAGTTTCGTATTTGAATTCGTGCAACTAACTTCAGATAAAAATAATCAAATACAAGATAAACATCATTTTAAATATAAAAAATCTAAAATATATTTAAGATCATCATTGATATCATTAAAAAAATTATTTTATTAAAGCAAAAATAAATTAGTTTGTTGTCAAACTTCAATTAAATTATAATAAAAATTAAATTAAAAAAATTGTATACAAAAACTTTTAAATAGTTAATTTGAACTTAATATCGATTATTTTTTTCAAATTTATATTTCATTTAAAAAATAAAAACATTTTCGTTTTATCAAAACTGCATAAAATCACAATATAACATTGATAAAACCAAAATATAAAATAAAACATTAAAATTAAAATGTATCTCGATACATTAAATGAGATACCCTTTTGGTTCTTACAAATGTTTTTTTTGTTTGATATTACGATGATAGTTTTTCATTAATTTTTTATTTTTATTTTTATTTTTCAAAAAAAAGTTAGAATCAGGTGGCGACGTGGGCATCCTGTTTTATGATACATCGCCTCGTTCCTATTGGTGGAGCTACGTCACCGTATGTGGCGCGTCTATTTGTTGACCAAATTCACCCAAGTCAACCTACTCCCGTCACACACGCTAAGGGGCCTTAATTTCTTTTTTATAAAAGTTTCATTCGTTTTTCAACTTTTTAATAACATTTATATTTTTTTATTAACCTGAAAATCTAACTTGTTATGCGAACCGACTAATCTCAAAATAATCATTTGTTTTGCAAGTATCCCGGAGTCACCGTATTTCAATCTTCATAGCCACAAGAGAATTTTTATTCCTTCTTGGATTTGAACCTGGTACCTTCAGTTACTTTTGACCTTTGGAGCCAAACTCAAACCAATCAGACACCACCCTTATGGCTTAAACAACATTTATATTTTATTGTTTTCTTATCTCGTAAAAAATAAATCGATCTTTTAATTATCTTTTATTATTCTTTAAACGACAAATATGTTTATTAATCAATTAATCTTAATCGATTTTTTCTCTCAATCGATCTTTACAAAATCGATCATCATCTATCTCTATTGATGTATTTTGATAGGATTTAAATGTGTTAAATACTGACAATAACATATATTTTGTTTAAATGAATGCTAATTATATATTATAAATGTAAATTTCATAATGATAATGAATAAATATATTAAATTGTATAAATTTATCTATAAATTCAACACTATAGTTTTTTGATGGTAAAATAAACAATTTAAACAAATTCAGACATTTATCAGTTTACAAAAACAAACAATCCTATTAATTTTGTTTTCAAACTTCATCACCAAATCTTGCCAATTGGAATTGAAATAAGACTTCAACACCTCTTAAAAACAGACAACACTTAAAATATAAAATTAAGACATACCGGAATTTATTTATTTTTCAACATAAAGAGCTTTTAATGTTGTAAATATCTTTGAATTAATTGGTGTTGTAATATTTAAAAAAAGGGAAAAACAAATGCATTTAATTCTACGTGTAATGCAGTTGTATCAATGGCGAGTAGATTATAGACCTTGGTTTTCTTGTGTAGACCGCCATCTTGGCAACTTCTTCTCAACTGATTTCTTTCTTCAAAATCTGTGTGTCTACAAGTCATTTAGTCGGCGTTACGATTCAATTCAATTCAATTCAACGAAACCGCTTTCAATTTATAACCAAACAAACAATTTGTGTTTTTTTTCCAAATCAAATTTCAGTTAGAATTATTAGGGTTCTTGTTTGGAGGTGTTTCTTTTTTGTAATTGTGAAATTGGTGATTTGTGTATGAAAAATTAATGGTGGAGGTAGAGATCAAAGGCAAGAAACTTGCTAATGGCGGTGATGAGAAGAGCAGGGTATGGAGGTGGAGACTTGTTGGTGCTGTCATAGCAGTTTTACTTGCTACATCTCTGATTCCATGGCGGCATTCTCGGAGATTCTCTTTTCTTCCTTCTCCTTGCCGTTGCTCTGAGGTTATTTTTTTCTTCTTTCTTTCTACTCTCTCTCTCTCTCTCTCTCACACACACACACACAAATACACACATGTATTTGAAGCTGATCCCTGTATTCGAAGTAGATTAGACTTCTTGTGATCCTGATTACTTTCTATAGACAAGTATGTATGTATCCATATATGCTTTATATACCGAAAATTGGAGAATTGGAGTTGCACTCTGATGGAATTCGGTTTTCATACTGTATTCCTGCAATTGGAAGTTATTAAGCAAGGATTAGACAATGTGCGCTAGGTTAGAACCTGTATTCAAGTCCATTTAGATGTGATCCTAAGTCACCAATCTTCTGAATCAGTTCCTGGTGAATTTAGGTAATTGTAGATACTTGGAATTAGCTTGGGATGAATTTAGATAAGCATTACTAACTTGATTTTTTTTTGTCCTTGTTCGTTAAACAGGATTCTCATAAATATACAGGCATTGTTGAAGACTGTTGTTGTGATTATGAGACGGTTGATAGTGTTAATGGAGCAGTTTTATACCCCTTGTTGCAAGAGCTTGTCACGACTCCCTTCTTCCGCTATTTTAAGGTATTGTTCGAATTGATACCCCCTTTGCCTTTGGAGTAGAAGTATCTTTTAACCATAAAAAAAGTTCTTTTAAGCCATTTTACGAGTAGTTGAAGTTCATATCTGCTAGATTTTTTAGAATTCTGATTGTGGTGTTGTCTAGGTGGTATATGCCTGGACTTTTTGATTCTGTATTCAGTTGTGTTGGTGTATGGTAGGCATATAATATTTAATTTAGCATTAAACTTGGTTTAAAAGCTTGATCAGAATGCTACTTTCTGATTCTGCTACTTTCCAAAGGATTTTAAAATGTCTGCAGCATGTGGAAAGTATGAGATAGGAGTTCCATTGGGGATCAATATGCCCAACATGTTGTTCGTAAAGTTCTATTGAGGTTCTGTCAGGCCAGGGGTACTGTGTTCTTCGAACAGTTGAGCCACCAACAAACTTTTTAAGGAGATTAGTTACATAAAGTACAAAGCTTAAGGTTGGTATATGGCCCCATGAGGACGAAGTTGATGAAAACTGAGGATGTTTTATGGTTCTTGAAAATAATGTCTTGGCCTCAGGGGTAATATTAACTTACTTGTAATCAAGACACTCTGGGAGAAGTGATACGAGTACTCTAACGACAATCAGTGCACACACACACACACACACACACACACACACACACACACACACATATATATATATATATATAACTGGAAGAACAGAGTTCACATAGATAGGTATGTCTACTTTAATACTTAGCTTTGAGAACTCCAATCCAGTAATGCAAGTCATTTTATTTCTGTTAATACCTCATTCTGTAAGACATCATCTTTACTCTTATCACCCTTCATCAATCTTACATCTCCTTTGTTACTGTCATAGCTTGATCATTTACTGTTATTGTTTCTTAATTCAAAAGGTTCCAGCACTTTTTATTTGATTGTTTATGTGTACTTGTTTGTATTTGAGAAGGAGAATAACTTTGTGGCATTACTTTCCAGCTTTTTATTAATCGAAGAACATTGAATTAAATTCAGTTGAGCCAATATAAAAAACATACCAACTCATTCATGGCATGATTGTATCTGCCCAAAGCTGAAAGAGAATTCTCCTCCCAGAGAAGGTTAAAAGGACATTTAATAGTAGTTAGGTTTCTAGTTTATTCTCAAAATATTTGGTTGCTTTTTGTATGAGTGGTTATGATCCTGACGTTGTTGGATCTTTCACAGGTTAAGCTTTGGTGCGATTGCCCCTTCTGGCCTGATGATGGCATGTGCCGACTGCGTGATTGCAGTGTATGTGAATGTCCAGAAAATGAATTTCCAGAACCTTTTAAGAGGCCATCACTGCATGGTCTTGCAAAAGATGATCTTATATGTCAAGAGGGAAAGCCGGAGGCTGCTGTTGATCGTACTTTAGATGCTAAGGCATTTAGAGGCTGGGCGGTGGTAGATAATCCATGGACTAATGATGATGAAACTGATAATGGTGATCCTCTACATTACTTTCAATATGCCCTTCATGTATTTTCTTTACGAAGTCATTTTTGGGAGTTCTGCCTTTTGTTGCTATTGAGAACTCTCTTGATGTTGGTTGAAATTCTGTAATCTGCAGGTGAAATGACATATGTCAATTTGCAATTGAATCCCGAACGTTACACAGGCTACACAGGGCCATCAGCCAGAAGAATATGGGATGCTGTATATTCAGAAAATTGTCCAAAGTGTAAGTTGAGGATTCCCATGTGGTCAATATTACCATGCTTTTTGTTTCAATTACCACTGCACAAATTCTTCATATGGAGTTGCAGTTAGAGAAACAAGTTACCCTTCATATCCAGACATGATTTGTACCTCATGGCTCACCTGCTTTTCTAATGAGTTTCAGTTCCTGGAGAGTTTTTGGTACCAAAATTGCTCCATATTTTCTAATATTATTTGCCTCAAATTCAACTGTTTTGGTGTTTGTCCAATAAAGAAGCCCATACTAGTTTTTGGAGGCACAGTTGTGGTCCTTTAGTCATTGATGCTAAGTTATGGTCCTTTAGTCATTGATGCTTGTTTAAAAATAAACCCACCCAAGTCAGGCACATGCTCTTTGATATGCTGTAATTGAATATACAACCCACATTAAAGTATAATTGCTTATTTGTCTCATGTTTAAATATACATTTGAAATAAACAAGTAAACTGGAAATATCTGTCTGGAGTTGAAGTGTATCGTTATGTCAATTTCTTGAAAAGTTCATTTATGTTAATAAACAAATGAACTCTTTCAAATCACCTTGTTATGCAGATTCATCTGGTGAAAGTTGCCAAGAGAAGAAAGTGTTATACAAGTTAATATCTGGTCTTCATTCCTCAATTTCTATCCACATAGCTGCTGATTATCTCCTCGATGAGACTACAAATCAGGTCCGTATCCTTAAGGCTACATGTAATATTTACCTGTATACATCTATATGTAGAATTTAGTCTGCAATGTGATGGTTTGAAATAATTAATTAGAAATCATTTTCTTTATCTATCCCAAAGTGGTGAATCATCTACCAGTAACAATAGATGCATTTCTATATGGGATAGTAAAACCTAACTTAAGAGACTTTTCATGGGGAATTTCACAAATAAACTAATTATTCATTGGCTTCAATTCAGTGGGGTGCAAATCTTCAATTAATGCATGACCGTGTCTTGAAACATCCCGAGCGTGTGCAAAACCTGTACTTCACTTTTCTCTTCGTTCTCAGAGCCGTGACAAAAGTGAGCACTCTTGGTACCTTAAAACTTCATCAAATTTAATCGCGAAAGTATATCTCCTGAATGAGCTTATGTGTGTCTTCAATGTATTACAGGCAGCCCCCTACTTGGAGCAGGCCGAATATGACTCTGGTAACCATCTGGAGGATATGAAAGCCCATTCCTTGATTCGGCAACTAATTCACAATCCCAAACTACAAGCTGCATGCCCTCTTCCGTTCGATGAGGCTAAGCTTTGGCAAGGCCAAAGTGGACCTGAACTGAAGCAACAGATACAAAAGCAGTTTAGGAACATCAGGTTTCACTTTGAACTCTATATTATTCCCTCTAGCCCAAAAAAGTTCCATATTTGGCTGGCTGGCTTTTGAGCATTAAATGAGTTGCTTTTCAACGATAAAATTGATAAACACTGTTTTGAAATACATTAAATTATTTAGAAATTAATGAAGATTTTTTTTGAAGATACAAAACTATAAGTGATTGAGAAGTATAGCTTGTTATGCTTCCATAGAGTTCCAGCTATTATCAAAGACTATATCAAAGACCTGTTATAGTTTCAAAGATATTTGATTTAAGGGTTATTTAGCTAAATGACCTTCTAACAAGTGCGTTATAAATACATGACCTTCTCACAAGTTTCTAGGGCATTCCTGTGTATTTAAGTGGCATTTTTCAGTTAAGCAGTGACATTCTCAAACCTTGTCAGAAGGTGACGGATTAAAAAAATAACTTGTTGGAAGGTCATATAACCAAAGAACCCTTTGATGTAATATTTGCTCTTTAATATATTGTGATGCTATCATCATCCTATTTGTAACTGAAACTTTATATGTTTGCAGTGCCCTTATGGATTGTGTAGGGTGCGAAAAGTGCCGTCTGTGGGGAAAACTTCAGGTTCTTGGCCTCGGAACTGCTTTAAAAATCCTATTCTCTGTTGATGGTCAAAAACACCCAGATCAGCATGTGAGTATCATATACTTCATCTTTTTCAAGTTTGATAGTGCTACTTTCAAAGGCTTTTACGAATCAAAAGTCATTTTTTATATCTATATTTTTTTTTACCGGATCACAGCTGCAGTTGCAAAGAAATGAAGTGATTGCACTGATGAATCTGCTGAATCGGCTCTCGGAATCACTAAAATCAGTCACTGATATGGGTTCTTCTGCTGCTATGGACGGCTTGGTTCTAGAACCTTCTTCTAAAGCAATCAATGTGATTCAAAGATTACGGGAATTATGGATGGCTAATTGGTAATCTTCCTTTGCTCATATCTTCCAAGTTCATTGTTCATGCTTTTGCAAAAAGCTGGGGTCTCCACCAATTAACAGCTCTACCATTTGGGATAGAGCCTTAGATGTGATCATTTGAGAGCTTGGACCGTGGGCATGACCTTTTTTTGTCCAAGAGATATAGCAAATCCAAACCCCTTTTTTGAGGACTTGATAATGGTCGGGCTTAACCACGGACCCAAAAAGTCTTTTACCTTTTTGAAAAAACATAACCCATGTAAAATAATTCAAATACTCATTTATTTTGAAGGAAATTTTGAGATTTAAGGTCATAGTCAAGTATATGGGAAATCAGGGATTGAGAGGCCCTCCGAAATTTAATTTTATAAAGTTTAACTAATTATAAAAATATAAAAGAGCCGGTGCGCCTGTCCGAATTTTTGTTTCACCCATTTATGTTCATTAATTTTAACGAGCCAGTCTGGCCCGTCCATTTTTTAAAATGGTTGTCCAAACCCTTTTTTTCTAGAGGGTCATTCTGTCCTTGAACAACTATACTTTGAGTAGATGACAGGTCTGTATATATTCCAACCATTTGCTTTCGAGTGGGATATATTGGATTGCCCCCGTTGATGTGTCCCAACGGTAGAGGTGTGTGTAATCCATATGAGCAAGGTCCCAGGTTCGAGCTTGGGTACAACTCTTTTGCCAATAGAATGCATGCGTTGATTTACCTCTCCCATAATGACCGTGGGACCGGTGGTTTGTGGGGGCGCCTTAGACTCTTAGAGAGTGACATCTACTCTTTTTTTTGGGATATATTGCATTCTTTTGTTTTGGCTTTGAAGTTCATGGTCTTGATCTGCGCTTCATTTTCAGGTGGAAGAATGTGCCAGTTTCACCGCTATCTTGAACTCGCAATGCTCACAGTTTTAAAACAACCCGAATCGGAGATGAGGTAAATTAAGGTGACGATACACACATACATTGTGAATAGAGGGGCGAAAACACCACATGTAATGCTAATATGGACGGACGTCCGTGGTTTCAGAACGTACTATAGTTTCACCTTGTAACGCGTTTCCTACTTTGTGGGAAAAAAAATATAACTTGTGTTTTTTGTTAGATCGTTAAAAGGTGGTGGTGGTGGTGCTTTTGACCTCTTTTGCAGCCGGTAAATTAAAGTTAAAATTACACGTCATCAAGTTATTATATAACAAAATCTGTTTTTATTTAATCCGAATACCTTAATATAAATCAAATAATAATAATTAATAACTTTAATATTTTAAATTTCTTATTTAGGGTTGTTTGGTTGGTTTGTTATTAAGGGTCTGTTTATTAGTAACTTAATGAATTTAATATAACTCACAACTTATTCAGTTAGCTATATGTTTGGTGATGGCTTAATGATGTAGAAGACTTATTTAGTCAGTTTTTAAGGGGGAGTTTTATGTAGAACGCCACATTTTTTTCAAACCTGCATCTTCCAATTAAAAAGCTCCTTCGATCTATGGAAAAACCTCTCCCGAACAAAAAACTTTCTCAATTTATATAGATAGATTAATTTATACAAATGATTTAATGGAAAACCAACCAAATAGCCCTCAAGTCATGTATGAACAAAGTTGTTTGTGTGGATTGATCTATTCATGTAGATTAAGAAAGTTTTTGTTTCGAAGGGGTTTATCAAGGAACATGTTTTTTAATGGCAAAAGTTCATAAAAACCTAACGAACCATCTCATTTTGAACTATCCCATTTTAAATAATTTAAGTCATCTAACTAACTTTTTAAACGAAAAAACCATTAAATTTTCTCATTTTGAATGATTAAGTCACTGAATAATTTTTTTATATGAAAAAAGCCATTAAATTTTCTCATTTTGAATGAACAAGTCCCTGAACATTTTATTTATAGTATATAAATCATCGAACTTTTAAAATTTGGTTAACTAAATTCTTTTAACAAAAGAACTACGTGTAACCGATAGATATATCTTAAAGTAAAAGAACACTAAATTAGTTTTAGCGTTTCCAAATACTAAGCCCTTCAAACCCCTCGTAGACAACTGGTATCACTCCCACTCGCCACTCCCTCTCGCCCTATTATTGTCCCTTCTTCATATCGGCTATCTTACTGTTGATCTCCATCTTTTCACATAGGCTATCACCTTACTGTTGATCTCCATCTTTTCACATAGGCTATCACCTGATCATTCAAAATAAGAAAGTTTAATGATTTTTCATTAAAAAATAGGTCAAAGACTTCATCATTAAAAATGAGATAATTCATTGGAGTTTTTTGAACTTTTCCCTTTTTTAATTGGGAGGTGCATGTTTGAAAAAAAAAATTGGTTTTCTATTTAAAGCTCCATTCTATAAGCTTATTGAATAAGTTATTTTATATATCATTAAGCCCTACCAAACAAACATGTATAGCTGACCAAGTAATTATGAGTCTTAAGTTGTTAACAAACCAACCCTTAGATGTATTCCTCCATGATCCGTTGTGTTCCTGTCACATTGGTGGTAATTACACTCATCACCTTTTCTTACACACCAAAACATAAAATATCTGGTCTTAATTGAATTTGAATAACTTAATATTGAATCGAATACAACAATTAAATACTTCAATTTTTAAAGCTTTCTATTGAGGTACGTTCGCTGTGTATGATCCATTGCGTTCTTCACGTTGATGATAATTATAAATGATGAACAACATTTATCAGTGCATTATCAGTCACTTGAGTGACAAAAATTTGTGATACCAGTAATCATTATTTTAAGCGTACATGTGAAACCCTTTTGTCCTTCATGTCTATATTAAATAACAAATACACAATATCAGATGTATGTGTCAGTCTTGTTACGTTCAGTATCTAGTTTTTCGATAACATTTTTGATGTCTTATATTGATGTGTTTACTCGGTATATTCTATCAAGGGGCTTAAAGACATTCTTGTGGGTTATGGGGACAAATCATATATTAATTTGTGCAATACAAGTTTCGACATATCCAACTATATGCAACTTTATAAGTTAATTATGACATTAGAATTAATGTCGAAGTACGTTATTCACATGTAACAAACTCTATGATTTATAGCGTACTCATGTCGAAGAAACGACATATACAATAATCACATGAGAAACATGTCACACATATGACATCCAATATAGCGTACCATGATTATTCCATAAATACCCTCGTTACATTAAACACCACCCTCCGTAAGAAAACCATCTCAAACCTCTCACATCCGCAATCTCTTCCTGCGCCTCTAAACGCCAAAACCCTTGTCGTCGCCTGCCCTCACGCCTGGTAACTCCTCCTCGTCTTTTTCCTTCTGCATCTCGAGATAGTGTTGATTCTACCTCTAAATTTGATGATATGATGCAATGTGTTTGATGAAATGATGAAGAAAAAATGTGGGTTGTTATTGGGTTTAATGAAAAACGTAAAAAATAAGGGCGAAATGGTAATTTACATTGTTCATACGGTTTATCCGGTCGAAGACCGAACAACAGTCTAACCTAATCCATACAGGTATCTAAATGCACAACTTTATCCATACTGAGCTTAACGAAAAAACAACCAAACAACCGCTTGCACTTTTTGACCATCCAAATTGACCATTGTAAATGATGCTTCATATGGCATGTGTTTCTTTTCAATTGGATCAAAGGCTCCAATTCCACACTCTAGTCCTGCATTCACATGTGCATGAGAAGCCATTTGGAAGAAAATACATGAATCAATCCACATTCATCTCCAGATTCAAGGAAAAACCTATGAACTACCAATGATATCTTGTGAAATTACGGTCATGAAAAAAATTTGCAGGTAACAATCGTCAAATTTGAAGATTGGACCAAATTTTCTAGGGCAAACAAAACACCCAAATTGAAGAACACTCGATCAAACAAATTCATTCGTAGGTTTCAAAATTTCCCAAAATCTACGCAAGTAAACCACATCAGTTTGAAATCAAAACAAAAGCGACAATTGATAGGAGATCAGAGACAACGACATACCGTAGGTGAAGAAATTCATGAAGAGTAGGGTTTGGCGTTGTGAAAGAAGGCCGCAGAGCAGAGAATTGAAGCGATGAAAGCGAAGATCCCAAATCCGATCATCAGGGAAATCCCAGCTACGGTTAAATCCATCAAAAGCTGTATACTCACTCCCATTATCATCATCGTTGTCTTCTTGATACTTCTAGACGGTCCAGTTTATATGGCACGATCTCTTTTCCAGATTTAAAATTGATAAAATTACCTTACACCAAAAATCTTATCCGGCGACATAAGGATTCAGTGTCTTACCCGGTAAGTGAGGACGATGATTCTTACCATGGTAAGCAATTACTGGATAAATTGTTGCATACGACGTTGTTTTGGTGGATTAAAATCTTACTCGGTAAGTAAATAATAATATTAAATTTTACCGATAAGCACTTACCGAATAAGTGTTTTGGTAAACGACCCCTAACCCAATTTCTTAAGTTTCGCGTCAACTTTAGAATACAATGATTTGTAGGGTTCATTTGGTACATTAGACAAGACATAACATAATAAAGATCTATGTTTCATGTTTGATAAAACTTCTATGTGGAACCGACAAAAAGAGAGTGAAACAAATGAAACAATTTGGAACAAACTTATATTTTACCAGTATAACCTCAAAATAAAATGTAATTCGCTTCTAAAACATCATATACGCTTCTGTCATTACACTTTCTTCATTATTTAAATTTTATTTATCGTATTTTATGCTATTTAAACTTTTCTTTTAATGTCCTCCAAATATTATTTTTAAACGATATTCTAAACTTATGTAATTTATTAAATACTAATAATTTAGTAATATAGGAAATGTATAAATAAAAATTGGAAAGTGCATAAACTTTTTATATTGGTGTATTTTAATTATTTTTTATGAAAACTTTCAAATTATTTTGTTATGAAATATTTATTTTTCTTATGATTTAAATTATATAAAATATATAAACAACTGATTAGGAGTAAATTGGTCATATTATTTATTCTATCATGTCCAGTTTTGTCTTATCAAACATCGAACAATTGTTCTGTCATGTTTTGTTATGTCATGCTTGTCTGGATATCAAACGCACCTTAAATACCACGAAGATTTCAATTAAACTAAAAAAAGACGATTGGACCAACCGTCAACCTTCACTGTCATTTTGTACCAAATCATTCAGAAACTGACAAATAACCCATTTTAGCAAGTGTATTAAAATACCCTTATCAGATAACAGAGAGTTACTAACAATCTATTTTGATGACCAAACATATTGTTTGATAAAATACGTAAGGTGGTGTAGGCAAGCGCTTACCTAACTGCCCAATTTGTGCTTCTCTGATTACAACAATTTAAACAAATTTAGACCATAATTACACTCGGTCCAACCCAACCCGATAACAGTTGGATTCAAACAGGTCATACCCAATTCCAACCCCGATCACTTACCAAACGCTTAACGGTAAAAGTCATTATCCTCACATACCTTGCCGGGTAAATTTGTCCGATATCAAAATAAATTGTTGGGAAGGGTCTTTTACCTGACAAGCTCTCACTAGGTAAAAGTCGTTTTCTTCACTTATTAGGTAAGATTTTCGATTTTTACTATGCATCTTATTGGATAAACTTCTCAATTCTTATCATACTCACCTCGAATAAAGTAAGTGACACCCGATAAAATACTTTTCAAACAATAATTTAGTAAACAGACCTTAAACTTGAACATTTTAACACCCTTAATGTGTGGTAAACGAGTCGAGCTTACAACGATCCACTCGAGCTCGAGCTTAATAACTATCGAGCTCAAGTCGATTTGAAACAAAGAATAAAACTCGCGTAACTTAACGAGTCGACCTCCATAAAACCAATGTTCGAGCCGACTTGTTCGAAAGCTCGATTAGACTTTTATGAGTCGAACCATTCAAGCATACATCTTTCGAGTCAAATATATTTATGTACTTACAAATTATATAAATAAAAATCATAAAGCTTAAACAAATAAACGAGTTAATATACCTCAAGCTCGAACTCGTAAAGGAACATCGAGCTCGAGCTCGTAAACGAACATCGAGCTCGAGCTCGTAAACGAACATCGAACTCGAGCTCGTAAACGAACATCGAGCTCGAGTTGAAATATAGAAATAATATTCAATTCGAGTTCAAGTTCGAGACCGAGTTTAAAAAAATTAACGAAACTCGAGGTGAGCTCGAATCTGCTCAACTCGTTTCCGTGCGTGCGCATCTTGGAGGCAGCAAGTAAAGACGACCGGCTAAAATGTATCATCAAATTCAGTGGAAAAAACAGAGCAAAGAGAGGACGACGCGGAGAAAGAGGAAAAAGGTGAGAGAGAAAGAGAAGCAGACATCGCAAGAAAGTAAATGAGGGAAGAAGGAATAAGCTCATCGGGAGACCCATTACTGTTCCGCAATTCTTCTCCCACTCCCGCTGCCAGGTAAAAACCTAACCCTAATTCTCTAATCAATTACCAATGCTCCTCCACACCTTCTTATACACGGTTTTCTTTTGTATATTAATCCGAAATTCTTGATTTCTACTTGCTTACATTAGCTATAATGTATGTCGAGTTACAAAGAAAACCCTAGACTGTTATCCTTATTGTATTTTGATTTTTAGGGTCTTGGTGAATTGTTTCACTGTTAAATTGTGTTGTTCTACGAATTGAAGCTTATTTTTTTTATCAGATTCTATCTAGGGATATAAATCCAAGCATTAAGATTGTTCAGGGACATCTCAATTATTGTATCGGAAATCAAAGTTTGAAGTAAAACTTAAAATTAAAGCTGGGATTCCAGAATTGGAGAAACATTTTGATTTTTGTTATTCATTCTTGTCGTGAACAAGGAAATGTTTGATTATAATGTGTAGTCATCTGTTGCTACTGTAGACTAATTTAAAGCACTACCAAATACCATAGTTGTTTGTTTCAGAAGTGATCAATTTTGATTAATATTGGTCAAAGGGAGTTAAAGATCTTCCAACCTTGGAACTTCAACTGCATGTAAATGTTGACTGTCATAGCCAGCTATGGAGGTTTACCAAGTTAGTGATTTTCTACTGGAATGTGAATATTACTATTACTTATGTGTCCCGTGTCCGTAACTGCACTGCATATAGTCTTTAGTGGGCAGGTAGCCAAGGAAATGTTGTCCCAAATTTACAGAACTCCAAATGATTTGTTTAAATGAAGTGACACATTTTCTCATTTCAGCAACTGCATCATTTCTGATGTTTTGATACTAGAAGATGGAATGTAAGAAGGATCAAGTTGCTTGAAAGTATAAAAATGTAGCGGTAATTTATGGAGACAAAGGAAGTTGCTTGAAAAATGAAAAGGTTGACATTCCAGAATTTGTAGGATGCAATATTGTTTTCAAAGGCCCAATTTGGTGTTTCTTGGTTTTCTTGGCTTAAAATGGTGACACAACTATAGGTGATAAAACAAAAAGACTAGGATGCTCTCATTCAGCGTATACAGTATATATGCATGTGTTGTGACATGTAAGTTACAATCATCTACTTAATTGATCTATATTTCTTATCAGTTCTGCTGGGGCATCATCACCGGCCGTTGCCACTAATGCTGGCAGTACAGATTGGTTGGGTCATGGGCAGGGATCCAAAGTAGGTTCTCTGTCTCGAATTGGTTCGCAGCCCATGTGGATTTCGTTGAGTGCAAGTGCCGGTGGTTCAGCTCTTGGCTCATCTCAGCCTTCATGTAGACCATGGGAAAGGGGTGACCTTCTAAGGCGATTGTCCACGTTTAGGCCTGCGAATTGGTTTGGAAAGCCTAAGGTTTGAGTTCAACTTTTTTCTTTCTGTTTATGGTGTTATTAACATGTCCAACATGCATTATTGGAACCTCTCATAGATCAAATGATCCATATATTTACATCTGTATCTTGTAGTTTTCATTTTCCAGTTTAATATTCTGCTGCATGATAAGGAGCATGCTCTGTTTTCTTATGGTCCTATCTGGGCAGGCCACATGGCCTGGCTATTTCTTTTAATATACTTATCCTGCTGCAAGAGAGTAGGTGTGATGAAGAATAAGCATGTGATGGTAATCTTAGAAGCTAAAATATTGTCATACCTCATAGGGATAACGAAAATGGTGTTACATAAAACTAGATAAGTACATCATCTTAAGTACTAAACATATCCCTTTGTACATCCGGATGCTAATATTACCATCAGTAGGGCCAAACATGAAGTTAAACGTACTAGAAAAGTCAGTAAGTCAGATATGTGCAATATCTTTCTAGTTTTTAGCGCATCCTTGTGAAGGTGAATTCAACAAATGAAATATCCCTTCTACGTAGATGGTATTGTGGAGGTGAATTCAAGGTTCATACTCATGGGTTTCTAATTTTGCAAGAGCATGAGATGAATGGTGGAGGTAAGAGGATTGGGTAGATGTATAATGCTAAAAGAGCTTAATAAATTTTTGAAGGGTCAATTATTAAATAGACAGGAGAAGAGGGAATTCTTGCTAGGCATGATTAAGTCTATAGTATGTACCCGAAAAAGGGAGATGTTTTCTGGAGTTTTGTGTTGTAAAGCATACACAGAAAATTGGAAAAGCATGTGTGCATAAAAACATGACTGTGGTCCACCTTAGTCATGATGGATGCTGTAGAACCCAAAATGATTTAGGTGTTCATTTAAATTAATAGAAACCCTTTAGAATACTTTGAAACGATCTTTTACATGCAAAAACAGACAACAAACCTTGAATGAACAATCAATATTGATTTTGGGCTGATTTTTTATATCCAATTAAATACAGTAGAATAGGAAAAGTGATAGGAAGGTGGTGAATACTATACATGATAAATAAGACAGGCATATATATATATATATATATATATTCGTTTTGGGCTGTTTTTTTATATCCAATTAAATACAGTAGAATAAGAGAAGTGATAGTAAGTTGGTGAATAAACCTAAACATGATAAATAAGATAGGCATATATATATATATATATATTCGCTTTATTCCAACATCCAGGTTTTTAGCTATCAATGGCCATAACTTGTATATGTACACAGCTATTAACCCATCTTTACTTTATTGTACAAAGTTTTGAGCAACACGAGGTTACATATATTAGCATCATTGTAGGCTTGTAGCAGCCATAAAGTGTTTGAAAATGGATATGCTGCTGATTCAATCATGCTAAAGTAATGACTGCACTCACTAAATGTTCAAATTAGGAGAAATAGGAGACACAAATAAGAAGGCTTGGCCATGAATGGAGTTGAGCACTGAGTGTTATTGGGAAAACGGTGCACAAACACATGCACACGAACAAGGCGACAGTAAAGTTATTGCAGAAAAATAAAGAACACACATGATTTACGTGGTTCATGTGATTGGTGTCATCAAGCTAGTCCATGGCCGCACTAGTAAAGGTATATTATTTATCACAAAGTTAGGGTTTACAATTACTTGGGGTTTATATTTCAATGTGGGTCAGACCCATATGCTTGAATTTCCTTCTGGCCAGGGTTAGGCTCATCCTTTGCCAATCAGACCTCATATCTTAACAAGTGTTTCTGTTGGTAGAAAAATTATTGAATATAAAAGGTAATGATAGAGGTCAAAAGGTAAAATATAGCGTGAGTTGATATTTTTTAAGTTCTAGTATGGCCTTACTTAAAAGACCTCTCGTACTTGGGAGCAGCTCATTTGGACTTGCTTGAGAGAAGTTTAAATTGGGGATAATCTAACTCAAGTTATCACCCAAGTAGATGGGGTGTGGATTAGGGAGAAGGGATGACCTATGCTATTATAGCGGTCCAAATACAAAATAGTGGTCAGGACTGATATTTGAAATAGCGGTTATGATGGTGGTTTAGCGGTTCATATAATAATTATTAAAATTATATATAGTATATATGTATGCATACATAACTTTACATATTATATGCATTAATTAAAAATATAGTTTCAAATCGAAACATCAACTTAAACAAGTTTCACACAAACAAAATAGGAAAAAAGTTCGTAAACGAGCTAATCGCAAGCAATAGGTTCAGCATCCGCGTCAACATCACCTAAGAGTTTCTAATCGGATGCAATTCGTTGACTGTTAACTTAATGGATTAAAATAAAATAAGGGCCCAAGTCAAAATAAAAGCCCAAAAAAAGACAAAAATGTAAGCATTAGATTTAAAAGAGGCCCAACTGAGACTATCGGTATTGCGGACCTCTATGTTACCCAAATATCGGTGAAGTAGCTGTAAATTGCTCCGCTATTATCGAAACGCAAATTCCACCGTTATTTTGCTTATGACTGATAATCGCTATTGCACTGCTATTGCGCCGCAATTAACAGAATACGGGACGAGATAGCCAAAACATTTAAAGGAAGTCTCAAACTCTCCGGGAAATGAAAATTTAACTCCATAATCCATTTATGGAAACATGGAAATGACCAGTTAGTTTGCCTAGAATATTAAAATCTCGTCTTTGCTGCTCCTGTACTTGGTTCTACAATACCGACGTTATGAGCAGTTTTCTCTATACAAAGGAACAACTCTCCGTTAAGACCTAATCTTTTTTCTTTCCTGAGGTTAAGACCTAAAAATGTTTTCTGCAAGAGGAGCATGCTTGTCATGTGCCACTCCGTTAGGGCCAGGGGTATTATGTGATTTAAATTGCTCTAATAAAAAGCATTTTTGGTTACCTATTAACAAAAAACCATAAACAAAAAACCTCTGTTCTCCACGCATTATCTTGAACAAATGTTTCCCAAGCCAACAAACTCCCAAAGGAAGCAAAACAGTGCCAGCCACAATTACAGCCTGTACCTCCTGTCCGCCTTCTCCTCTTTTGAGGTCTCCTCCCATTTGCTATGATTCTTGTCATCTCATTTTTTATCTGTTTTCTGTTCTCTGTTCTCTGCTTTCTGTTTTTTGTCTTTTAGTTTTATCTTTGTTTCTTGATTTTGATTTTTGACTGGGAGATAATTTCTGTTTTTCTATTTATTCCAAGTGTTCTGTTTTTAGATTTTCATTTGGCTGTCAATTTTTATTTTTGATCTTTAATTTTTTTTGTTATTTCAGGTTTTCAATTCTCAGTTTTTATGTTTTATGCCATTTTTGTAGTTCTTTGGTATGCAACTCTGTAAGGCCGAAGAAATGAGAATTTTTTTCAGTTCAATTTTTTTCGTGCTTGATGGTGGATTGGTATAGTTGTGGGTGGTTGGGGTGGTAAATCAAAAGTCACAAGTACTCCTAAATAAGATGCACTGATGAACAAATCTCTTTTGACACAGTTAATGTGAGAAATGGAAAGTGTGCAAAAACCAACTTTGCTGGATTGACTTATTGTTCATTGTTGATAACGTGCATATGTAATGTTCGTACATGTCCAGGGACGGTTTTTGTAAATTGCTCTAAATTTTCCCATTAATTGCCAAAGTCATTGCATGCATACGCCTCATTTCCATTTCATATGACACTGCAACTAATTTGCTATATTATCATGTTCTATGTTCTGCTTCCTGTGTTTCTGGGTTTGTACAAGATATTTAGTTGTCATCCATGCAGGTTGCTAGTTCACTTGCCTGTGCAAGAAGAGGCTGGGTAAATGTGGATGTTGATAAAATTGTATGCGAGTCTTGTGGTGCAACCCTGAAATATGTTGCACCAGATTCATGGACTCCTACAGAAGGTATAGTTTGCTGCAATTTAGATTCCAATAATGTTTCTCTTGGCAATATTCTGATGCACCTGCTGGGTTATCCGAAATTTTGAGAATTTTGCAATTGTTCAGATGATAATGATATATCTAGTGATTTCATAGTTTTGAGTTTTTAAAATCTTTTAACAAGTACAATTACATATTTTAAAGTTCTTCAACCTAGAGTGACTTTGGTGGTTAAACTGGGTGTCTTCTTTTTGTGAGGTCCCAGTTTTGATTCTTGCCATGCCGCTTGTGTTGGTGTAAAAACAGATTAACCAAGTTACTTTTGCTGATAAAAAAAAGAATAAACTCCCTTCAAATGACTCGTTCCTTCACTTTTTTGGAAGGAAGGAACTAAGCCAAGTGTATTTCCTTTTTCTCAGAGACATTTTCACACAAACACATGAGTTGTATGTTGGGCCTAAATTAGTTAGTGAAGGGTAATCTTTGTATTTTCATTTAACCATTCTATGCATATAAGGAATGGGGAACGTAATAACATGCTTATTTTCATTATCAAAGACAACTGAGTGAGCAGCATTAGGACAGTTGATCTACCTCCCGTAAGTAGACCGTTATGTTGGAGGGTTACCCTATCTCTGTGAATATAAGTTGTTTACTTGTTCTTTGACTTATTTTATCTCCGGGTTGTTCGGTTTACTGCTCAATATCAACATGTCTTCTCTCCGGTACCCATCATTGCACTCCTGCATGGACCCCAAAAGGCCAAAACTATACTCACCTCATTGAATATAGTACTATTGGATATCACTGTGAAGCTAGATTTGTATAAGGCCCTTTAGTTTTAAGCAACTTCTGTTGACTACCTACGATGTGTGGATCGTTTAGCAGTGTTTAGAGTATGCTGGCTTCCTCTTTAGTTCACTTCGGCATTCTTTACTGAAGTTAAAAGAATTTGTAGACGTATGTAAGAGGGATGGTGAGTCTTTCCATCCTTAAGCATGTGATTGGGCAGAAGCGAAGTAGTGTTGATCTTAAAGCATGTAATTTCTTTACCCAAAAAAACAAATGCTTACAAGAGTCATCCTACTAATTGAAAGGGGGATGAACTAGGTATCCAAACAGTCATTCGTCTGGTTGCATTTTTCTTCCATGACAAGTGCACTTAAAAGAAGAAAACAGGGCAACCAAGCATATTTTTAAACAGAAGTTGCTGCAAGAACTGGCCTAGATTCTGCTGGGCTGATAATTACCTGATAAATGGCTCATTAAGGGTCCTAATTATAGCAGCACATACTTCCCAAAACAGATTACACAGATTCATAACATAATCGTTTGGCAGGTAGTGATTATGGCATATTCATACCATCATATATTGCTACTATGATTTTTATATTTTTTGCTGGTGTTTCTTATTATCTGCGAAGATAATGGCACAGACAGTTTTATGTGGCATACTATTAACTAGTCTTGCTTCTTCTTTTCAAAAATCGTCGTTTCAGTTCCTTCAAAAGAAACTTTCTTGGCAAGTTTTTTTGAAACTTTTGGGTCAAAACGTTGCACACACCTTTTTGCAAGTTGGGGTTCTTCACGAAAATGATTGCTCTACTCTTTGGGCTAAAGGATAGGTCTTGCATACTTCCCACCCACCCTAGTCTCTCCAAGTGGGATATGTTGGGTTGGTTTGGTATGGCTTCGTTTATAATGGCACAACAGTGCTTCCATTGTGCATTTTAGTCTGGATTCCCTTCAAGATGTCAACGATATACATAGACAAATTTTACTATGCAGCAATTTCGTCAGGTGTCTGCTAACCCCCCATGCTCATTTGAGATTGGATTGTTCTGTTTAAACAAAGTTTCTGGTGACACTCAACATTACATCTCTACTGTTTCAGGTTATAAACATAATAACGCACTGGTACTTTTTCGTAATCTTTTCATTTTGTTCCTAACAGGTGATAATGTTGGAGAAGAATTTGCCAATCAGCTTGATGAAGGGCACAAAGTCATTTGCCCATGGAAAGGGAACAGCTGTGCTGAAAGCTTAGTGCAGTTCCCTCCTACTCCTCCATCAGCGCTGATAGGGGGTTATAAGGATCGTTGTGATGGACTATTCCAATTTCTCTCCCTGCCGATTGTAGCTGCTTCGGCAATTGAACAGATGAGGGTCTCTAGGGGACCTGAGATTGACCGCTTTTTGGTTCAGTCATATACTTTCACTGTTGAGGAATCTGGGTGTAAGGCAGACATTGCCTCCGGTTCGGAGAGTAACAGAGAGGAGGCGTTATGCATATATTCACGTGTAAGAAGCATGCATCACTTGAATTGCTAGTAATTATTCTCATTGTTTTCAGTTTTCTTTTTGTTCAAATGATCTCTTGTCTGTCTTTAGGCCCAGAAATTGATAAGCCTTTGTGGATGGGAGCCGATATGGCTTCCCAATGTTCAAGACTGTGAAGAGCATTCTGCTCAATCAGCTAGAAATGGATGTTCTTTCAGTCCCATTAAAGGGCGTGCCCCTCCAGAGGATCGAGTTCCTAACAAGAAGGCGTTGTCTGCTTCAACCAAAAAGGGTCCTGTAAAGAATGAACAATTAGGTCCCTCAACAAAGTTTGAGCCTAGATCACCTTTGCTCGACTGTAGCTTATGTGGTGCGACAGTGAGAATCTTGGACTTCCTGACTGTTAGTCGTCCTGCTCGCTTTGCTCCTAGTATTAGTGATGTTCCTGAAACAAGCAAAAAGATGGCACTTACTCGTGGAGTAAGTGCAGCGAGTGGAATTAATGGATGGGTTGCCACTGACGGCAAAGAGCAGACTGAGGACCTTGATGAAGCGGCAACCACAGAGGGGAAGTCGATGTCAAATATCGGGGTCGACTTAGATCTTACAATGGGTGGTGGATTTTCTGCTGGACATGCGCACAAGACCATGATATCTGAACAATATCAAGATGTAAATATAGGAAAAGACCTAGTTATTGGGCAGCCGGCCGGTAGTGAGGTTGGTGATCGTGCAGCATCGTATGAATCCCGAGGTCCTAGTACTCGCAAACGGAATTTGGATGAAGGTGGGAGCACTGTTGATAGGCCACAGGTAATGATGCAGCAGGCGGATAGTGTTGAGGGTGTTGTCATTGACCGTGATGGTGATGAAGTGAACGATAGCAAACAGTCCTCTGGCCCTTCTAAACGTGTATGCGAGTCTCATGTTTTTGAATCATCCCATCAATCATATAGACGAGATTCATCTGGTGCTGGTCCTAGCCAGACCTTATATTTTGATATTGAACGGGATGCTCCCTTCCACCATGGGAATGAACAAGCGGCCGGCTATCCATCCACGAGAGATTCAACACGGGCTTCCTCTGTTATTGCAATGGATACGGTTTACCATGGCGATGATAACGATTCAATGGAAAGCGTTGAAAATCATCCTGGAGATGTTGATGATGTTAACTATCCTTCTGTTTCGGCATTCAAGAGTCCTGACCTGAATGACACTTCAGATGTGAATTTCAGTAATCAAGCCCAACAGAGTACTTGTGCTGCTACAGTTAGAGCTGCTGGTGAGATTGGTGTTAGCAGTACCAATGATGAGGAAGTATTGAACACTGATACCACCACTGCTCATCGGAGGGATGGTCCTAGCTTTGCTATTAGTGGAGGCAGTGTTGGAATGGGTGCAAGTCATGAAGCTGAGATCCATGGTGCTGATGCTTCTGTCCATAGGACGGAAAGTGTTGTTGGGGACATGGAACCAGTGGCTGAAGTGACCGAAAATCAAGGTCAAAATGGTGAATTTGCTGCAGATCCTGGACTGATGGGTGATTTTGTCCCTGAAGAAATGGAACAGGAATACCCTCCAGGTGGGAGTCAAGATCTGATGTCAAGGTCAGTAGGAAGGGAAGATAGTGGCTCAAAAGTTCTTGGTTCAGCCAAGGCGGAATCTGTTGAAAGCGGTGACAAAACCAGTAACATGAACATCTTATTCCATGAGCAAAGTGTCCACCCTTCTCTTTCTTGCAATGCGGTTTTATGTTCAGGCTTTGAAGCATCCAAGGATGAGGTGACACAGGCAGGGAAGTCGTCCCCGATCGATGAATGTGGATACACCAACTATCCAGTTGCAAATGGGATAGGTAGGTCCATTCCATTTTTATGTCCCAAGCAAACATAAACTCACTCCTTCTGTCTCTAAGGGTGTGTTTGGTACGAGGACCGGATGGACGAGAGTAAGGTAGGCCGGTGAAAGAATTGTGCAAGGTTTTAGGGTTTAAATCAGACATGGGTGGTTTAGTATTTTACCAATCTTGTCTCATCACCCCGAATTTTTCCATCTATTTTGGTGTGACAAAAATGCCACTCAGTCCTGTCTTGCACCAAACGTGGGGAAATAAATTTCTTTTTTTTTTTTGTTGTCCCGTCCTGTCCAGTGTGCCAAACGTACCCTAACAGACTCACAATCAACCACATGCACACTTGTGTATGCTTAGTACCAGGTTAGATCCATGTGATCATAAAGATGATTAAAAGCGACAAGTGTAAATGTTGTGGTAAGTATCACCTCATTGGACCACTGCCTACAAGTTCTGATGCCAAAATAAATGTTATTTGGCTATATGAGCATACCATCATCGAAGTTATGGTTGAAGAAGGAATTGTGATGATCCAATTTTTTTGAAGTATATAACAAAATGTTTATATTACGGCAAATAAAACTCACACACACTTCTCACATTTAGTGAGGTTTGAACCGTTGACCTCTCGGAAGGTTTGTTACTTGATACCGCTAGGTCAATGACCCTTTGGTAAAGGAAGGTTGATGCTTGAGGCTCAATCATTAAAAAAAGGAGGATAATCTTGAATGTTAAGACAGCTGAGATGTGTGATATTTGTTTTCGTGGCGTATGCTTCTCCAACCCGTGCTTAGGAAAAGGGCATAATTTGAATTATGTAACATGTTGTCATGTGATCTAACGGTTAAGTTTCTAGATCCAACCATAAATTACTAGAAAGAATATTGATGAGAGAAAATGTCATTACCTTCTAGATTTTGGTAGGTTCCAATGAAAATTCTAAAAATTTGCATCCATGTAGCCAAACATAGTATTGTGATCGAGTTGTAGGCTTGTAGCAATGCTTTCTTAGATATGACCACCAATCCACCACTTATTTTACCGTTCTTTAAGACAACTGTGCTGCTAGAATGCTGAATGGCCAGTGGTTCTTGTGTAGGGACTGTAAATGGAGAAAGTAACTTTGAAGAACCTGTGGAGTTTGATCCAATTAAACATCATAATTTTTTCTGTCCTTGGGTAAATGGCAATGTTGCTGCAGCTGGTGTTAGCAATGGTAATGGCTCTGGTGCTGGTGCTTTAGCACTTTGTGGTTGGCAGCTGACCTTGGATGCTTTGGATGGTTTCCAAACGCTCGACCCAAATCAAACTGTTCAATCTGAATCCGCTGCTTCTCTGTACAAGGTATGTCAGTTTCAGCACTATTAAGTTGATTCATAAAGGAGATCTTTATCTATCAGTGATATGTTGAGGTCTTAAATTTATTAGTTTAACACCCTTTAAGGCTTATGTGACTGTAAACTTCATCTCTAGACAACCGACTTCCTTTTTGGAAATGCAAAAATGAAAAAAAGAAATCACTCCTTTTGGCATAAAAATGAGGAAAGAACGCTCTAAGGTGGCGTTTGTTTTTTAAGAGGTGCTGAAGTCTGAAGTCTTATTTCACTTCTGATTAATAAGAGATGGTGCTGAAGTCTAAAAGCTGAATCGATAAAACTGTTTATTTTTGTAAACTGACAAATGTAATAGTTTGTTTTGGTAAAATCAGGTGCAAACATTTTGCAAAATTCTCTTGATTTTCATAAAATTTCTATTACCGAAATTCATCTTAACAATTAATTAACATATGCTATCGGGAATGTCGCTGGTTTGTTTGCGGAAAGATCGATACTTTTGATAGAAGATAGATCGTCGAAAGAAGTTCTTGTTTCCCATTAATCTTCTAAGCTAACCTATACATGCAAAATATATATATATATATATATATATATATAGAGAGAGAGAGAGAGAGAGGTGGGGGCGTGCATTTCACATAGGTGATGAAAGGACGGCAGCATTCCTGATGGAGAAAGAAGCAATAGCCAAAGAGAATCAAAGAAAATGAGAAATAAGAGGAATTAAGATATTACTTTACCGCTTATTTATTCAGACCCTATTAAGTGATAAGAGACTGAAAATAATAAAAAAACAAACAGTCTGAATTACAAAACTTCTGAACACATCAGACATAAGAGGTAATTAAGAGCTGAAAATGAAAAAACAAACAAAGCCTAAGTATCTTTCGGGTGACTTAGTTTTTAAATTCTCTTTGGTTACTTGTTACAATGTTTGAACTTGGTAGAAAATGGTGTTTGGCAACCGATTTGGGTTAATGCTACTATGTTGTAAACTTGATTGGATGTTAATTTACAATACATGTTTATTAAAAAAAACGAGTTTACTATTTGACTTATGATGCGGTTTCAAACTAGTTGAGCACAATTCATACCTTTTTTCTACTAAGTTTTCGTCTCTTTTTTCTGAAAACATACCAATCTTGCTAGAAGCGTTTGATTTTATTATTGAAAATCACTGAGGGCCTGTTTGGTTGCGGGATTTGGTATTGGATTACATTTCAATCCGATATTTGGTTTAAAGGAAAGTCCGGAATTGAAATCCCACAGACATTGGATTTAGAAATCTCACAAAGGTAGTTATTATTTCATGGGATTTGTTTATAACAGTGTTATAAAGTATGGTAAAAGCATTTGTTTTGTATCTATAAATAACGGAATGCAATTCCATTCCAAATCCTATAGATCGAACACACCAAAATTCCAAATCCTTTTGGTTGCTTCCAGTTCCAAATCTTTCCACGAAATTCAAATCCCTCAAAAACATTCCGTCGAACCAAACAGACCACAGTCTAACAACAATTCTAACATAGGTTTTACCAAATGAGGTGGCTCTAGTTGGTAGACTTGAGAGTTTTCTGTTGTCAATTTTCTGCAAACAAATGTAAACGGCATTGGTGATGTGACATGATCATTTGCAGGACGAGGGTCAAATTTCTGGTCGGAAGCTCGTGACACGACGCTCTCTCAGCAGAAGCCATGGGCAAAATTGAAATCATCAGCAAATCGGTAATCTTTAAATCTGTCTCAAGAAGTTGTCTATGTCTAAGGTACACATTCAAGAGTTCCTTCCTGGCTGCGCAGCAGCCGTACAACCGGTCTATATCCATTTTGACTTTATTTTCTCCCGTCTTGCTTGCTTATAGCGGTTTTAATAACGCGTTTCAATAAACGCCAAATATGGAGTCTTTTTATAGGTAGGATAATGACAATGATGTTGTAAGACCCTAGAAACACATTTGCATGCTTATTTTCATATGGAAATCTGAGTCTTCCTTTACGCAATGCCTTCAAATACTCATGGTTACTTTGGTGGGCTCTTTTCGGTTACGATTGTATACAGAACGAACAGCAATTAAAACGATGCACGAAACTGAGAGATTTATCTCGTGTGATCTGTGTCTCAAATTTGGAGTTCTTTGTCACTTTGATTGAGATTCGTTGATATATTGATCTTAGGGGCCGTTTACCAAACACTTATCGGGTAAAGGCCTACTGGCAAAAGTCACCACCCCGCTTACCTTATTATTAACATTCTCAACCATCAAAATTGATTGTTGGTAAGCATCTTTTACCTGGTAAGTGCTTACCTAGTTAGGGGCCGTTTACTAAACACTTATTTGGTAAGTGCTTAACGCATAAATTTGCTCATCGGATGAACATGAGAAGGGCCAAGCATCTTACCGGGTAAGAGCGTTGAGAAGGATAGAGAGTCTTACCCGGTAAGTGAGGATGATGACTCTTACCCAGGTAAGCGTTTACCTAGTAAATTGTTGCATTTCGATATGCTTTAATGTACTAAAATCTTATGCATCTAAATAAATTATAATGTTGACTTTTATTGTAAGCGCTTACCGTGTAAGCGCTTACCGTGTAAGCATTTGGGTAAATGGCACCTAAGTCTTCTCACTCACTTATTGGGTAAAATCGATGGTCCTTGTTATGTCTCTTACATGATAGGATTTTCAGTACATGGTCAGACACCAGTAAGCGGATATAAAACTACTTTTCCTTTTCGCAGGATCAAACCGACGTCTTTTAATATGGTCGTCGATTCTTATCTTTTCTGGTTTTCACTTTCGATATCAATCGATGAATGTTGACTCATGCGAATATGGTTTAAGAGCTGTTTTTGAATTGTTGAAAACCGAATGTTGAAAGTGTACACCAAGTGATAAATGTTCTGAATACAAAAATGTTTCGTCCCTTTGTCAATTGAGTTACACCACCGAGAGTGATAGGACCGAACAACTGTTAACAAATTAAGCCATATATTTAACATTAAATCATAATCAAACGTCGTTTTTACATAAAAATAGGGGTGACAATTTTGTATCAGATCAAACTAACCAATATAGGTACCAACTGCACAATTAAAATTGATACCACTTTAGTTGGTACTTGGTACAATAGACAATTAGTTGGTGGTACCCTTCCAAGTGTGCAAACTTGGTTGACAAGCAGTATTGGAAGTCGCTTAACACGGTAGTACCATGATATCGACTTATTTAATTATTAATTAATTAAAAAAATTAATTATAAAGCATAATTATTGATTTTTAAGTTCTGTAACACAAGACTTGTTTTAGGTATTACCTGGGAGCTCAAATTGTCACTTAACAATTTGAACTAAATAACAAGTTTTCATATATGTAATATGAAGTTAAAACCACTACCAACCAAACAAAGTCGGTACCAATTAAGCTGATACAAAGTAGTTGGTTGATATATAATATAAAAATGTGCAAATCAATAATAATCGGTTGATAAATGATATTGAAGAAAAAAACTTGGTACCAAAAGAAGAGTCTGAAACATTTAAAACTTGTTCCCGTTTTGCCCTTTTATTGGAGAAAATAATAATAATTTTTTTTGTTTTATTTTTTTACTTTACTAAAATAATTTGTTTTTAATCATCTTTATTATGAAAATGGATGGATATGATTGGTTTGTAAGGTTTCCATGAAATGGATGCCTTAGAAAGTAAAATAAAAACGTTTGAATTTTAATAATATATATATATATATATTATAAAGCATTTGACAAAAACTATTAAAATTATTTTTTTATGATGATTATTGTTTATTGATGTATATTACTTAAAATTCAAGATTACAAGTAAATTGTACGTAGATACAACTTACTAAAACTTCATGTTTGAATTCGTATAACTAACATCAGACAAACATAATCAAATAAAAGATAAACATCTTATTTAAATATAAAAATTTTAAAATATAATTAGGATAATCATTGAGTTATAATAAAATATTTAATTATTATCTTTATAAAAAATTATATTACAAAAAAAAAATGAATTAAAGAAATACACAAAAAAATGAGAAATTTTAAATAGTCATTTTGATACCAATATCAATATTCTTTTTTCAAATTTTTATAATATATTTTCGTATTTATATTTTATTTAAAAATAAAAATATTATCGTTTTTTCAAAATCACATAAAATTGTATTATAACATTAACCGAGACAAAAAAATAAAACGAAACATAAAAATCGAAATATATCTCGTTATATTGTACGAGTTTTCTTCTAATATATATATATATATATATATATATATATATATATATATAGGTTGGTTATTATACAACTCTTGACATTTGTGTAACCAATACAACTCAATCTCAACCGTCTATTTCATTTGATTAATATATGATTTCATAAAAGTTTTGATTGTTTCATAATATAAGATATTGATCATAATTAATGAACCATATTCATCTTCCATAAATATTCAAATCATAATAAATGAACTCTCATTATTTCCATAAATATCTCAATTTATTGGATTGCATTAGTTGTATAAATACAACGTGTTGTATTTGAAACAAACACTCTCTCTTCTCTATGTATATATTCCTAATTATTCATGTTCTAATTTCTATCCATTAATATTTGTTTTAATAAAATAAAAACGTTTTGAGTTTTAATAATTAAAAGAAAACGACAGAAGCATCTCCTCTTCATCTTTATATCAAGTTCATCAGTCACGTAATGAAACTGTATTGCCAGCTCTTCTTCGCCATTTTTGCCGGTACACCATGAGCTGGCGGTGGGCCGGAGCTATAGGAGCTGCAAAGGTAACTAACTTACTTCAATTTTTGGTTCAATTCATCTTCTTCACTATTCTTATTCGAATCCACCAATCAATTGATTAATCTACACAGAAAAAGCTCGATGACGACGATGCGCCACCCAAATACCAGAGCGTTGCCCTAATTGTCGGAGTTACAGGGATCGTCGGCAACAGCCTCGCTGAAATCCTCCCACTCTCTGACACTCCCGGCGGTCCCTGGAAGGTCTATGGACTCGCCCGTCGCCCTCGTCCCCAATGGAACGCCGACCACCCAATCGAGTACATCCAGTGCGATATCTCAGATCCCGACGAAACCCTCACCAAACTCTCCAATCTCCAAGACGTCACCCACCTCTTCTACGTCACTTGGGCCCACGGATCCACCGAATCTGAGAACTGTGAAATCAACGGGAAAATGTTCAAAAACGTCCTCGATGCAGTCATCCCTAATTCCCCCAATTTACAACATGTTTCTTTGCAAACTGGCCGGAAACATTACTTGGGTCCTTTTGAACTGTATGGCAAAGTAGCTCATGATCCCCCTTTTCATGAGGATCTACCTCGTCTTGATGCCCCCAATTTCTACTATACCCTAGAGGACATTCTGTTCAAATCTGTTGAACAAAAGGAAGGATTAACATGGTCGATTCATAGACCTGGAACAATTTTTGGGTTTTCGCCATATAGTGTGATGAACATAATCGGTGCTTTATGTGTTTACGCCACAATCTGCAAGCACGAGGGGGTTCCATTCAAGTTTCCAGGAACGAAGGAAGCTTGGGATCATTACTCTGATGTTTCAGATGCTGATTTGATAGCTGAGCAACACATATGGGCAGCAGTGGAACCTTACGCAAAGAATGAAGCTTTTAACATCAGCAATGGCGATGTGTTCAAATGGAAGCACTTTTGGACGGTGTTGGCTGAGCAATTTGAGGTCGAGAATGGAGGGTTTGATGGAGGTGGGGAGAAGATGAGGATGGTGGAGATGATGAAGGATAAAGGGGAAGTTTGGGATGAGATTGTGAGAGAGAAAGGACTGTTGGGTACCAAATTGGAGGAGGTTGCACAATGGTGGTTTGTGGATATGATTCTTGGAGGTGAGTGCATGTTGGACACCATGAACAAGAGCAAAGAACATGGGTTTTTAGGGTTTAGGAATTCCAGATCTTCTTTGATTTCTTGGATTGATAAGATGAAAGGTTACAAGATTGTTGCTTAAATGGATATGTGGGATGGCTTTCATGTTTTGCAATTCATTTTTCCATTTTCTTATGATATGATTATGATGTTGTATGTGTAACAAGAAATGAATAAAAGGGTTTGATTATTGGAGTTTATGTAATTGAATCATCAAAAACACCTTTTCGAGTCGGTTAGAATTTGATTTTTTCTCTTCTATATATGATGGAACCTTTTTTTTTGAAGTATATTTCTAAGTTCAATTATGAACTGAAATGTTATAAATGAATATTGATGTAGATGTGTATCAGGTGAAAATAATGAAGTTGGCATTTAAAGATTAGAAAGTGTACTTGGTGGTCCATTCTTGATGTTGCAACTACCATATTTTGTCTCACTAAGTACAACCCACCATAACTATGTCGATGACCATAAAAGCGTCAGGGACGAACCCAATTATATTTTTCACATGATGACATCATATAAAACGGTTGCATATTTCACAAACTTGAATTTTTCACTCTCGGAGGTGGGTTATGTTGGACACCATGAACAAGAGCAAAGAACATTGGTTTTCAGGGTTTAGGATTCCAAATCTTGTTTGATTTCTTGGATTGATAAGATGAAAGGTTAACAAGATTGTTGCTTAAATGGATATGTGGGACGGCTTTCATATTTTGTGATAATTTTTTCCATCTTTTTACGATATCATTATGATGTCGTATGTGTAACAAGAATGAATAAAAGGGTTGATTATTGTAATGAACGTTGCCTTTCTTTGGAATATGGTTTAATAGCTGTTTTTGAATTGTTGAAAGTATGCATAAAGTAATAAATGTTTTTAATTAAAAAAAAGAATTTATGAATTATTTGAAATAATATAAATTCAATGATTTCATCACAAAATATTTAATAATTTGAAATTTACTACAAACAATTTAGCATCTAAATTGATTATAGTTTTTAAATCTATACATCTGTTTTGAGCAAAAGCTCCTTTTTTTTTATTAACCTGGATATCCAACTCGCTATGGAGCCGACTAATCCTAGGACGACCACCTGCTTTGCAGATAGCCTGGAGTCATCGCATTTGAACATCCATGACCACAAATAGATTTTTATTCTTCCTTGGATTTGAACTTGGGGCATCCTAGTACTTTTAACCTTTGGAGCCAAGCTCAAACCAATCAGGTACCACCCTTGTGACCAGGGCGAGCAAAAGGTCCGTTAGGAACAACATATATGAGGAGGCATTTCAAAGTTTACGTAGGTCGAGGCTAATGAATAGGTTCACGTTCGTCTACCTACATGATTCAAACTTGAACATGCTTTATATTTTGAGCAAAGTTGTAAGGTCTGTTTATCAACTGAGCTATACAACGTAGAGCTAGGACCAAAGATACTATTAGTAAACTACTAGATTGAACGACTAAAACCTTAACAAATCAAGTCATAACATTTTGGTCCCTAGCGTTTGTCACTTTCAACGGATATTATTCCTAAATTTCAAAAACTCAGATGTGGTCCCTCACGTTTGTCTATTTCATCCCTCCCACTAACAGGCGTTAAATTTTAGAGGTAAATCCAATATAAAAAAAAGGATATTTTAGTCATTTAGGTTATTTTATTATCTTTCTATTAAAAAGACGATATTGTTATCTCTGAATGTCCGATCACACTCCCTAACATGACAGTTACAGTGGCCGGATCTTCGACAATAATCACCTATCTCTATCTTCCTCTTCCACCCCTTTTACGGTGGCCTCCCGTACAACCTAACACATATGTGTATGCACACACACACACACACACACACACACACACACTAGAAGGTAAAAGGACTAAAATATTCTTGAGTTAACTAATCGATTTAATTAGAGTTAGTCAGAGGAACTCTAACATGAAACAAAATGACAACCATAATGACTAAAACTGTAATTAATTTTAAAAAGAGACCAAACTTGATAATAAATGATAATCACGACAACCAAAAATGTAATTTACAAATTTTTTTTTTATTAACCTGGATATCCAACCCGCTATGCGAGCCGACTAATCCCAGGGCGACCACTTGTTTTGCAGATAGTCTAGAGTCGCCACATTTGAACCTCCGTGACCACAAGGAAATTTTTATTTCTCATTGAATTTGATCTTGAGACCTCCTGGTACTTTTGACATTTGAAGCCAAACTCAAACCAATCAAACACCAATCTTGTGGTTTAATTTATGAACTTTATATATGAAAGTATGAAACTATGAAACTATGAAACTATGAAACTTGAGGGTTGTTTTTTACAACATCTTATTTCTGGACTTTATATATGTATATATAGGTCCCAAATAAATAAATGAATCGCAAAATCCTAGGGTTCGTGAGACCGCCATTCTCTACGAGTCAATCCCCCTGCTGCCTCGTTTTCTTGCTCAGGTTTGTAAATTTTTGGTTTACCTGATCGCTAATTGTTAGGGTGTTTGGTTCAGCTTGTGTGTTTAACTTTTGTTTGCTTCATTCAAGAAAACACCATACAAGATGGTTTTTATACTCTTTGGGTATGAACAGATGCAAATATTTTCTGTTATGATCATTGAAATTCTTTTGGGGATTTTGTATTCTTTGATTCTAAAATGTCATTGGGTTGACTTGGAATTTCAAATTTAGCAACTGCTATTCAATTTTTTGAATCTTGCTCTGAGCCGTATGTGCTCGATGAAATGCCTCAGTATCATCCTTTTAAATCAGTATGTGCCTTCTATATTTGGTGACTTGAGTGCTGTTTGTCGGTCGCTTTAATCCTTTTGTAACAATAGGTAAGATTGTATTATTGATATAAACAGAACAAACGAACAAATTGTGCTTGGAAAAGATGAAAAATATGCTTAATAAACACTCATGCCTCTTGCCTTCACCCAACCAAGAGATGTATATACATACATATTTATATAATTCTATATTGCTTAGTTTCACTCATTTGTATACATAACTTAATCTAATTCTTTTTAGGTGCTATTAGGTTTATAGTAGATAACAACTTGTAATTGAAAAACAAGAATTAAGCAAAAAATTTAAAAGAAAATGGCGCTCCAAATATAAATAGTTTTATATTAATTATATATCAGCAGGCCTAACCCAATTTCAGTCCTACTAATTGGCTGGTTGAGTTTAATTGGGTTGGTTGGGCAAGTTGAATGTCTTGGCGGTTTTTTGTACAACCCTACTAATCAGTCATAACCATCTCTTGCCGGGAATGAGACGCCTACCAACAATCTTACTATCTTATTTTGATGACCGAGAATCATATCTGGTATGGTAAGCGAGGACGATGGTTCTTACCTGGTTAGCCTTTTGCCTTCTATATCAGGAAAATCATTCATGTAGTTGCATGTATTTTTCAATTTATCATTTTGTCAAATATAATATCATTATTGTTTGCCACTTTAAGAAAATGAATTATATATCTTTATTTTCGATATAATTTATATATATATGCTTGTTGCTCCCCCTTATTGTAAATCCTGGCTTTGCCCTTGCCAGCGATTGCAAGTATGTAAAGCACCCGCGAACATGTTGCTTAATGCTTATAATCTCAAAAAGCATTAGTACCGACATGTATTAATTTCTCGTTTCTTTCTAAATTTGCAGTAACCAATGGACCCCCAGCCAGAACCGGTTACTTACATATGTGGAGGTCGGTTTTCTTGCTATCCTTTGCTCATTATACTCTATGTATCGTAACTTCTGCAAAAGAAAAGACAAACTTTTAAAACTGTTTACAACAGCACACATATGCTATGTGGAAATCATTACGTTTGCTAATCTTAACAAATCAAATAACATCGATAGATGATAGTGTTTAAGTGTGTATATGTTTTGATGGTCTTCATCGCTTTCCTTTTCTCTAGTTATCGTGACTATTGTAATTGATGCATTTGATTTATGTTGTAGATTGCGGGCAGGAGAATACGTTGAAAGTTGGTGATGTGATTCAATGCCGAGAGTGTGGTTACCGTATTCTATACAAGAAGCGGACCCGTAGAAGTAATTCTCTCACCGAAACCTCTCTTTACTTCAATTATGCTTATGCCATGGTCTTTTTGATGGAAATCTGGAACACATTGATTATGTTTAAAAATCCAAATTAGGTTGTGAGTTGGTCTCAGTTGAGACTAACTGCAAACTTATAATTGATGAAGTCATGTTTAATGGCACTGTCATGCTATAGGGCTACTCCTCATAGGTGAGTCTCCTTGGGGCCACTAGGACCCCATGAGATTAGTCGAGGTGCATACAGACTGACCCGGACACCTGTAGACAACGAATACCAGAAAAAATGGCTATCACATAATTGCTTTGCATCGCCTTATATAAGTCACTGGTAAATGCATCGTTATCACTGCTAATGAAAATTTGCTGCCGGTTGTTTCTCCTCTCACAAGGCAGCCACCAGGTTCGAACGTGTTATCCCTCTTTAAGACACGGGACTGTTTGGTTGGTTTTCCATCACGTCATGTATGAATAAAGCTGTCTGTGGATTGAGAAAAGATTTTTGTTTGGGAGAGTTTTTGCATAAATGGAATGGGCATGTTTTTTCTTAATTGGGAAGAGCAGGTTTGGGAAAATTTTTGGTTTTTACATAAAGCTCACCCTAGAAGCTTACTGAATAAGTTACTTTTGGTATCATTAAGCCACTACCAAACAGTCATGAATAAGCTATTTTCCAAATAATATGTCCTTATGTCGTTTTAGGCTTATTGTTAATCTAGAGTTGCCAAACATAGTCTTTAGATTCATTAATATATCGAACCAATATGGTTGATTCTTGCTTAACATTATTTGGTGCAGTTGTTCAGTACGAAGCTCGTTGAAGAAGACTTTACGATAGAAGCTTGCATGGATGGATATTTTCAAGTATGTTTGGAACAATCAAATGATCATGTAAACAACCAACAAATTACCGATGTGTGAAATTTGGATCTTATGGTATCTCTCATTAGATGCCAATGTTCATCTTGTTTAATGGTGAAATGTTTATAGAGTACAACTATTTATCGTGTCTATATTTCAAATGTGTCTGGTATTTGGTATAATTAAGATTGGATTTGAAAAATTGTCAGTATAATGTTTTTTTTATTAACCTAGATATCCAACCCGTTATGTAAGCCGACTAATCCCAGGGCAACCACATGCTTTGCATATAGCCCGAAGTCACCGCATTTGAACCTTCATGGCCACAAAGGGATTTTTGTTCCTCCTTGGATTTGAACCTGTGACCTCCTAGTACTTTTGACCTTTGGAGTCAAGTTCAAACCAATCAGGCACATCTTTGTAGTTTTGTCGATATAATGTTATTGATCTGGAGTATGGTATTGTCAGTATAATGTTATTGATCTGGAGTATGGTATGATTAAGGTTGGATTATACAAGGACAAAATGTTAAAATGATGATGTCTTTTCTCCGATGATGTTTCGGGTTTTTCTATAATATTTTATATCTAATGGGCGTGGTTTTGTAATTTAGCAATTTAGAATTTAGGTATATAAGCTTGTGGTTCATACGAGAACAATAAACAAATAAAGAAAATAAGAAAAATGGCTGAATCACATTTGATTTTACATTAAAATCACGTGTAAGATCATGTGATGCATGACTTTATTGTTGGTCACGTCGCTTATACACCTGTGTTATCTGGTTGGGCCTGTTTTAGAACTTCAAATGAGATTCTAATTTAATTATGATCTCATGTTAGGTATGGTGAAAGACTAATTTGGGTAACTAGTTGGACCTGACTTGTTAAGTCCGGCTCAACCGTCCCAACCGATGTTAAGAAACGGGCTCGGACCAGTAATTTGTCCATCTCAATCACGCATACCGAACACACCCTAGAAGATGATTATTACCTTCAGCATGAAGTAACAAAATGGATACATAATTCAGCATAAACTAACACGTTGCTCAAATAGATACCAGTATTTCACGTCGATGGACCGTATGAGAATATGAGTTAAGGTGAGAATCGTAAGAAGAGATCTGAACCTTTGATTACTTTTAATCTCACTCCCACCCTATGAGTTGGGCTTCTCATGAGAATCGATTTGGTGCATCTCCTTAGGGTTGATCTTCGATTAGGATTCATTCAAGGGTGGAGATCCTTTCTTATCTTTCTCACCGTAACTTCCATTCTCATCAGAACCCGTATTTCCATTATAGCTAAAACGTTTCAGTGGTCAGTATGAGATTATGATCAAACCCTGATACAGCTTGCAAAACTTCAACACCTTCTGGTAGTTCAACCAACATGGGTTCGGGTTCATCTATAGAGCTGCCTAGACCGAGCCTCCCATTTCTTCCGCACCCCCAAACAAAGACCTCTCTGGCTGACGTGAGAGCCAGCGAGTGCACGCGACCGCCGGATACTGACAACAGCTTTTCTCCTAGTAGCCCAACCACGAGGTTCGGGAGGTTTTCTGGACCTACTCTTCCTAGCTGAGAATTCTGGTTCCAACCCCATGAAAGGATGCCCTCGGTCATGCCGCCTGCTTTTGGGATTTTGCATATGGCAAGTGAATGGCCGAGCCCCGATGCAACACACACTGCACGTTCCTTTGTGTCAACTGGAAGCAACCCAAGATCTTGTTTTGATCTACCCAACTGGCCATAGGTATTGCTTCCACCGCTTAGTAAGATTCCGTCACCTGAAACAAGACCGTATTAAAATGAATTCGCGGTTGAGTTCCATTCTTTTGTAACATTTTCCTATGCTTGGTGAGTTCCACCTTCTCTTCTTTTGTCTAAGTACATGTATGGCAACTACAAGCCTACTTTGTTCTAAAAAGCCACTTCAAGTAGCGTCTTAACAAGCTTCGGTTTGATCCACTTTTTACCCAGTTAATTTTTTAACACGTCCTTTTAGGTCGTTTTACACTGTCATCTAGTTAATCAACTAGTTTTTACCAAACAAAGACTAGTTTATCAGCCAACAACTAGTTTGCCAAACATAGCCTAACTGAGATCTTGGTTGTTTGGGTTGGTTTTCCATTAAGTTGTCTCTATGGGTTAGTCTTGTCTGTATAAATTGAGAAACTTATTGTTTGGAAGGTTTTTTATAATAGACAGAAGAAGCGTGTTTTTAATTGGGAGGGGCATGTTTGTCAAAAACTTTGGCTTTCTACATAAAGCTCCCCTAGAAGCTTACTGAATAAGCCACTTTCTGTATTATTCACCAATACCAAAGAGTCATGCATACTTGACCAAATCAGCCCGAGTCCCATTAAGCTCATTAAGCCGCTAACAAACAAACCCTTAATCAAGAATGAAAAAAGATCACTTACTTTGAAGAACTAATGTATGGTCAAGCCCACATGAGATATCCACCACTTTAACACCTTCTAGCTCTTCAATCAAACAGGGCTCCCAAACAATTGGCATGTCATTCTCCTTATCCATTGCTTCCAAGACCACCTTAGCAGCAGCTTCCACCTTCGAACTTGAAGTTTGATCGGCAATTGTTGACATATTTCCGTTTGAATCCAGCGAAGAAGCCCTTGTAGTTCCTCCTCTCGTTCCTAACCTGCCATCTGCTGAATAACCCCACCCGAACAACTTTCCATCCTTAGTAAGTGCTAGAGCATGTCCCCATCCAAGCGAGACCTGTCCAAGAACACAACATGAGAACCCTGGAAATCACAAGGTTATTTAAGAGAATAACCTTGTGGTTGATTTTTTTAAATGCATGACCTTCTGACAAATTTTAAGGCAAAGACGTTTTTATCAGAATCTCATACTTGCAAAAAAAATCTGTCGTAATGGTATTTTTCTTAATAACAGAACACATGCATTGTGGACACATCTTAATGATGATATTGAGGACCACTAGTTCTACCTTAAGAATGGGTTCGAGACCACCTTAATTATCTCTTCTTTAGCAAGAGCTTCAATTCTGGAAGGAAAAACAGCTTCAGTGATTCCATTTCCAAGACCAAGTTGACCACGCTTCGATTTTCCCCAAACCCATAAGGACCCATCAAGTCCTATTGCTGCAGATACAACACCAGATGCAAATGCAGATCGGACACTACTCAAGCCCTCTACTCGTTGTGGTCTACTCCATGTTTCTCTGTTAAATAGTCGACAAAACACTTCGAATATGAACTATGGGTTCCCCACAGGTATAAACAACAATGAACAGCCACAAATCTGATGATAGTACTGAAAAAAATGCATAGTTCTTTTTTGGGTAACCGTTGGTGTCCGTGCCAGCTTATGCGCACCTCAACTAATCCAATGGTGCTCGGAAGATATCAGACGAGAAAATCCTAAGTGCCCCTAAGGAGATTCGAATTGACGACCTTTGGAGAGATACCCAAGGCCTAACTTTTATTAGCCAGTGGAGCTGTACCTCAAGGTTCGACGGTGCATAGCTTCTTAAAATGTATTGAAGGTTCTTGATACCACTTACATTAGATGCAAAACACTGACCCAATTCAACAAAATCAATAACTTGTTTGGTGCAATATTGTTTTCAAAAAGATGTTCTAGCCTTCTAGGGGAGATCCCCGCAGCCTAACCTATATTGGGGCTGTTTGGTTGATTTTCCATTAAGTCTTGTATGAATAAAGCTGACTGTGGTACTAACCTTTTTGTATAGATTGGAAAGGTTTTTGTTTGGGAGGGTTTTTCATAGATGGAAGGTGCATGTTCTTAAATAGGGAGGGACCGTTTTGGAGAACGACTTGGCTTTCTGCATAAAGGTCTCCTAGAAGCTAACTAAATAAGCCACTATATCATTAAGCCACTACCAAACGGTCATGTATAGCTCACCGAATAAGCTGTGAGTCCCATTAAGCTGCTAACAAAGATGCCCTAAGACATCATAGTTCACTTGAAATTCGATCCATGAAATACTCTGATGAGTGAGTTAAAATATTCATCTTACACAATTTTTAATCATCCATTTCCAGTGAAAATGATGGAATTCAACACATATCACAATTTGATCATAATATATTTCAAGTAATAAGAATCAACTTGATCAGTTTTCTCATCAATCATGATAACCACAATTTTAAGAAAAATAACTCAAAATCGTCAAATTTGAAGACTCATATATTGACATTAACCATCAAAACCCTATTTTATGTGCTGCAAATACTGATCTAGCAATGGGAAAGCACGCTGTGGCTGAAAATTAAACTATGTGAGGTGGTAGGTTCGATTATTGTGAAGTGAATTAACATTTTAGAACATACCTAGGGGAACCAACACCACGACCTAGTTGCCCTTCAACGTTGCGACCCCAAGACCAGAGGTGGCCCTGAGAGGTAACGGCAAGTGAGTGATAGTGTCCGGCTGCTATGCTACAGACGTCGGGTGGTAAGCTGGAGATGGCGGTTGGTTCATAAGCGTCGGAACCGATGCCGGTGATGGAAGCAGGTAGACCAAGAGCACCATGAGTACCGTCTCCAAAACTCATTACTGTGGTGGTGTTGCTCATCCATCGACGCCGGATAACGCCATTAGAAGGCAGCTTCTTCAAAAGTCGAAACATAGTTCAAAATGTTTTGCAATATTAGGATCAAAATTCAAAGCTCAGCTGTTGTTCTTTGGCAAAGGAAGAAGAATTTCAATTAGCGTACTTCAGCGATAGTTGAATCAATCAATTACCGCAGAGAGATCCTCCATCAAAATGGGAGATTTCCAATGGAGAGTTCTTCACCCAAAACAAATTTGACAAGGTGCCATTGTGCGTTTTAGATACGATATTTGAAGGGGTGTCTGATTATTATAATAACTTATTCTGGTCGGATATTGATAATAAGTATTTTAAATGTTTGAATAAATAATTTATATCAGTATCAAATCAATAATAAAAAGATTTTTGAAGAAATTAAAACCTTCTAATTTATAATAAGTTGATAAATGCTTTTGTAAAAAAATATAAATTATTTCAAATAAGTAATCCGAAACACCTCGTACTACCAAACCTTTTGGAGATGTTATTCTTTAGAACCCTAATCTTTAATATTATAATTAAGGACTTGTTTCTATGGTTTTTATAAAAATGGTCCTTAAACTTCATTTATTTAGAACTCATCGTATGTTGTTTTGTAACGAATTGACCCCTCTTATTAACGGCCATCCAGTTTATCCGTTAACCTTGAGAGTATTTCCGTCCTTTTTCTATTTCTTTTTATCTTTACTCGATAAACCAATTTTATAAAAACTATACAATTCACAGGGACCAAATCCATAATTAGGTCTAAAAATATTAGTTGTTTTATACTTTTAGTTTATTAAATTAATTAATTATTATACAGTAATATATATTAATTATTATACTTTAAGTTTTATTTTAATATATGATATATTTTCTTTTAAAAAAATAAATATTACGTACATTAGCGTGCACACACACATGTAATGAGGTTTAGTATAAAATTATCAAATCATTAAATTGATTGATTTAACATATATGATTAAATAGATGTTTACAACAATTAGTTTTTAAATTAAAAAACCCTCAACCCACCTATTTTTATTCGAAAAAAGACAAAATATAAACAAAAAATTGAACGAATTAAATTACACAAAAAAAAAAAATCATATTTTTCTCACTAATTTGACATTCATATTGATATATTCTTTTCATCGTTTTTTATGTGTTTTTTTGGTATTTCATTTATTTTGCATTGAGAGAGAGTTGAGTTTTGGAGAAAACGCTAAATAAATGAAAAACCGAAAAATCATGAAAAAAGATATGCCAATGTGGTGTAATTAATTTCACCTGATTTTTGTTTTTTTTTTCAGGATAAAAATTAAGGGTAGTGAGATTTTTTTTAATCTAAAAAATATTGTTATAAACGTTCATTTAATTACATCAACTAAATTAATTAATCAAATGGTTGATGGAGTTAGGTTTCCCTTAAACGATTGAACCTCACTATGTATATATGTATATGTATATACACGTGTATGTATGTACGATATACACATTTTTCTGAAAGAAAATATATCACACATTAAAATTAAACTTAAAGTATATTAATTAATTAATATATATGTTAAATTATTATAATTAATTAATTTAACAAAAATCAAAGTTTAAAAAAATTAGACTTAATTATGGATTTGATCTTTTTGGTTTGTGTGATTTTTACGAAATTGGTCCTTCGAGTAAAGGCAAAAAAAAAAAAGGAAGAGAAAAGAACAAAAATGCCCTCCAAATTTACGAAGAAACTAAATGGCCATTAAAGAGTAACCAATTCGTTACAAAACGACATATGACAAGTCTTAATCCATAACAAATGAAGTTCAGGGACTTTTTCTTAAAAACCACCAAACTATAAGGACAAATCCGTAATTTACTCTATAATAAATTATAGAATGAATCTATGTTATTATATTGGTACAAGCCTATATCGTTAATACCATGTTTTTTTTTTAATTTTTGTTAATTAAATTCTAAACATTTATGGTTGTACAAATATTCTATTTATGTGCGTTTAAGTTTTGTCGATAAATATACTCGAACCCAAACCTTTTTGTACAAAGGCAGGAGCATTTGCCATCTCCACTATTAAAACCCGAATGATTAATCGTCGATGCAGGTAAGCTGATCCAAAAAACCCACAGTTACTAAAAAATACTTTTTAATTTTAAAAACCATATGATGATACTCAATAAAACGATACAGTGACATCCTTTAGAAACGTATTTTTCCCCAAAAACTGAACCATGAAACAACGGCCGTGTCAGTTGCCACCATATCCTTCTACATAGGTCCGTCTCTGCAACCAAGCAATCTCTCTCCTACGTAAATGGCAGGTAAATCTTTCATTTTGCCATTTACAAAGAAACTGAAAACCATACTCATGAATTTGACCTATAAACTTTTAAATATGCAGACTCCCAGGGGACTTTGGGTTTGAGTTCGACCCACTTGGTCTCTCAGATCCAGAAGGCACCGGAGGGTTCATTGAGCCCAGATGGCTAGCCTTTCGAGAAGTCATTGCCATGCTTGGTGCAGCCGGAGCCATTGCACCTCATCCCAGCCGAAACCGCCCTCCCATGGTTCCAGACGGGTGTCATCCCCCCAGCCGGCATCTACAGCTACTGGGCAGACCCTTGCACCCTATTCGTGACGGAAATAGCACTCATGGGTTTTGCCGAGCACCCAAGATTCCAAGACTGGTATTAACCCAGGCTCCATGGAAGGCAATACTTCTTGGGACTAGCGAAACGGTTTTCGGGATCAGGGACTTGGCGTACCCAGGTGGGCCCTTCTTCAACCCGTTGGGGTTTGGGAAAGATGAAAAGTCAATGGAAGAGTTGAAGCTAAAAGAAATCAAGAAAGGCAGATTGGCTATATGTTGGGTTTTACTTCATTCAGGGTCTGGTCACAGGGGTTGGACCATACCAGAACCTTTTGGACCATCTGGCTGACCCTTTCAACAACAATGTGTTGACTAGCGTTAATTAACAGCCTGTTTGTTAGCAGCTTAATGAGCTTAACGGGACTCACAGTCAGCTATACATGACTGTTTGGTAGTGGCTTATTGATATATAAAGTGGCTTATCCAGTAAACTTCTAGGGGAAGCTTTATGCAAGTTTTCCCAAACCTGCCCTTTCCAATTGAAAAACTCGCTCCTTTCATCCATGAAAAACCCTCCCAAACAAAAACCTTCTCAATCCATATAGACAGATTAATCCACACAGACAGCTTTACCCATACAGGACTTAATGAAAAACCAACCAAACAGCCCCTCAGTTCCACTAAAAACTCGTTTCTTATATGTAATATTGCACAGTTTTTATTTGGAATACTATAAATTAATCATGTGTTAAGGTTACCGAAACCTTAAATCATTACTATCCATACACTAGAGATCCGGAAAAATGACGTAAATTCTCAGCATCTAAAAACAAAGGCAAACTTCATTGCATTTTAATAAAACAAGAATAAGATAAACAAGATCACCAGATCATGCGGCTTGAGCTAAAGCTTCAGGTGCATCAGCCCTGCAGGTGTAACGAAGTTCGAGATCATAGAAAATTATTATGGTTGCAATGAATACAAGAGGCAAATGCATCAAAATGTAACGAAGTTTGTCTTAGTTCCTATTTAGTGTAACAAACATTCAATTCTTCCTATTTTGTACCAATTTTAACTTAAAAACAAGATTTTAGCCTATCGGGTTGGTTTTGCAGTGACATTTTTCCATGTCTTGACAAATTGGTATCAACGTCATCAATAGTTTCAAGATCTATCGGTTACTGGTCAAAATTGGTACAGAATAGGAAGAACTGAATGTCTGTTACACTAATTCATCTCATTTTGATGCATTTTTACCATACACTTATCATAAAGCTTTTGCTTCTTGGGCATATAGTATTGTATAGCCTTTTACCTCTGAAGTCCTTCTCCAACTTCCACTCTTAGAAAGTTTCCAATTTTCACAGGGGATCCCACTTCCTTGGATAGATCATTTAAGAGCGTCTACACGAGATTTTAATATTCAAAAATTTGGTCATGATTATGACCATTCCATAAAAATCGCAACATAATTCATTAACAAAATGCTCGCATACCTTTACATTGACAGTGTCATTCACGATAAATTTTTGCTCCATTAGAACAACTTCTTCAAAATACTTCCTTAATCGACCTTCAACCATCTTTTCTATTGCTGCCTGGGGTCTACCCGAACTTTCAGCCTGGCATAAAAACCAAAGGAATCATTTCAGCAAGTACCCTAAACAAAAGGGGTATTTCTGACTTTAGGGTTTAGGGTCTAGTGGATGACCTGAGACTTGAGAATCTCACGTTCATTCTGGACTGCATCAGAAGAAACAAGCTCCTTTGTTAGAACTAAAGGCTTTGCTGCCACCACATGCATGGCCAATTCTGAACCAACTCGTTGGACAGCATCCAGTGAAGCATTTTCATCCTCAACTTCAAGTGACAGAATTCCAGCAATTCGTCCCAACCCTAAAATTCATATTTTTTTTAAAATCATTTGCTGATTTTCTAGAAACAAAATTTTGAAATGATAACACGTTATCACAAGAAAAATACCGAATCTTACCAGGTTGGGGACATGTATGGAGATATGTAGACATTACACCATGCTTAGACATAGACATGGCAAAACCCCTTCTAAGTTTTATATTCTCGCCCATCATGGCAGCCACTTCTGTAATGGCGTTCTCAACTGTTCTTTCTCCATTTAATTTGGGGTGGTCAAAGTTGATCTTCAAATCCTGTGGAAATTGATTATTTTAGAAGTTAGGAGGATCCAGAGGCTGGCATATACCCTTTTTTACTTAGAACTGAACGCACAACCTCTAAGCAGTGTTCTAAAAGGCTCACTATGGCAGCCGTCATGGCATGCCATGGCTCAAGACTCGTGTCTCATGTCACGTTAAGCTTGTGGAACACCATGGCCTAATGCATGGTTCATGTACGCGAAATTTGATTTTTCTAACCTTTTCAATGTCGTACTTTTAGTTTTTAGTATATAACCTAATTTAAATTGTTTAATATCATTGACATATTTGAGTAATAGTAAAAAAACATATGTGTATGTATATATAATTATATATCTGATATACATATTTGACGCCATAAGTCACGCCTTGAAAAACGTTGTGGCCTCGCTGCGCTCCTAAGGCTTGAGGCTTGACCTCGTCGCCACGCCACACGCCATTTAGAAACTTGCCTCTAAGTCCTGAGGTATAAGTTCATACCATTATAGCTAAAATCGTTTTTTGGTACTTGAAGTTCGAATTAACACATTGGTACCATTGTTACATGCTTTCATGCAAGTTATTACACCTCCAATGGCTATATTTGATGCTAGCCAAGCCAAACTTCCTCAGCTTCTGAAAAAATATGTAGGCTCGGTCTTCGTTCAACCAAGGCTTAAGCCAAGGCCCAACTCATTTAGGCTCTGTTCCATTAAGCCCATTTAGTTATCCCTATGGGATTGTATAGAATCATATAAGCTCAAGCTTCGGCTCAGTTCATAGAGGCACCTATATAATTAAAAATAACATCGAATAACCTAACATAAGGCATTTTTACATTTGGTACTCTACACCCAAGTATTTTTAGTTCTAGTATACTTTGTTTATCTATTCCTTTAACCTTGGTTGCTAACCTTTATAAGTATGTTGTCATATTTTCCCACACCCTTTCAGCTTTCCCGTCTATACAATGATTCCCCTTCTTCAACATATTTTATCCTAATTCATGTTCAAGCTATCTCATTTTATGTTTAAGGCTTGACAAACTAGTTGATAAGCTAGGCGTTGGCAGAAAAGCTAATTGTTGGCTAATAGGGTGGCTAATAAACTAGTCATGTTTGGCAAAAACTAGCTTATAAGGTAGATGATGATGTAAAATAGCCTAAAAGAACAAGTTAACGGTTTACAAATCGATTGGAGAATTATAAAGAGCTAATTGGGAAGGAAAAAGAAGTTGAAAAAAAAAACTGAATGAGCTTATTAACCCAACGGGGCTTTTCCAATAAGCTCAAAAAATAAGCTAGCTTTTGGTCATCAAACATGGTCTATAAATACCTAGTCCTAAGGTGTTAAACACTCTTACTTCATCTAACCCACACCTAGTCCCAAATTGTTTAACACCCTTACTTAATCTAACACCATGACTAATGTAGATGTCAAACACTATGAACCCATGTTGGATGATAACTTACTCCCCTCATATGGCACTTGATTCTCTCTTAGCGAGGGGAAACTATGTATGGCTATAATTTTGGCAATTGCTATGGGCGAACAATGCTTCCTTCTTGCTTCTATTACCATGCTTAACTCCCTCCAAAAGTCTACACCATATAATAAAAAAAAATCGCATTTTCTATAAGAACTACTCATAATAAGAAGATTAAGAAGTTATCCTCACCTTATGCAAAACCATGGCACAAGGAGTATAAAGTTGGATATATAATATAGTTATATACACAACAACAGTAAATATACTGGTTTGAAATAATATATCATTAAGGCACACTTGTATTAATATGAACATATCAAGTTGATTATCTTCCTCGTGTATGATGTATGGCTCGAGCTCAAGCCATATAAACAAACTACAACCACAAATGAATCAAAAATAAAGAGCTTCAAAAATCCAACCACATTTGAACCCTGGGATCTCTTACCTGCAAACTATGAGGTCCAACAGGGAAGGTACCAGATAGTTGTTCTGAACTCTCAGCGGACAGCGCCAACTTGGCCAAAGATGAGGCCTGCAAGGATAACCATTTAGAAGTAATCAATCAAAAAGTAGATATGTTGAAATATGTGGACATCATGTTCCTGATAATAAACCAAACCAAGCCAAACAAACCAAGTCTCGAAAGCAGGGTCTTTTGTGGGGGTAGGCAGTCCTCATCTCTACCCCAAAGGGTAGAGCGGTAATTTCTGTGAAGCCGCCCGCCTTGTGCAAATAGCTTTCTTGTCCAGTGAAAATAGTATACATGTAATAGCCAACAAGTAACTTGAGAAGTGCCCCAATGAGATATAGGGAAACGATATTTTTTACTTTTGGCTATACATACATTTCAGTAAGTTAGCAAGAATGAAACTCAAAGGATCGATTCATCTGCCTCATTTATGAACTGCATATGCAAAAACTAAGACACTAACCAAGTATTGAAATATTTCATTTCTTGCAACAAAATCAGTTTCACAGTTGAGTTCAATAACAGCAGCCTTGGTTTCATTCTGAGCCAGAGCAAGCAAACCCTCAGCTGCAGTGCGAGATGACTTTTTAGATGCAAGAACAATTCCCCTTTTCCGCAGTTCCTTCTGAGCAGCCTCTGTAACATAATTACCATGCTATATTCAATATAAACACCACAGAAACCCTATAAGTGAGAAATAAAAAGCAAAAGAAAACTTACCCAAATCCCAATTGCAATCAACAAGAGCAGACTTGACCTCTTTAATAGGAGCACTGGTTCTCTCCCTTAACTTTTTTATAAGGTTCATATGGTCTGAAGGTGAAGCATCGTTCGAATATTTTCTCACAAACAAACCAGTTCCGGTTGTTTTTGGTTCAGAAATGATGGTTTCCCTATATGCCTGCGTAGAGTAACCATATCTGGAATGTATAGGAGTGCTCAATCGCCTGCAAAGGATCTCGATCGACTGTTTTGCACCTCCGGAAAACATAATTTTGGAGAACTGCTATCAAATCACAGAAATTAACAAACATGAAGCATACAGACCTTAAAAGAAGGTATAAGGAAGAGAAATTGGAGCAATCACTAATATACAGACATAGTATAAGACGAGTGAGATGAGAAAATGAATGAACAGAAAACCGGTACCTTTGTCCGCCGGCGATGCAAGATGAGAAAGAAGCAGTGTGAGGTTTAAGAGCTGCCGGTGGCCGGATCTCGATGGCCGGAAAAGTATGTAACTTTGGGGAACTTTGGCCCAATTATATGAAGGCCTGGGCTTCATATCCAGCCCAACCAAAAATTCCATCACTATCAGTTTTGTAATAAAATTTTATTTTTTATTCTTTATCTTTTGGATTTTGATGAAAATAGTATTTTTTTTTTTATAAATTGGTCTTTTAATCGTTTATTTCCATGATTTATCCAAATATCACTATCTTCGCAAGTAACATCTTCCACTTGCAGATCTAACTAAAAAAATCGATTCAACCCAAGTCGGCAAGTGGTTCCGTCACACTTGAGGTTATGGCCATTGTAATTACGGACCTGTGTTGAATCTGATATTTTTTTGTCTTTTAGCTAGGTCTACAAGTGGGGGAGGTGTCACTTATGAAAATAGTGATATTTGGTAATCAAGGAGAGAAATGACTATTTCGACCAATTTCCTTTTCTTAAAACGTACTATAAATATAATATAAAAAGTGGTGGACAAACAAAAGAAGAGGGGAAATGCGCGGTTTTGATGGCTAAAAGACGAAGCTCGATAGAGAGGACTGCATGTCCTACTAGTCGGATATAAGCCTACTCACGTACCAGAGTGGTTTGACTGCTGGGATCCCAATCGGCCTCAGTACCATCTACCGGGGCTTAAGTGTGGCTCGAAGGAGTCTCACCTCTGACTACTATCTACGATGCGATCAGGACTATCCTAATTTTTATGGATTTTTAAAAATTAAAAGATTGACTATTATTAGACTAAAATTATTCCTTTTTATAGTTATTATTTGCTTCCTCCATTTTAAAATAAGGCTCTGTTTGTTTTTTCAAAATCAGCTATTAATACCTCAGAAGTCTGATTCGATCAAACCTTTTGGTATTAAGAGCCTTTTTTTTATCAAATAAGAGCTTAAAAGCCCTTATCTACCTATGAAAATTTAAGTGGTAGAAAAACCCCTTAATTTCTCTTAATTTCTCTCCACCCTCTGTCTCTATCTCTGTTGCTTCGATTGAAAAACCCACAGACGGGTCGACAAAACCTCCCGCTAGCACCCACTTTTAGGCGAACACAACCTCCCTCTCCCTTTCATAATAGTTTTAATCTCAAACCCCCTCTTAGCCTTAGGGGCTGTTTGACAGTTGCTGAATGGTTTTATCCAGAATCATTAAGTGGTCAGAATGATTAAGAGGCTCTCATGATATAGCGCAAAAGTAAATATAATTGTTTGGTAATTGTTTACAATGAAATTAGGGCTCTTAATGGTTAAGGGAGGCCCAAGATACAAAATCATTCAGGGGGTTTTAGAACCATTAAGAGACGGATTTTTTTCCTGTCAAACAAGATTCACCTCTTAACGATTCAGAGATTGCATCTTAATGAAACTATTAAGAAATAAACAAACAACCCCTTAGTTGCTGAGTAATCAAAAAATGTCCTTTTTATATTGATGTTTTTAGAAGAAAATTTTGTACGCTTGGAAGTTCCTGATAATTAAATAAACCAAGATTTTACCGTAACTGTAATTTTATACAGACGCGAAAACGAAAGCATATGGGGTCGCTTATGTAACTGAATAACCAACACAGTTACATGTAAGACAGGTTGGAATTACCGGTAATTAAACATTTTTGCCCAAATTTAACGTAATATATTCTTTCATTTTACCTTACTTGATTTTAAGGATCTCTCTATACTCACATGTTTTGGTTTTCTATCAAATATCACTTGAAATTTTTTAAACATTCATATAATGTTTATGTTGAAAATGCAAAAATATTGTTAATTACTTGTTTAAAAAATAATATCAAAATCAACACATAATAATACATACACGTTTAAACGCTGTCGTTTAACGTTTGGTTACCCAGTAAGCGTTACCAGTAAGAGTCAACACTTGAACCTACTTTACCAGGTAAGATCATGGTTAATCAAAATGGTATCATATGCAACAATTTACCTGATACGTGTTTACCGAGTAAGATTCTCCATCCTTATTATCGCTCTTGTCAAGTAAGATTCTCGGCCCTTGTCATATTCATCCAGTAACGTAAAATGATCCGCTAAACGCTTATCACATAAGTATTTAGTAAAGAGCCTCTTATACTTTGTTACCACATATTGACCATACTTGATTTTAATAACAATCAAATTCGTATCATTTCTAAGTCTAAATTAATGATAGTTTAAACTAACAATACATCGATACGGCTATTTAGCGTCCCGAGATTTAGACTTCAATGCCACGTCTCCGCTAACAATCGCATCTTGAACCACGATTGGATTCCCATTCGGCTTTAGACTCAAATGCTCGTGTATATACGTTCGTTAATGTTAATACCCAACTCAAATCCGATGTAACAACAAATCAAAGGAAAACAACACGTGATCTAACTTCAAAACAAAGATCCCTAGGATCCCACAACGAAACACATTTTAGACCTCAAATCAAAGATCAAGAACCACCAACGAACCATTTTAACCACTTAGGGGCCGTTTGCCAAACGCTTACCCGGGTAAGCATTTACCAAGTCATATTACTTTACCGGGTGAGTATGGCAAGGACCAAAAGTCTTACCCAGTAAGAGTGAGACAAGGAACAAGAGTCTTACCCGATAAGTGAAGGTGATGACTCTTACCACGGTAAGAGCTTATCGGATAAACTATTACATATGATACCGTTTTGATAGACTAAAATCTTACCGGAAAGCACTTATTGGGTAAGTTTTTTGTAAACGGCCCCTTAATCATTTTGAACCAACTCAGTCATAAGCCAACTAGTTAGTCTTCAATTTGCACTAAATCATACACCACTTAATCATTCTGAACCAAATCATTCAGTATATGTTAAACAACTCTAATCTATAATTATAAAAGCCATTGTCGATATAACGGAGGACTACATCCATTAGAACCTGAGTTCAAGCTAATGAGAAATATTATGGCTCAAAATACTTTATGATCATCTTAATAAGCCATTAAACATGCTATAATCCAATTTAACATACCTGATTCACATCAAACAATCAGAAGGATTCACGTATCTTGTTGGACATTTATTTTTAAGTTTTCCCTTGTTGGATTTGCTTGAGAAGAGTTGCAGCCAACTCTAATGTTGCCTGTAATCGTTTTTGCGGATCTGCATCGGCTTCTACCTGCGCGTTTCCTTGACTGCTAGTCGAGAAATCCCCTTGAGGCATCTGTGGCATGTTTGACATTTGTTGCTGCTGAAATTGTTGCACTTGACGGTATTGAGATGACGAATGCTCAGAAGCGATCTGTGTACTGGGCGAAGGAAGCGTTCGCGGCATTCTATAGGAAGCATTATCCGGAATCATTGTGTTGCTTGATTGCCTAAAGTCGTCTGCGGTTGAAATCCCACTTCCTGATTGCCTCGAGTTCCCAAGAAAAGAAGCCAACTGTGCAAGTTGATCGTGTTGAATGGCACCTGCAGGCATAAACGAAGAAGCTGCAGATTTTACTTCTTGATGACCATATTGTGGCATGGTTGGACTTCCGGGTCTGTAATTACTCGAACTTGTTTCTTGAGTGGTTCTGGGCATGACTGAATCATTGGCGGGAATCATGTAATCACCGCCAGCTCTTGGTGGTGCCGCCAAGTTTCTACCACCTGAGATTAGATTCTGGAGATTCTGAGGATGGGTTCCTTGCTGGTGGAGCATATGTTCCTGTGGGTTTTCAATAATGGGGTCAGCCATGTTTCTGTTCACATGAAAAGGTATCGGACCTGGTGGTAACCCCGGTAAAGATGTATTAGCCCTAGGTTTTCCAAGATGTTGGAAAGGTTGGGCGGGTGGATATGGTCCGGAAGGTGATGAAAATGAAGTTCTAGAAGCTTCTGCATGAGAAGTCATGAGATATGGATCTGGTCTTTCGGATTGAGGTGGAGGTGGAAGAGCCTCCACGGTGGATGACGGTTGTTCTAGCCTCAAAATGACGCCAGAAATACTCAGTTTTCCGGGCACCTTCAGTATTTTCTCCGAGAAATCTGATGGAGGTACGAGAAACAAAGTGGTTTTGTCATCCAGTTTAGCAACGGCAGCACGCTGCTTCTCTCCCAAATAGTTCATGAATTCATTGTAAAACCCCATATCAGCATCACTCTCGGGAACAAAGAATACAACCCATGAACTAGCTGCTTGATAGTAATGTTTTGCTAGCATATCTAAACTAGTCCTGGCAGTGCAATCCAAAAATTCAGGCCTGCATATCGACATGATTCAGGTAACCAATTCACTTCAGCAATTAAATGCACGTTATTTGTTTATATTTCTGTACATTAATACAAGTATGTGTGTTATAACTTGGGTTATTTAGCTAAATGATCTCCTAACAAGTGTTTTTTAAATCCATAACCTTCTGACAGGTTTCTAGGCATTATTGTGTTCAGCAGACGCATTCTCAAACGTGGCAGAAGGTCATAGATTTAAAAAAGAAATCAAATGGTCATTTAACCAAAGGACCCTAAACAACTCCCACCAGCCACAATTTACGGACTATTTAAGCCATTGACCTAAAATGATATTTTTATTAACAATATAACCTTCTAAAGATGGATATTAAGAACTTACAGTATCATGTCAAGTACTTTCCCAACAGGAAAGCAACGAGCACGACAGATTGATGTCCCTCCCTTTGCAATAATCCCTTCCCATTTCCATTCAGCACTTGCAGGAGGGTGCTGCGGTTCAGGAGTTGATCTTTTCCATTCAACGGGTTTTTGAGGCAATGAAACTGAACCAGTCTGGAAAGTATCATAAGATGGATTGTGAGAATTGACCCTCTCACCATAATGCTGAGGAATGTTCACAGGTGGATCAGGGATCTGCTTATGGTACCCAAAATGTCCAACGTTGTTATCAAGCATATCACGCTGGGAAAACTCCGGAAGTCTTGGATGAACGTGTTTCACTTGTTCGGAATCAGAGAAAGGATACTCTGGAAGCTCAGGTTCAGGAGGAATTGAGCTCTTCAGTTTCTTCGCACCATGATAAACCAAAGCATCTTCTGGCAAATCCCATTCATCATCGTATAACGGACCTTGATGAGAAAAATTCTTCGAAGGGAAATCATGAAAATTTCCCCCTCTATCCCTTGAAGGACTGCGACGTCCATACATATTTCCTGGTAATCCTATATCAGCGGTCTGATGTTCAAACGGATCATTCCTATTGGTCAGTCTGTTACCTTTCCTGTCAAAACCCATGGAGGCATCATTAAAACCCTCGGACTCCAAGTTGGATCCAAATCGAGGGGATCTTCTGCTGCGCTCCATTGAGGAAGTCTCATGGTATCTATCATGTCGAAAGTTCTCAGATGAACCCTGGCGGCCATATAGGCGGTTTCGGGGGGAGGGAGGATCATTCATCAAGTTCCTTCCACTATTTGACGTCCCAGATTCACTCCTTGCAAAACAGATATGTACCCTGGGGTCGCCAAACAATTTCCCCTGTAAGGCTTCTTTTGCCCTGCAGGCAGAACTAAGATGTTTGTATCTGACGAAGGCGTAAGTTCGACCTGAAAATGCAGAGATCTTTTCAATCTCACCAAATGGGGAGAAAGCATTCCAGAAACTGTCTTCATTAACCTTCAATGACTGTGGGAACCCGACCCATAAAACCTCACTCGGTTCTGCATTCTTACTGTTTTCCTTGGGGCTTTCATTGCGATAAATTGGGTCAGAACTGATGTGTCGGGATCTAGAGTCCCTTTGAGGGAATGGAGATCCTCTTACTGTAGAACGAGTTTCGTCCCGCCGTTGCAAGTAGTCTTCATCATGTGACGATGTTGATGACTTCTCCTGATATGCCAGATGCAAGAGATTTTCATCAACTTCCCAGAAAGATGGAAAACACCCCTTTCTGTTAGGGCCATTTGAGAAGTTGGGACTAGGGTAGCAAAAGTATACCAAAGTTTGAGGAATAAAAAGATTTCAAGGATGCAGCATAACGGTTAAATATTGGTGTGGACATATGTAAAATTAAGTAAGGCACAATTCCAGTATTTGGAAACCCAAAATAAAGTTAGGGATAACAAAATCAAACCAAAAAATCTAAAAACAGATCTTTTACATCACAAATGAAGATTTTGGTTTTATCAGGATAAGTCACTGTCCTTCTGTCATCTGAAGTTCACTTAGAAAGCAGTTCAAATCTGGTTTTCTATTGGTCATTAAGAAAAGCATAAACCAGTATCATAATATCTTTATCCAGATTTTAGAATTTTATGCAAGCAAGAAACTAAACACATCTTCTATGACTTGTGAAGTGGTGCTGATTGGAAATGTACTTAAATTCATATAGTGTTGGAGGATAAAAAGATGCAACCTTGTGCTGCCTAATCAAGGCCCTCAACCTCTGCTGCTAATGAACACTGGTTTTATTAAAGAAAAAAAAAACTGATTGACCATGCTCTAAGAGGCTGTTTGGTTGGTTTTCCATTAAGTCCTGTATGGATAAAGTTGTCTGTGTGGATTAATCTGTTTATATAGATTGGGATGGTTTTTTCATAGATGTAAGGAGCGTCTTTCTAATTGGGAGGGGCAGGTTTGAAAAATAAAAACTTAGCTTTCTACATATAGCTCCCCTGGAGATGCTTACTGAATAAGTCATGTTCTATATCATGAAGCCACTACCAACCAATCATGTATAACTAACCAAATAAGTTTTGAGTCTCATTAAGATCATTAAGCTGCTAACAAACACACCCTAACTCTGATCTTAATTTCATATGTTATGGTTCTGATTCCCACCACCACTCAGCTTACAGTTGTGGACAACAATGATATCAAAATGATCTGCAATTTGCCATTTGCTTGTGCATCTCAAACACTAAAGAACAGATGAGCTTGGGTCCATGTTTGATCACATGCTGGAAGTATGGCCTTTGAAACCACAGAAAATGAAACGGCTAAAAAACTCTGGCCTCCACGAACAGCATGTGGATGTTCTGTTTCCAGAATAGAACTAACAAAATCCAAGAACTTAAGGTCCTTTCGGTGCTTGGAAATGTAATTTGTGGATCCTTTAGCAACTCCTAGACATCACATCATCTACCGGATAGAACACATGATTGAATATAATCCTTCCATCATTAGATTTAATTATCATGTTTGCATAACGTCGCTTTTATTCCTCTAAAAATCCAAGTACCCAGTAGCAAAAAAGAATCAAACTAAACAGCAGGTCCATGGTTACACAACTGTGTTCTTTTTGCACAGATTATGCATCTACAAGATTTGGTTGGTTTCAGTTCCAGATGGCCTACAAGAATTATTAGGCTTTTCTTTGGATGGACAACCATTATCCACCTATGTTCCTTTTGGATATGCAAGCTATAATAACCATGGAGTTATGATCCTTTTGCATACGTGGCTTTGACGTGTACAATATATTTATTGGGTTAAGAGAACAAAATTTAGATCAATGAAAAATTGATGATATAGAATTCATCTGAATACTAATGATAAAATTAAAATGATGTACAACCAATGTATATGTGACTAGAGGCATAACTTATGAGGGCTGCAACTGAGTTTTTGTTGTCTTCCTAGCAACTTATAGTTTCAACCAACAGTGAGATACTTGATTCTCAGAATAACCAGCTGCTTATAAATAAGAATATATAAAAGAAAGTTCATATAGAGTGAATGCTTCCATCATGACAGACTTAGCAGCTGATATACCTTTTTTTTTTGTATAAAAGGATTATATACCTTAGTTACTCTATAAGAACAAGAATAATGAGTTTGACAGAACTTCAAGATGCACTTTTCTGTTATCCAAAATCTGCTACATATTTTTTGTCCAAGTACCATCATCTTCATTGATTACCACCTATTATCTCCTATACTGATGTTTATTGCTTCTACTTTCTATCCATAATACCCATCCGTAAGCTTGAGAAGGAAATGTGAAGATCGCAGGTTCTGGAGATTGTAGACGAGTTGTATATACATTGAGGCGGTAAAAAATTGGTGCCATATTATGCTTAACTCAACATTTGCAATGGTAAAGACTTGCTTTGTTCACCAATTATATTAAATCAATAACTTGCAGGGTTCCATCCTCATGATCGGTATGGAAATAGATACCTTATGGATGGATGCATAGAGGTTTCAAGACGAAGGCTTGAAGTGTTTCCAGATATGGAAAGAATTCAGAATTTGCTGGGTGTAAAGTACTCCAAATTTGTGCATCAAAAAGCCTAATCGCATTTATGAAGTGCATAGACAGATATTAAGTTTGAGAGATCAAACAGATGCTGGTTTTTTATCTGTCTAGTTCGGCTCTTCTTTTTCTGTGTTTATAAGCCTTGTAAATCAAGACACCTTTGGGCTACTTACTAATTCCAAATCCTTCCAACCAAGGGTAAAGATAATGCAAATTTCTTGTCTCCTATGTGAGACAAGAAATTTCCTCATTACTTCTCCATTAATCTAGTACGAATTCTGAGTAAAGCAATATGATCTGCCTACTATTGCAACCTCAAAGTTAATTCAATTGCAATATCTATATGCTATTCTGAGAAGATACGAGGCTCCAACTGGGTGATATGGGTAACCCTGTGCGTGTATGTGCATTTGCACCAAGACGGATGAACAGTTCAAGCTATACTGTACATTATTGTATCTGAACTCATGGAAGGCTTGTATCTCCAGAACAGAAACTGCTTCAAACAGAGATCTCCATAACCAGTGTAACTATGTAAGATGTGCTTATTATTATCATGTAATAAATATTGCAAATTATTTATCTCCATGAATAGAGAAGAAATTGATGAAAAATCTATTACCATCCATCAGAAAGTTATGCAGCTAAAAAACAATGTTAGTTTCATGGTTTGATCAATCTTATGTAGAGTGGGTATCAACTCAGTTCTTGGAACAAAGATGCAACGCAGTTGAAAATGTGAAATGCTTTTGTACGCCTCAGATGGAAGCAGTCAAGGAACGTGAAGTTCAGACGTCCAGTATCAAGTTGGCATAATGATATTTACTTCGCATTGACATACAAAAGAAATGCTTGAATTGAAAATGTGAGATGTGAAATGCTTTTGTAATGTGAAATGCTTTTGTACGCCTCAGATGGAAGCAGTCAAGGAACGTGAAGTTCAGACGTCCAGTATCAAGTTGGCATAGTGATATTTACTTCGCATTGACATACAAAAGAAATGCTTGAATTGCTAAATTTAGTGTTTCATGATGAAAGTGCCCAACGTTCTTGTAACAGAGTACTGCAACATATAGCTCGCTAGGTCAGTTCAGTTTTCTAGCAACAGTTTTTTGGGTTTTGACATAACCATTTGTTTAAAAGAAGTTCGCACATATTGCACCAGTCTCTTCAATATCCAAAAATAAGAACATGGTGCATGTGTCATGGAGGCACCCCAGAAACGATGGATCAAATGTTCGCTTTATCTTAGAGGGACGGCAGTTGCATCGAGGTCACTTGGTGCTACAGCAAGACCCAAAAATTCACTGGTAGCTACTCATGAGCAAATGATTCTTCTTAACCATTATAATTTCAGCTGGATACTTACTCAACGAAAAAGATTGATCTCATCAGCCAAGTGAATACTTTGTGTAGTCATGAGATCAGAAGCATTTACTTTGTTTCCAATATCTAGTTCTGTCATTCTGGCAAATTAGACCAAATGGTTCACCTTGTAATTATGTACTGCTTGGTACTTTGTGATAGGATTGTTGTTAGGAAAGTGAATATTTGGTAGAGTCATGAGATTAGAAGAGCTTACTTTGTTTATGATATCTGGTATTGTCATTCTGACATATTACAAGCCAATGGTTCACCTAGTCAGCTTGTCCTAATGTACTTATTATTTTGTTCTAGACATCAGGTCTTCTATGCATGCTTTTAGATTTGTCACTTTTTGTGCCTAGGCATGCTTATAAAATTTTCCACCATACTGATGTACTACCAGCCACAATATGCAATTGTCCCCTTGAGCAGGAGTTATCTGGTAATCACTGGATAGCTAGCATGACATTACACAAAGATAAGGCAATACCCTACATCTTGAATTTCCTAATGGTGGTGCAGACTCCACAGCAGTCGCCCAAAGACAACCAAAACTACCCTCTTTGTTAATAAAAACCAGCTTACGTTCATGAGAAGATATTAAGAAATGGGCCCTTGTAGGATGAGCATATGTAGCTCATCTTGTGAAATGAGAATCAGCTGATCTTCCCATTCAAGGAATCATGGCAATGGGAGAATCAAGGTAACAAGAGAAGAGCATTAATGATCAACTGCAGGTGAGTATATCATCACTTTTATAATTAATGCTTGAGTAATTTATAGTAGAATACAAGAAGGCTGCACCGTGAAGCCTATAACCTTTGTAAGTGACTGCTTTCTGATACCTTGAATTTAATATGTTTGTGATTAAATTTAAGCAAATTTTAACCAATTGTTTTAAGTCTGGGAATCAGAACATTCATTCAAAATGTGTGAAGTAACAAAGGAGTCAGATGATAAAAAATTGTCTGAATAGTTTCATTCCCCACTGAAAAAGATAAGTTAGTTGTTAGCCCCTGTTTCTTTCGATGGTACGCTGAAACAGATAAAGCTGGTGGTATAAAACCATGAGCTAAATCCAAAACATGAAAATGCTTCGCATAGAAAGCGATACAGGTCTTCATCATAAAACTGCTTAATGGAGTATTGGTTAGCATTGTTTGCAATTTTCCAAAGGCAGCAACTAGCTTATAGCTTAAGATGATATTGCTTGATTGAAAGCGTATATGTATACAAAAATTATGGAGCAGACATGGGTGGACAAGACTAACCGCCTTTGTAAACTCAATTCTAAGTGCATTGCCCGCAAGAATGAAACCTTGAAGTGCTCCAAGTGCTGCAAAGGCTGCCCTGTCGTCAATGAAATTGATGAAGGCGTAGCTACGGCCAGGTTGAAATGCTACACTCTCAAGCTCCCCAAACTGTCTAAAATGATTGCTCAATGCACGCTCAGTTAAGGTATGAGATAGATTTCCAACCCAAAGATGTCTTGAAGGGGGTGCAGTGCTCCGGCCATGATGACTTTTCTCTTCTGATCTTAATGGGAGGTCCCTCCGCTGTCTATCCCGTCCCCCTCTCAAGCTCTGGAGAACAAAAATCATATCCTTAATACTCATTTTCATGATAAAAAACAAAAATTCATATAGCAGAAAGAACTGCTTCAATGTCATTCCCTTTGTTCCAAAAAAAAGAGAAAATTCATTTAATTCCCCATATAAGCGACTTTTCAAATGCAAAATTGACATAGATTTTGACGTTTTATTGAAAATACAAGACAAACCTTTTCTATCCAAATTGCCTGTAATGCATTTTAAGGTTCATATCAACTGTAAAACCAAAAATAACTTGTTTAACTTCCAAAGAAAAATGATAGATCCTTTATCAGAATGCAGGAAGTGTTAAAGTAAACTATGCTTCAAAAGGTAGGAAGTATTATGCAACTATGGGTTGCTAATGTGTGTTCCTCCATCCGTAAATTGTTTCTTGAAGAAGACACCTTATCTAAAGCTTTAGAGTTCCCAAGATATAATATTACCAAATCTTATATCGACAACTTCTTCAGCACTAGTAACTTTTCCAATAAAACCCTATATTTGATGAACCTTGTTCTTGATCTTCATTTAAAACCCCTTGAAACATCGCCAGTACGGATCAGAAATAGTGAAAACTTTAGATACAACCAAATCAGATCGCACTCACAGGAGACTTATACACGTTAAAATACACATAAAACAAATAAATTTCAGCCATGATAAACACGAAATATATCAACGTCGCATCTAAAATCAAAATGATGAACAGTAAAGAGGGTATATTGAAAAATATAAAGAGAGAAGAACCAACCATTATCGTTCGAATTCGATAATCGAGAAATCCTCCTACCAGATTCAGATCCTTTACCGAACAAGATCACGTTAAGGCAGGACAGATTTACCAAAAATCAAACTCAAGATTGATGATCGGCAGGAGAGAAAATATGGCTGATTATATCTTTGTGATAGGGTTTGGTTATTGCTGAATAGTATCAGACCAATTTGACAGCTCCAAAAGTCGATATTTATTTTGCGAGGAGCAATCGCAGCCGTTTCTTGTATTCATTATACCCCCCATACTAATTTGAGTGTACAGATTTGACCCCCAATCTTTTACATTTTATTCAATTCGTATTTTTAGCGTCAAATTATTTGTCTAAATACATCGACTAATAAGCAACACTTTAATCATCAAACTAAAAACTCAGGAGGGTTTGTTCATTTTTTAATAGTTTCATTAAGAGATAATTTTTAAATCGTTAAGAATTAAATCTTGTTTGATAATAAAAATTATGTCTCTGGTTCTAAAATTCTGTAAATGATTTTGTATCTTAGGTCTGCACTATATCATGAGAGCCTTTTAATCATTCTAATCACACAATAATTATGCATCAAATCATTCAACAACTATCAAATAGTCCTTAATAGTATTCAATTATAGATTGATAGTATTCAATTACAGATTGAATGCATCAAATAAAAATATATTTTAAATACATTATGTATTTTAAAAATATATAATTAATATTTTTTTAATTAATAAAAAAATAATTATACCCTTAATGGATGATAGAAACAGAGAGAAATTTTCTCTATCTAATAAATTGTATTTTAGGAGTTAGGGGTCGTTTACCAACTATTACCCGATAAATGCTTATCAGTAAAATTTAATATTATTATTTACTTACCGGGTAAGATTTTAATCCGTCAAAACGACATCGTATGCAACAATTTACTAGATAAGCGTTTGTCGTGGTAAGAATCATCGCTTTCACTTACCGGGTAAGACTTTTGGTTCTTATCCCGCTCTTACCGGTTAAGATTTTTGGTTCTTACCATATTCATCCAATAAAGTAATGTTACTTGATAAACGTTTATCTAGGTAAGGATTTGGTAAACGGCCCCTTACGATAATTACTATATTTCCTCTTTTCTTAATTTCTTTTTAAAATAATAAAACCCAATTTTATATTTGACAAATGAAAAATGTTTTTTAACTTGCAAGATTTTTAAGTTTCATTTATCAAAAACACTTATTGACAAAAGTCACCACCTTCATTTATTTTATCGGGAAACATTTTTTGCCATCAAAATAGATTGTTAGTAATTGTATCTTTACTAGATAGACGTTAACTTGGTAAAAATCATCTCCCTCACTTACCGGGTAACATTATCAGTCTATGTTCCTACTGATAAGATTCTCACTTTTACATTTTGACATGCTCCCGGTAGGGGTGCTGATGAGTTGGGTTGATCGGGTTGAAGACATTTGAACAACCCAACCCAATGCTTACGGTTTGAAAAATCTTAACCCAACCCAACCCATACAAAAGTGCAACCCAACCCAACTCGTACGGGTTAGTCAGGTTGGTCGAGTTGATACTTTGATACATTAAAATATTCTTCTAACCTTGAATATGTTATTTATCAACTCATAATTTCTTTTTCATCATCAACCATTTGATACAATTTATATATATTTTTCTTACGTATATCACATTCAATTAATTTTCTCTATTTACATATATATGTTCACAGTTACTGAACATATATACGAATGAGTTATATAGAGATGTGAATAGATTGAAAATATGTGTATATAAAAAGCATACATGACAATGTAATTGTCTAATGTATATATTAATAGAAATTCAACAAGCATATTAAATCCAAGAAATAAGAGGATATCGGGTTCATCGGGTTGGGTTGGGTTCAAATAATAGTAACCCAATACCTACGATTTGACAATTTTACAACTCGATTAGACATCGTGTTGCTTCGGGTTGGGTTATTTCGCGTTGGGTTGGGTTGGATTGATCGGATTGGTCGGGTTTTTGAGCACCCCTAGCTCCAGGTAAATGACATCCAGTAAGAAGCGGTTAACGAACAGCCCCTTTAGCCAAAATCAGACATAAGACTTGACATAATGGATATCCAAAAGAAGTTGATTTCTAACAGTGAAATCTGAATATCTTGCTTGAAGTTACAGAACCTGAGATCTACAGCCAAACGACAAGGGATCGGAGCTCGGAAAACATTACAACAACATCACGGAGACCGAAATGAAAACCGAAACGATACACATTGGACTCCAATTTCGACACGACTGTCGTATTATTGATGAAATCCAGTTTTCGAGAGACTGGTCTCTCGCCATTCTCGATTACAAGAATTGTGTAAAGAATCGGAATGACCTTTTTCTCTACCACTAAAGCTATCTTTTTATACCCCTCGACCACCCTCCTCTAACAACTCACTAACTGACCTCACCCTTGATTAAGCCAATTCCCCCTCTTGTAATTACTTATTTGCCCTCCTAGCATCATTAACTAGTTAACTCTTGATTCTTATCGATGAAAATCTACAGATTGAATTAAGATTTATAGGAAAAGCTTCATGATTCTGCCAGCAGATCGATCGAGTCCAACAAGCACCAATAGGGATGTGACTGAAATTCTACAACTACGGGATTTCAGGGTTCTCTTCTGCAAAACCAGATATAACGGATAACGATTGTCTAGTGAATTGCAGTAAAAGACGGTCAACAGGTTGGTGGCAAAAAATGCATGCAGAGATGAAACCATGTTAACCCAGTGAATCCCACACAGAGGTAGGGTCTTGGTCGTCCTCTGGTTATATAAATGTTTCCGTTAAATTCATGACCTTCTGACATGTTTGAAAATGTCACTGTTTAACATAAGATTATCACTTTCATACACAAGAATGCGTAGAAACCTTTCAGAAGGTCATGGATTTAAAAAGCACTTGTTAGGAGATCGTTTAGCTAAATAATCTGGTCTGAGGGTAGAATGTACGCAGACCTTGTCCCTTTAACCCAAAGGGTAAAAAGTGTATGCAGATATGGTGTTATTGAAGAAAACATTATCTAGGAAAACGGCCTGATAACTCACGTATGTATTCCGGGTCAATATGTACAAAGAAACTTGCAGCCACGATCATATAACAAAACAAGAGCATCAGTCCTTTGAAGTAATTGGACGTACCCTCCTGCATGTGTAAAATGAAGTTTATGTACAAATTTTGAGATAAAAAACGTAATACGAGCCGAGTATATCCCACCCAGAGGTGGAGTCTATGGAAGGTATGATGTTCGCAGACCTGAGTTGAGTTCAGTTCAGGTACTCCTCCGCTCCCATGAAATTTACAAAAAAGAAAGTTGATAGCATTAACATGAATGTCCACAATGAAAAAGGCACAGTTTTAGGAATGTGTAATTGTTACATTTTTTTAATTAACTAAATGACAATTTTACCCTTAATAATAGAGGGAGTAATGAATTTCCCCATCTCATAATCAAGGGTAAAAATGGAAAATAGGCACTTACATCAGAAAGTGGAGACCAGGATAAACTAAATTAGAATTGTGGACACTTATTATGTCGGGTGAAAAGTTGCAATTTTCATGGGACGGCAAAACTTGTTTTTTAATCAAAGAGTTTGGAATGAAATAGTCAATTGACAAGTCAAACCTGTAGAATGAAGGCTACCACCAGAACAGTCATGAAAAGAGTGGCCGTCTCGAAAAGTTGAAAATCCAGGTCCATGGGACGTCCGATGATCCACCCAACCACCACACAAAGCGGCGTCTACAAATACAAAAAAAAGAACATTTTAACCATTTTACTTGACATTTATCGTAGTTTCTAACATGCAAAAAGAACACTTCAATTGGTAAGAAATAGCAAAAGGATCATTTAATGGATGGTGATATCATTAGTACCGAAGAAATGAACCAAGATGCTTTTCGAATGGCAAAAAAAGATATAGTTAGCAAAAAATAGCAAAGGTGATAAATAACTTTTTTCAAGTACATATATATATATATATATATATATATCCACCTATATATATACGGCAGCATTCACACACACCTTGAAGCTCTACTGGTAACTCGGGTACCATTAGGCCAATGACCCTTTGGTACAATAACTTAATAGCCATTAATACCAAAAGTGATTGTAATGTCTATATTATCTAACTGTAACCCTGTAAATATACTGAAATGCAGATAATTTACCAAGAAATATAGCATCTTATTAGTCCATGTCGCTTATGGTGGTTCCTTTTCTTACCCATGAAGGTGTGTATTTTAGAAATTGCTGAGGATGGAAGTGAGAAATGAAGAAAACAAAGAATTTATATGAATTTGGAAGAAAATCCTCAAAACCCCGTCTTTTAGTTGTTCGTTTTTAACAAACATAGTACCACAAAAAAGAGAATTCACACATTGATTTAAATATATCCCACCCGAAGGCAACGTCGGGGGGTAGGACTTATGCAGACCTTTCCTCTGCCTCAAGAGGTTGTTTCTAAGAAGACCCCCGATAGCATTCATAAATAGATCTCATGAGAACTAGTATTGGCAATCAGGGTAAAAAAGGGCATTAAAACACATTAATGGGTTGTGAAATTTAATGCATAGTATAGACATATGAACTTATACAAGGTTTAACTTCACCTGTTCCCCTTTTAGTTTTGTGAGTGTGAACCTTGCAAAATGAGGGCGCAACCCTTTGCTCCTCAACTTTGGTCCCATGGTTATCATGGTGAGGTCCATGGGTGGTGCCTAGAGTCAAACACCGGACCTCCACCCGTTCTACAAGGATGCCCACCTCCTTACCCACTAGGCTAAAGTTGCGGGGAGCAGTGAGAAATTTTTTAGAGTAAACTTTATGTTTGGTCCTTGAGGTTTAGTTATACTTTATATTTTCTTTTAAAAAATAACAAATTTTAGTTTGAGATAAATTTTATAATAAAAATATTATGTTATTTTTTAAAAGAAAATTGAAGATTTTAATGGAAATACTAAAATACCCCTCGCTCTAACGGAGAACTAAACAAACTTAACGACCAGATACCACTCAGAGCAAAATGAAAACCACAAGGATGATGTCTAGACTTATCAAAGTTCTGGTCCTACTTTCAGATTTTTCACTAAACCTCAACGACCAAAATTGAAGTTTATTCAGTTTTTTATGTTTAAGTCTTGCCTAATTTTGCAATGTGAGTGGAAACTATAGAAAGAAGAGCAAGTACAAATGCACACAAGTGGTAGTATATGTACTCCATTTCCATACATTAGGTCATTTTCCTTTGTAATTGAAAATAACATCAAATACTTACCACGAACATGGATATTTGTGTCGAAGAGCCAACCGCCACTCCTAAAGAAATGTCCTGCACAAATAATGAAGAACTAAAAATAAAAGACGGTCCTTACATTTTTTATACACCGTAAGTGTATAAAAGTTCACACAAAGCACAAAGACAACAAGGGTCGCATGATTTACTATCCAAGATCTTCTCGTGTTAAAAAGTTTTTACACTTTCCCTTCATCACAAAATAAGTGCCCACATTCCTATTCTAGTTTGTCCCAAAATAAATGTCCACTTTCAGAAGTAAGTGTAAGTCCCAAATTTCCAACAATACCCTTAATTATGAGATGCAGAAATTCATTACGCCCCTATTATTAACAATAAAATTGTCATTTAGTTAATTCAAAAGTGTATAATTACACATTTCTAAAACTGTATGCCTTTTTCATTATGGACATTTATTTTGGGACGGAGGGAGTGACAACAAGCGAGACAAAGACTTACAAGTTTATCTTTTACCGCAAACATGATAGCACTTGCGTGTTCTGCTGCATTTCCGACAATAGGAAGTAGAATAACACTAATGAATGCTACTGGGACGTCCATCGCGGAAGCAGCACCCTGAGACCGTATTTATATAAAATAAAAGAAGAGGGGTAGCATAAAAAAGGGTACCTGGGTTACTAGTAGATTCCAATCTCCCTGGAGGTCAGGGGTTCAAGCCTCACCAAAGATGAGGAGTATGTGTGAGTTTTTCCGTATATAAATATTATATACATCAATAGAGAAAAGATTTGAACCTCTATGGCATTGACCAAGTACTCCGAGAGAATTGAAATGAAAAGAGTCAAAAGGCCGAGCCATATAAGTGATTCCCACTTTGAAACATCTGCCAATTCTTCCTCAACCGGACTCCCACTTGGACTACCGTCCTGATATTTTTAATCATTATCAAAAATAACTATTAAGATATTGCAGGATCCTTCACATTACTATTGTAAACTAGGGGTGTTCGCGGTGCGGTTTGGGGCCAAATAACAAACCGCACCGTATATATCTCAAACCGCAAAAAACAGCACCGCGAAATGCAGTGCGGTTATGCGGTTTGTACCTAACATACTTTACACCTACAACCCAATAATTATAAGATTAAAAGTTTAATATAAAATCAACAATAACGTGACCATAGTCCAAACAAACATAAAATCTAAATCATCCGATTACCAAATACATATTACATAATTAAAAATAGTCTAAGAAAACTAAAATATTACAGAATTAAAAGTCTAAGAAAACTAAAATATTACATAATAGAAAATAGTCTAAGAAAACTAAAAGATATACGTAAATTAGCCTAATTATATATATAATATAAATTACAATATATATAACGTGCGGTGAGGTTTTCCACCTTGGTTTGATAACTCAAAACCGCACAGCATAGTGTGGTTTGATAAAAATGTAAATCGCACCGCAAAAGTTCTAAACCGTGCTTTGCAGTGCGATGTGGGTGGTTTGTGTGGTTTGGTGGTTTGTGTGGTTTGGTGATTTGGATGAACACCCATGTTGTAAACATCAAGCGTTAGAGGATAAACTAAGTTAAATCAAGCAAAACGAGCCCAATAAGTCCCACCCGGAGGTGAGGTCTAGTCTAGGGAGTGAATCAGTATAAGATGTATGTAGACCTGACCTCTACCTCAAATAGCAGAGCGGTTGTTTCCGTGAAAATAGGATGTAAAGATTAAGAGGGTGATCTCGAACCTCTTTAGTTGGCACATACTCTTGCTTCTGGTTCGTCAACTGAAAGAAAATATAAATACCATACGCTAAAAGCATTAAGCAACTCGTAAATCTTGAAAGCGCCAACTCTGATGTCCCAATATGCAATTCGGTCTGCGTGACATGGAGAACGGCCGGAAAAAGCAAGCCCATGACCGCCATCAAAAGCAATCCCACGTTCATCCCCACGCTCGACTAACAAGAAAGCTTGGAATAAATCTCATGGTTTAATAATCAATCAAACCAAACGAGCCCAGTATATCCCACCCAGATGTGGAGTCTGGGGTAAAATGTACGTAGACCTGACCTCTTAGTGAAAGATGTGTGAAAGGGAGAAAAACAAATATGTTAAAAAAGCAAAAAGCTAGATAAAACTATAGAAATTAACTAACCCTGTTAAATATTTGTTCCCTATTACGATTAGCAACTCCTCCGATAAAAAGCGCGCATCCAAGAACGAGCAACATGTTGGACAAGATTGACCCTAGTAGCGATTGTTGCACAAGACGTATCATGCCTCCCTTCATTGCATGCATCGATATTATCAACTCCGTTGCATTGCCAAAAGTGGCATTCAGAAGACCCCCGACTACAATATCAAATTTCCAAATCCACATAAGTAGCGGTAGGGGTATCGTGGTACAGTTTGGGGCCGAACTGCAGACGCACCACATATGTGGTTTGAGCATTTTCCCAAACCGCACCACATGTACTCAAACCGTAAAAAAACCGCACCGCAAAATTCAGTTAGGTGGGGTGCGGTTTGTACCTAAGGCACTTTCACCTACAATCCGATAATTATAAGATTAAAACTTTATTATAAATAATGATAACATGACCGTAGTCCAAACAGATAAAAAGTTTAAATACATTTGATTCCTAAATACATATTACATAATGAAAAAGAGTCTTAAGAAAGCTAAAAAATTTATGTAAATTAGCCTAATTATTATATATAATATAATACAAATTAAAATAAATATATATATATATAATATGTGGTGCGGCTTGAACCGCGGTTTGATAACTCAGAACACGCAAACTGCACCATATAGTTTGGAAAAAATGCAAACCGCACCGCAGAAGTTCAAAATCGCGTTTTGCGGTGCGGCGTGGGTGGTTGTGCGGTTTGGATGAACACCCCTAGATAGTTGTGTACGATTCGTATACCCATATAGTAGTAGAGGCAAGGTTTGAGTACAATCTACACCACAAGACCCTATTTTGTGTGGGATATACTTTTGGTTTTAGCAGACAGATGGTGGAAACTTGAAAAACGAACCTGTGGGTCCGGTGTAGAAAGCCATCTGCCTGCACAAAAGAAGCCAAAACACATTATGTAAATATTTATACATATTAGAGATGTCGTTCAATACTTGTATAGACGACGTGTAGATAATTACTCGGTGGCCCAACCCAGACGCTCTGCCAAAGGGATGATGCCCAATAAGCTCAATAAGAAGACCCAACCCTGATATCATATACAAACAAGTGAAAATATGCACACACAGAAAAGTATTTACGGTGTTATACTATATAATGTTCCCTCTGTCCCAAAATAAGTGTCCAAATTTCTATTTTAGTTTGTCCCAAAATAGCTGTCCTCTTTCAAAAGTAAGTGTCTACTTTCCAATTCTAACCTTAATTATGAGATGGAGAAGTTCATTACTCCCTCAACTATTAAGGGTAAAATTGTAATTTAGCTAATTAAAAGTGTAACAATTACATATTTCTAAAACTGTCCCTTTTTCATTGTGGAAATTTATTTTGGGACGGAGGGAGTAACAGTGTTAACAAAGTAACTCACTTGACGACTCGACAATTGATCAACCAGCATTGCTAACGGGCCACAAGGTAAGAGTAAATTTATTTTATCAGAGAAGAAAGCAGTCTTTATACTGGCTAACACTATTCTCCATACACAATTAGTGCCAAAACTTTCTGAGCCACCTTTTAAGGTAGCCAAATTTCTGGTAGTTGACACAGGAACGGACCGGCTATCATCATGTAGCTCGATCATTGACTTTCCCTCTGATGCCCCCTTCTGTGAAATTTCTTGTGTTAGAGAAAGGCACAAATTAGTTGTTGGCTGATAGGCTAGCTGCTAGCTGTCGTTTTACCAAACTAGTCATGTTTGGTAAAAACTAGCTGGGAGCATCTCCCATTGCTACAATTTTTCTAAAATAGGGTATCTAAAATCAAAATCTCTAAAAAATTACATCCAACTCAAACAGCTACTCTATTTTAGCAATTTCAGCATCAGATATATTAATTAAATATTCTATAATTCATCAACCCAATACACTTCTGAAAAAAATAAAAAACTTTATAAAATATTATAACACATTCAACCTCCTTGGTGGAAACAAATAAAATAATATACATATACACATATAGATGTCCTCAATATTAAGTTTTAGAGATTTCTCCAAATTTGGAGATTTCTACCTTTTTTTCTCTATCTTAGGGGCTGTTTACCCAAATGCTTACCCGGTAAGCGCTTACCGGTAGGAGTCAATACTGTAATCTATTTTACCAAGTAAGATGGCAGTATATTAAAATGGTATCGTATGTAACAATTTACTCGGTAAACGCTTACCCGGGTAAGAGTCATCACCATCACTTATTAAGACCCTCTATCTTTACCATTGCTCTTACTGGGTAAGATTTTCGGTTCTTGCCATATTCATCAGGTAAGAAAAATTATCAGATAAACACTTATCAGGTAGGTGTTTAGTAAACGGGCTCCTTTTTGCATAGTTGTTGGGACAAAAAAGAACTCCTAAATCTCTATTTTTGAATAGTTGTTGGAGATGCTCGAATAAGCTAAATGACAAAATAACCTAAAACAGTATGTCGAAAAATTAATTGGAAAATGTAAAGGGCATGATTGGAAAAAAGAAGTGGAAAAGAGCACGTGGACCTTATCTCCTTATTTATTCGCTAGCTTATGGCTTACCAAACGAAACTTTTTCAATAAGCTAGCTTACAGGTAAATCAACACAAATATCAATAGAATACGGATTAGGGAGAGTAAAACTCACTTCTATAGGGGAGTTCAATCCAACAATCCGCAAACTGTTGCTGTTACCCATTTTTTGCAGAGAAGCTAGAGCTCCAATGCATTCATCTTGATTCAATCCATGAACCTAACGCCTCCATCTAAATTCCAAGCAAAACCAATATACAAATAAAATAAAGAAAACAAAGGGGCTTTCGCCTAACGGTTATCCGACCCTTTGGCCTATACAAATAAAATAAAGAAAACAAAGGTCCTTTGGCCTAACTGTATCCTAGCCTTTGGCCTTCCACGGGGTCTGGGTTCAAACCACACCAAAGGTGAAGTGGGTGTGTGAGCTTATTTGTTGCATTTGCCGTGTATAAATATTATATTTGGGCAAAAAGTTGATTACCAACAACCCCAACCGGATCCATCAAGAACACCAATGTGAGAGGGGATTTTTTTTGGCTCCTTCTGTGGATGAGGCCTGCAATTGAAAGCAGGACTGTCCTTTATTTGGGCAAATGCCAACTGTATTTATATTATTATATCATTCAATAACTATATAAATTCTGTAGAACACTCAGACTAGACCCTAGGGCAAAGAAAAAATTAACTAAGGGAAACCATGTCTAATGGGAAATTTCTAACAAAGTACCAAACTATGAACGAAATCAATGATTTTATCGCTAAATAGTAAATACACACGAATAATATCAAGCAGATTGCACAATTCTCTTCATGAAGAGGATTGGATTCCTAAAATAACATAAAAAAAGGGAAATTCTCTATCTGTTATTAGAGGATTTCGCCCTTTTTTGTGTTTGCATGTCGTAGTTATGGTTATTGGAATTCGCAAAAGAGAGGTTGGAAAGTGCGTACGCTGAGTTGATCAGAATCACTGAAATTCGGTGTTCGTCTTCGACCGTCACTGACATTGGTGTGAAGAAATCGCTCGTTCTTGATGTTTTGCCTGTGTCTTGAATTGAACGTCGATTTCATCTGATTGAACAAGCGTCAAAATGTTGGGGGCTGATTCATAATGTTTTCAGGTCTGTTTAATAAATAACATTTCAAAAACGTTATGAAAATTCATTAATTTACGGTTATGAAAATAATTTACACGTGAGACCATAAAAACAAATTATTATTTTTTTAAAATATTTTTGTTGACTTATTATAAGTTAAAAAGGTTTAACTTCTTCAAGAACTACTTATTACCAATTTGGCACCGGTATAAATTATTTATCCAAACACTCAAAAATGTTTATTTACAGTATCACACCGAAATAAATCAATAAGTTGTTTTTATAAGCAATTCCAAACACCCTAAAAATAACATTCAACATTCAAAGTAAAATATTATAAAGGTAAAAAACAACGAATTTCACTACCCTTTCTTAGTTATAATAAAAAAAGTACGGCCAGTTGTAAACATATTTACTAGTTATATCATATGTAATCGCTTGAATCTCGAGACGCTTTTCAAACCAACACTAGAAATCTTTGACAAACAGCATCACGAATCATTATTATTCCGACACAAGAAAAGGATCACTGACAGTCTGTTCAAGGTTCCAAACTCAATGATTACAACTAAACAACCCGACCACTGTTGTTTTCTTTCAAGCTTTCTTGCATGAAAAAAGTAACGTACTTTAACTTGATTTCTATTTTGGGTAACGAACTTCCAAAACTTTCATTTTTGTACCTAAAATGTAAAGTTTTAAACATTTAATTACTCAGGTAACCGGTTGAAGCATTAGTCAATTACCATGTTGATGTGGTATTCAACTCAATATTATTTATTATCCAACCTAATTTCATCTTATTACTTGTCTGATCAGCATGGTAAACGGTTCATGTACTTTCTTGCCAATGACCTAACAATCAAGAAAATCCCCAATGATTTTGGAGTGACTCGAACCGATCACACCTTTAAGAAGAAGTTTCAAAGGCTTAAACTTTATTGCCAATGAGTTAACCCCAAAAGGTTTTAAATATTTGTGTTGGGCTCTTGTATCCCGGTTCAATATTTTTTAAACTCATTAATCATGGGATGTATTAACCTTTTCAATCTTTACATAATGCACCTGAGTACTTGTATAAACCGGGCCTTAACAGTCCTAGTGTAAGGGTAATGTGTAGTAACCGGGCCTAGCGGTCCCTGTCCCGGGCCTTGACCAAATGTGCATAACCCCCTTAACCGATATAACTGATTCTCCATAACATGGCCTTTAACCGAACTTGGATCTGGAGAAAGAAATTCATTTTTAAGATCTTTTTCCATAATTTTATTTTTCCTGAATCGAGACATTGAAATAAACTTCAAAAGTGCTTTTGATTAAAATTTATTCTTGATGTTGTTTTTATCTGATTTTTACAACTTTATACATCCTTTTTTACAACTTACCTTTGAAAATTGAGACATTGATGTTTGTTGGAATACGTTGGAAAAAAAATTCAATTAATTATATTGATCTTCAATTTTCTTTGTCGTTGTAAATGTCTCGTTTTGTCGATCTTTCAATGGATGTTTCGATTTTACATTTGTCTCTCTAAACTCACCTAGTGTTCATCATCTTATACATGTCCATCAATCATATAAATACATGTAACCAGATAGACTTAGTAAACATGAATTAAATAAATTTAAAATAAATAAAAATCTGATGTGTCTTAATTTCATTATGAAACATGTAATATTAGGACAGGTGATTTTTATCCATAACCCTTCAAGCACGTGCAACCTTCCACCAACTCCTTGCTAAGTCTTGTCCTCTGAATTAAATACAAGATTAAGATAGCAAAAGTAGGCGAAAACACAAATATGAGATTACAAGAGCGAAAGTAGATGAAAATGCAAACTGAACTAAAACAGGAGCCAAAATCACAAACTATAACGAATATTACGAGTCTTTTTTTTTTGTATTTTATAGCTTTTTATTTTCCCCACCCAATCGAAGATTTTATATTCTAGAATGTTCAAATAAGCCAAAAAAAAACCCCTCCAAACGGCTATATGGCTGTCGCCCAACGGCTAGAAATATTTTAAAAAATGGCAGTCTTCAAAACCAGACCCGATTAACTGGTCCTTAGCTGTTGCGCCAAAAAGATCCTCTAGGCCCTAACCGGTACAAACCTGACCGAACCATCTTGGTCCTTTTGGTCTGGGTTGTAACAAGTAGTTGTTTTGTCTCAAATGTTGTTTGGAGTAAACGACGAGAACTCAAAAACCCATCCTTTGAATCGACCATTGTATCGGGCATGTAATCATTCATCATCATGTACAAGTACTAAACGGTTTTTTGTGAATTTCTTGAGGAAGGTCAAAAGACCGGTTTTGATCCAGGCTTAGCCAAACTAGGGGTCCGTTTACCAAATTAAAACCGTATCAGCAAGAGTTATTACCCTCGCTTACCTTGTCGGGTAACATTCTTGACCATCAACATGAATTGTTACCCGGTAAGCACAAACCTGGTAACTGTCTTCTCCCTAACTTACCGGATAAGAACCTTAGTTGTTGACATGCCTCTTACCAGGTAAATTTTTTGTCATTGCCATGCTTAACCTAGTAAAGATAAGTGACCTGGTAAGCACTTACCCAATAAGTATTTACCTGGTAAGCATTTGGTAAACAGCTTCCCTGTTTGCCAAAGAGAGAATGTTTTGATAGATGTGGCAAAGATCAAGATGCTTATTGAAACCCCAATCGAACAGCTTGACAGTATATGTATAAAGCAAGCATGCTCATAAGAAAACTGAAGCCCAAATTCAACAAATAAAATAAATAAATATATATACCAATTCATCTGATTTCAAGCTGACACCAATTTTACATATGTTGGATTATGCAAGAATCGAAAGAAAAGAGCGATCTATTCATGAATGTTGGGAGTCAAAGGAGAAAAAGCTAGAAATGCCGTGGTCAGAAAGAACACAAAGAATTGGAATTGGATCAAAGCCATTAACTTGTTTGCCCTTTTCTTTTAACTGCAACAGGCTCCTGCTTGATTAGGGGTGCCATCTCTTCCTCCTGATGGCCCAGGGATACCGCCGTATCCAACTTTAATCCCGTAAGACTGCCATTAACAAAAAAAACACTTTTTAACATGAGAAAAGATTCATAAATAAGGGACCGTTTACTAAACGCTCACTGGTCATTTACCTTACTGGATGAACATGACAAGGGCTGATAATCTTACCTAGCAAAAGCGATAATAAGGATGGACAGTCTTACCCAGTAAGTGAGGTTGACAACTCTTACCCCGTAAGTGCTTACCGGGTAAATTGTTGCATATAATACCGTTTTGATAGACTATAATCTTACCCGGTGAAGTAAGTTAGAATGTTAACTCTTGCCTGTATACGCTAAGCGTTTGGGTAAACGACCCCCAAGTGTCAATGTTCCTTTTAGATTTCTTCATCAAGTACTTTTGGTTTGTAAGTCAAGTCTTATAATGGCTTTTCTAATGACCCCTTGTGTGAGAGAGAATATGTCGAATCCTATCATTACTCTCTAAAAGAGCCCTTAACGGAAAGGGAGGTTCAAACATATCTCAAAGTAGAAAGGTCCGAGTCTAGCTGATGTGGGATTCCGCTAGAAGTAGAATGGTCCAAGTCTAGCTGCCGCGGGACTCTAACACACCCCTCCAAAGGAGGCTAGATGGGCACAAATATCCCAGAGTGTCGAGTCTCGAGCAAAGATGTCCTAGATGCATGTGAGAATATGTGGAGCCTCCAAAGAAGGACAAATTTCATAGGGTGTCGTCTCCAAGGCAAAGATTCCAAACCTTTGCTTTGATATCATGTCATGTCAGGGTAAGTGAAACCCCATCAGATTACTCTCCAAAACAGCCCTTAGAACATCTCCAACAGATTCTCTCCAAAATTTCTCCAAAATGGAGAATCAAACTTTAAAATCTCCAAAAGTAAATTGCATTCAACTCTAACAGCTTCTCCATTTTGGATATTACAATATTGATTATATTATTAAAATATTTCATACATTTAATAAAAAATATTATTTCTCTCTGCTAAACATTTAATTTCAAGGTTTTTTATTGGTGAAATATAATATAAAAAAATATTTCTCTCTCGTGGTAATCATTTTTTGGGAGTTCTCCAAATTTGAAGATTTCACACTCTCCTACTTTATTCATTTTGGAAAATTTGTTGGAGCAAAAACTTGCCCAAAATCTCTGTTTTCTCCATTTTAGAGAATTTGTTGCAGATGCTCTTAAGGAGACGAAGGAAGTTACAACCCAAAAGAGCCCTTTAAAGAAAGAATGGAAGTTTCAACGTTTATTAAATTGGGAAGGTCAAAGACTCAAACTCTAGCCAATGTGACCTTGGAAAGCCATTAAAGAATAAGCATGAGAATATCGTATGAAAAAGTAAAGTCACACGTGCCTCGTTTGATACGTCGAAAACTCCATCCTGAATCTTCTTGTAAATCGTTCCAGCAGTGTTGATAAATGCCTGAGAAATTTGTAAATCAGAAAGGGACTCAAATATGTTCACATGTGCATCAAGCCATCTATTAGTAATTATATAAGTTATAACATGTAATCAATTACCTCCTCAACGTTCTGTGCTGTTTTTGCGGAGGCTTCCATGAATATTAGACCATTTTCCTTGGCAAATTGTTCTCCTTCTTCAGTACTAACAGCTCGTCTATGTGCAAGATCACACTTATTACCAATAAGCATAACAGTCATATTTGCATTTGCATGCTGCCTAGCATCCTCCAACCAGCTTGCAAGGTGATTGAAAGTTTCCCTCCTGCATGGTAAACATTAAAGACCATGTTCTTTAAACAAACAATACATCACTAGACAACTATTCCACCAGACCAACCTTATCAGGCATATTTGATTTCCGCTTTGCAATAAAAATATCAGTTATAAACAAGCTTTCAGAATTGAGACCATGGACGGACCAGATGTAGAGCATATGGTGGCCCGTGCCACCGTATTGTTCATCCGTCGTAGTGTAAAAAATTCTAGGGGCGTGAAAAGTGCCACCGTATATATATATTGAAACTACAATGAGAACACAAGTTTTCCTTGGTAGAGTTGGTTTGCAAGGGTTTTCTTCCACCCCATACCCGATTTCAATTGCCGTTAGTGTCATTTTCTTAGTTTTTAACTTTTAATTTCAGATCTATTATGATACTGAAAAAAATTGCAATAAAAGGCTTGAACACAAGATCTCACCTATGAAAAGAAATGAACTAACCAACAGATCGATGATGATTTTGTGAAAAATATCTCCATATTAGTTTCTTATAGTCAAATGGTGCCACTATTTGAAAAAATTTCTGGGTCCGTCCCTGGTTGAGACCAACATCATTAATTGAGGGCGTAAGCTTGTTTTTACAAAAGAGATATCACTAATGAAGGACAGCATCATAAAAAGTAGGCTTATAAGAGCACAAGGGTATATTTACTCCTTGTTAATGCCACTTTTTCAGGCTTGACCTTTTATCAACTCTTGTTTACAAACTACAATAAAAATGCCCTTCACTAAAGTAAATTTCAAGATGGTTGTTATCAATTTTCCAACGATATCAATTGCTTCCATCATCCCAAACTAAATGTCCATAATGAAAAAGACACACAGTGTTATAACTGTGTAATTATTACACTTTTTAATCAACTAAATGAAAATTGTACCCTTAATAATAGTTGGAGTAATGAATTTCTCTATCTCATAGTCAAGGATAAAATTGGGAAGTAGACATTCACTTTTGAAACTGGACACTTATTTTGGACAGACAAAATAGAAACGTAAACACTTATTTTAGGACGAACCAAAATAGAAATGTGAACAATTAATATTGAACGGAGGGAGCATATGTGGCTTTATTAGGAAAGGAGTTAGATACACCTGAACATTGATCTAGTGCCAAAAACTTTGATTTGCATGTAAACCAGAAACCTTGTAACATCATGAAATGCATGAACATTTTCCATGCCACATCAGCAAGCTATTCTTCTGAAGAATTGCAGAAGATTATCACAATGGAATCATACCTAGTGATGTCATAAACCAGAAGTGCACCAGCAGCACCTCTATAGTATGACCGTGTTATAGATCTAAACGATTCCTGACCCGCCTGAGATGCCAAAATCAAAAACAGAAGGATAAAGATGAAGTGAAATTTTAGTGACGGTCGGAAGACTGCATAAAAGAGTTGATTAAGTGCAAAAACAAGAAAAAAATGACACCTATAACAATCAGGGTACAAGAACATAAAGCTAAAAGAGGCAATAACAAACCGTATCCCAGATCTGCAGCTTTATTGGTTTGTTGTCAATTGTTATCATTCTGGCACCAAATTCAACACCAATTGTTAAATCATGAACTGGCTGAAAACGCTTGTCTGTGAACTGCAGAAGAAGGCATGATTTTCCAACCCCTGCATAGCAAAGACCATTGATGTTAGTTGCTATTTTCCCTTCCTTTAATTAACAATCTCTACAAACATAACATAAAGAAAGATGTTCTCATGTCCATCCCATTTCCGCCCTCAGAAATTCAACACTCTCAATTGGGTGAGTGAAATTTTTATTGTTGATGGTTTTTCTTTTCTAATTTCATCGAGTTTGTCATAACTAATACAGTATGTATGCATTTAAGTGCTTTCACTGTTGATTTATCATCAATTGGACCCATAAGGATCACAAAGATAGGCAGGAAGAAGCCGCAGGGGGGGTTGATTAAGAGCTTATTTTGTTATCTTTTATGTTCTTAATCTTTAAAATGTGAAACCTCTTGCATTTTAATTAAATCTATGGTGCTAATTCACAGTCTACACACAAACACACACAGAGATGACTGGATGGGAGAGGACACAGAAAGAATCAAGTAGAAAACTTTTAGCACTGAGACCCATGTACATATTGTAGCAATATATGCAACCCTTATTGAGCATCACCAACCTACTTAAATAAGCATATAATTGTACAATGTTTGTCAACTATGCGTAATAGACGATTAGAGAATACTGCCACTGAATACATTTATGTGCAGAGATGTTGAAGTTTCTGGATTCCAGATTCAGCCAAAATATCTAATTTCTTGTCAATAAATTCCATCAACTTAATCCATTATGCTGAATATATAGCTTGGTCCAATTGGGAAATAAATGACCAGACGATTCTTGTACACCAATTGACGCGTTTGAAAAAGATCTAGAATATTCGGCTGGGGAAGCATAAATGCAAGCATACCCTAGGACCTTCGGACTATGGAGTTGGTTGAAATTACAGCACAATTGTCAAGATTATTTAATTATTTCCATAGCATTCAACTACAGCACCATCCAAAACAAAACGATGAATCTACTAAAGCATCTCGTTTCAATGTCTCTTGCTAAAAAGGATTGAATACACTACTTAAAAGGTAAGAAGGTAATTAGCATACTCTAATAGAAATCATCAGCAAAAGAACAAAAGCGTATAACTAAGGCACACCAGGTTAATGTTGAACAAATTGATCATGACAACACTTTACATTTACAAAATAAAAATACAGCTGTATAATGTCTTGTTTGATTTTGTTTTCCTGCTTATATGCGTAAAACTAATACGGTTTGAAAGATCATGATAAAGATTTGACTCTACATAATAAGTTTCTGCTCAATTCTTTCAAATCCCGTTCTTATAACCACATACTAATTCAGTAATTTGGTTTCGGATTTAAGTTTGGCATAGATGTGGTTCATGTTAGAAGTTGCGTAGGTAAACCAAACAATTTCGAGAACTTGAACAAAACATTTAATTCCGCACGCTCTAAAAATCATTAAAATGCATAAGCGAGTGCCTAGCGTTTACAATTACAATCAAAAACACCATTCAAATAGACGGATATAGATTTCATAATCCAATACAAAAACAATTGTGATAAAAAAAAACTCCAAAAATTAACCAGAACACAAAACAATCAAGAGCGCCATCGTCTCCGCATTAACATTATACAAAACATAACGACCAACACAAAGGTTTGATTGTACATATAGGATCAACGATTGAATCACAAATTGCAACACAAATTAAATCGATTACCGGTATCTCCGATGATGATGTACTTGAACAGGTAGGCGTATGACATGATTGTTGAGATCTTTCAGAATCTTCGACGTAACAAATTCAATATCAGCAAATCGAATCGACTAAAATCGAACACTGACTTCTAACGAATCAATGTTAATGAATCTCAACGAAGGTAGTGATCCTCTTGAAGAAGAAAACTTGGAGATCGGAAAACGCAATCCTGCATTTGAGGTTTTCTTATAGAGAAAATAGAACAAAGATGCGAATAGAACGAACTATTGAAATCGTATTGCTTCGCTGTCGTGGAAGGTTGGATCTGGAAGCAACCTTTACAGATTTTGCCAAAGCCCAAGCCCATAAAATTGAAGGCCCAATCTAAGAACACCATAGGGCCCACTTTAAAAGTCCATGCTCTATTTTTATATATACAAAGGGGTAGTCTATTCATAGAGTTGGATTCTGATGAGAACGAGAGTTAACGTGAGAAGTGTAAGAAAAGATGTTCATACTTAGATGCATAATAGGATGAGATGCACCGAGATACACCAGATTAATCCCCGTATCAAATGTGATTCATGGGTGAGTATGAGATTAAAGGTAATCAAGTGTCCAGATTCCTTGTTACACTTCCCACCTTAATTCTCCTTCTCAAACGATCCTTCGCCTCTCTTTATAATACCAGGGATATTAATCCGTTGAGAAATTCAATGGATTTTGGTGGACCTGATTTGATCCAATCGTTCGATGGATGTTGGATTTTGTCATCCGATCCAATCCAATTAACATTGAACATTCGATCAAATCCAATCTCATGGATGATTGGATCGGATCGGATCGGATCGGTTCCATTCATTAGATATTGCTATTGGTTATCTACTGGATCGGATTAGAACCATCTAATAGTTTGATTTTCAATAAATTATTCATATATTGTCTTGATTTATTTAAAATACTATGAATAAATATCAACCAAAAATAATATTGTAAAATCCTGATAACTATATATAGTTAACTTCTGGATGATAGTTATATGGTAATTAGATGTTCACTAGATTGGATCGGTTCGATTTATTGGATTTTGGACTGACATCCAGGAACCGACCGATCCAGTTTGGATGTCGAAATTTGTATACAATTTAATTTGATTATAATTGAATACTGATTATGGTCAGTTCGTTTTAATTATATCGGATGACTTTCTACACACCTCTAATTCATACCCCTCCTTTAAGTGGTGTGTGAACAAGGAAAGGGGTGAGAAATAAGGTGGTATTGAATGAAGAGGGTTATGAACAACATCCTTGTTTAAATCATAAAACAATATTTTATTATGAAACAGTAATGTGACCATAATAAGTATAATTCAATAGACGATTTCTAGTATCATGTTTGATTCCCGACTTTAGCTATTGATTGTTAAGATATGGAAGTAAATATGTATGAAGGCTCGTTATCTGAATCTAGATCGAGCTCAACTTGACGACCAATCCTTCAATCATCAAAGACGGGTTCAGGGACAATCATTCGTGCCTAAAGACACACGGTCCACATTCTTTAGTCCATGTGCGCCGTACATATACGTGACTGGACTGGATGGATGAGACAGGGTTGGAAGGACGAGAGTGAGGTATGAGTGAAAATTTTCAGAAAGGTTATATGTACCACTCTTATTCCATCTTCCTTATTTTCGTTCCACCTATTTAGGCGGGACAAAAAGAAATGCATTTTTCCCCACTCAGTAAGGTCCTGTCTAACATGATACCATACCAAACGTGGGACAATAAGTTTTTATTTTATCATGTGCCACATACCAAACACACCCTTAAAAGACCGATGAAAGATTGAATTGAGCCCGAGCAACACCCCACATAATGACTAATTTCAAAAACCCAACGACTAGTTGTTGATAAAAGGGTATTTTTTATTAAACAAATAAAATCAGTTTGGTCATAACTGATCAGGGTCGTCAAACCTAGTTTGATCCTAGTTTTCAACCTAAATACCGATTTTTTTTGCGTAATCAGATCGGAGCCTATCAGAATCGATCGTAACCGGCCCTTGTGTATTTCTACGTGAATTTAAATAATCATTACAAATATTATTTCTCTATCTTAATTGTGATTTAGGGGTCATTTACCTAAACACTTACCTGGTAAGCACTTATCGGTAAAATTCAACACTATTGTTTTCTTATCGGGTAAGATTTTATTCACTAAAACGCATCATATGCAACAATTTATCACGGTAAGCGCTAACCATAAAAAGAGTCATCGTCCTCACTTATCAGGTAAGACTCTCGATTATTGCTTTCGCTCTCACCGGATAAGATTTTTAGTCTTTGTCATATTCATCATTAAAGTAAAATGATTTGGTAAGCGTTTACCCGGGTAAGCGTTTGATAAACGGTACCTCTATATTTGGGCTTTATATAAATAGCTTATTGGGCCTAATAGATATATGATTCTCGGCCCGATCGGCTATTTGAATTTGCTTCTTAATTCTTAAAGCACAACTATCAAGGATTGTCGCATCCCATCTACCCGCCAGTTTCATAGTTTAAAGCTCTTCCTTTCCTCCTCAGCTGCCATGGACGTCACTCCTTTAATTGAGTTTCAACAAGAGGAGATAGACATCAAGATCAGAATTCAAATTAATAGGTACGAATATTACCAGGTAATTAGAAAATCATCAAAAATGCATGTTCTATACATATTTTTATGCATTTATTTTGCGCTGTTAGTGATTTCTTCAGTTTTGGTGAAATCAGATCTAATTTGAGATAGATCTTCGTAATCTGTTACTCGAATTGGTTTGATTATCGGTTTCGTTCCAAACAGGTTGTGTGCAAACGAATTTTGTAAAACCCTAACAAAAAATGGTTGATAGCAATGGATATCGGATTATTTGTTAACTAGCATATTATGAGGTTCCGATACTCCCTTTCCTCTGCTGAAAAAATATTATCGTTGAAGTTGTAGAAGCATAAGTACCTGAACCTGGAAACATCGGAAATATGAAATCAGAAATATGAAACTAGCTGAAAGGGGAATTCCTTCCATATACGTAGGTTTCTAGCATTAATCAAAACATAAATTGAAAACTATGGAGTTCCATCTATCTGGATCATGCTAGAGAATCTAAGTTTCTGTAGATGTACGAATCTAAGAAAGTACGAATAGAACTCAAATCACTTATGCTCACACATAGATAATCCATTCATCTCAGGGCACCAAACATTAACTTATGGATTTTTATGGTTCTGTTGATACATTTGATATATTTCTTGTATAGATGCATCAAAATTATACAAGTTCTATCGATCTACCTCTATGGGATGAATTTAATTTATAAGAAATACTCGGAAACCAGATTCATCGACCCCTTAGCGCGTTCTGGTCACCTGAACAAGTCTCACCAGACGAAAGGATTGAGGTATCAACCATAAATCTGTAAATTTAATCGTCTCAACCATAATGAGTGTAAAATCATATGATAAACATCATATCTTTTTGCTGGATTATTCACCAAAAAATGTCGTTGTACCATTTTAACATTCTCCTGCAACCTCGTATACTTATCATCCGATATTCCCAACAAAATCTTCTTCAAATTTGGTATTTCACTCACCAACACTCGGACTGAAAATGCATCCCAGTTGAGAACGTCACTAAATGGTAGAACATAGTGCTGAGAAATCAACACGGGTACACACTCAGCATAGATTGCTTCTGTTATTCGTGGACTAGCCACTTCAAACCCGCTAGGGCATAAGCAAAACCGGCTCGTTTTCATCATTTCATGATATGAGACGTTTTTAGGCACTCTATCGTACAACTGTATGTCTTGGTCTTTATCTTTCCAGTGTTGGAAAAGCAGTGGCCTAATCTTGCCATGAAATTGGCCACCCGCAAAGAAAGCCAGGGTTGTACGGTTAGATGCAGGTAGACCTCCAGTAATCGTGGTCGTCTCACCTATATGAAGACTGATTTCTGGGATTGATGCGTCTTTTCTTGGATTGAAAAACTCAGAGGTATTTGCATTGCATAGTAGCCGTATCGAAGTGAAATATAAGGAATGAACATACCATGTTGCTCTAGGCCCCTGCACCATCACAAGAATCATAATAACTCCTTAGTTTACACCCTCATCAGTGGTTACCGTACTAATTTCTGGAACCACTACAACAAAAACCGCTATATAGGACATCAAAAATGTTTAAAGATCCTAATAGATCGCTTTAAAGGAGTAAAAGACTTCGGTTTATAGCACCAAACAATTGTGTCTTATTAAAAATGTTACAATAAGTTAATGGGACAATTTTGGATGTCCCAACGAGTCTTCTAGGACACTTCAGAAATAAAACCCCCTATTACCTTTCTTATAAGACAGTTTTGAGGAATGTAACATATCTTTGTATAAGACACTTCTTTTTATAAGACATTTTTTCAAATAATGTCATATAGAAAGACTAATATGTCGTTTTGTTTCGAAAGTGTCTTATCAACTTATTGTAACACTTTTACATAATATACATGATTGTTTGGTCCTATAAACTTAAATCCTATGAAACAATATCTAGCAAGACATTTATACATATTTGATGTCTACAAAAGCCGATAATATGTAGTGAACGGTCAGAATTAGACAAGTTTTAGAACGTGTCTCTGCACATAGCAGAAATCTTTGACATGGATTTGAGTAATTACCTACCCAATCATGGCAAGAAAGCATGAAATGGTCGGATCCAAGGCTTCGGTTCCAGTAGGGGTACCTTGATGAAACTGTGTGCACATAATCACCGATAACACGCCCTAAGACAGCTTTGTCACGGATGATGGGATCGAAAAGGTTATCGAGGATCATGGCGACACTAAATGGGAGGAAATAGACATGAGCTCGGTCTGGGTCAGAGATCCGAAAATGAGGGTCGTTCTCCATGTAGTTGAGAAAGAGTCCTTCGATGGAGTAAATGTTATTGGTAGGACCTGTATGGAATAAGGGTGGTTCTCCCTCTTCATGGACGTATACTTTGAATAGCTTCTCCATCAATAAGTAACTCCTGCATGGAAAACAAATAGCGTTAGGGCCGTTTACCAAGTGCTTATCGGCAAAAAATCAACACTATCACTTACTTACCAGGTTAGGTTTTGGTCCACCAAAACAGTATCATATACAACAATTTACCCAATAAGCGCTAACCATGGTAAGAGACGTCGCGTCGTCGCCCTCACCCCTCGCTCTTACCGGGTAAGATTATTGGTTCTTGCCATATTCATTCTGTAAGGTAATGTGACTTGGTAAGCGCTTACTTCGGTAAGCATTTCGTAAACGGCCTATTTTCCTAAATCTCGTTTGCCTAAAAGACTTGTATCTTAGCATGGCTTAGGGGTTGTTTGACAGTTGCTGAATGATTTGGTGCAAAATGATTAAGAGACTCTCATGATATAATGCAAAATGAAATATAATTGTTTGGTAATTGTTTACAATGAAATTAGGGTGGTGAATGGTTAAGGGAGACCCATAATACAAAATCATTCAGAGGCCACCTCTTAATGAAACTATTAAGAGGTAAACAAACAACCCATTAGATACGGTTTGGCTTGGTTGGTTTAACAATTCTATATAAAGGAATAGGAATTGGTCCGGTCACCGGCTAAGAACTTACCGGGTGTCACTTGCCTTAATTAGCAGACGGACATGATAAGTACCAAGGATCGTACCTCATAACCGAGGGCAAAGACTCTTGTCCGATAAGCGCTTATCGGGTAAAAGACGCTTACTAACTATCCATTTTGATGGCTGAACATGTTACCTGATAAGGTAAGTTAGGGTTGTGGTGACTAAACGTTTGGTAAAGAGTACCTTAGATCATATATCAAAATCGTCTAGTTGAAACACAAAATATATGCACACACACACCTCTCTCTCTCTCTCTATATATATATATATATATTGGACCTTCTTTTGAAAACACTCTAAATCATGAACTTTGAGAACCAATGCATAATGTGTAATTTCATATGTTTTTTTTATCTATGGCTAGAATTTATTGTAGTAATTAACATATATTTGTTTCACAAGTACTCGGTTTACAATGTGAACTTTTTCGACGTGTTTGTGAAACAAAAAATACACATAAAAAAAGTTTCACATTTGTCAACCAAATACATTTGAAACAAACACATTATGAAACAAATATATGTTAATTAATACAATAAATACTATATTTAAATGGAAAAAATCACATGAAACAAAACTTTAAGATAGAAGTTATCACAGATCTCCCAAATTTTGGAGATCTCAAATGATTAAACAAAATGTACAATTTTTTGATCTCCTCGTACAATCAAGTTGAAACAGAATTATAGCATTACTTGGCATGGTAATTTATTATGTTAAGGGGTTGTTTGGTATTTGTTAAATTGGTTTGGTGCATAATAATTAAGAGGCTCTCATGATATAGTCCAAAATTAATATAATTGTTTACGATGAAATTAGAGCGGTGAATGGTTTAGGGAGACCCATGATACAAAATCATTTAGAAGGTTTTAGAACCATTAAGAGACAAACTTTTTTTTTGCCAAACAAGATTCATCTCTTAATGATTCAGAAACTATATCTTAATGAAACCATTAAGAAGGTATTAATAATCAATTGATGGTTGAGGAATGGTAGGAACTGAAATTATCAGAAGTTAAAGGGGTGATTGTAATTAAGTGGGTGAATCATCCATTTTTAAGACGTTTGGGATATAAAAACTTGAAATACATCATCTCCCCTAGGTTAGTTACAAAAGGATATGTTAAATAGGCAGATGGCTGATTTGCATAAGTTGGGGAAAAGATAGATTCAAGATATCCATACTTTTGATTTTATAAAACCTTGTTTTTGGTTCTAAAATAAAGGACTCATTAACGTTTTTGTAGTAGTGGGAAGAAAGTTTAAGGGAATGTTTTATGTCGGAATGTTCAATGATATATTTGATTTTCTTACTTTTTTTTAGTGTTTTACTGTATAGTTTTTAGTAAATAACCTAATTTATATTGTTAAATATTATTGATCTATTGAGTAATACTAAAAAAAAGATACGTTTATATATATTATATTATATTATATGATATAAAAATTTCTCATCATAAGTCGAGCCTAATAACGTAGTATCTGCGTTATGCCTTCCAAGGATTGAGGTTTGAACTCACTTATAAAATTTAAGTAAACATGACAGTTTTAGCACATTTATTTGGAAATGGGTAAATTAAAGTTATTTACTAATGAGGTTTATGTTCCGGTGAGAGTGAAAGTTATATTGAGAAGTGTAAGAATGAGATCTCCATTCTCGGATCAATTAGATCAATTCTATTTTAAAGTGAAATTCATGAGTTATTATAAGATTAAAAATGATCAAAGTATTAAATCTCTTTTTATACTTTTCACTTAAACTCCTATTCTCATACGATATTTCGTCTTGACGGCACCTTAAAATAAAACAATTAAATAAAAAGAAAACAAGTCAAATGTTCTAAAAGTCGCCATATATATTTTCAAGAAAAAACTAGATCATTATTTTATTAATTATTAATTATATATTTAATATATTAATTATGTTTATTCAATGTTATAAGAACCATATGAGATGAAAGATATTTAGTCCAAGCATGGAGATAGAATGTGAGACAAGTGGCTGAATGAGGAGATAGAATGTGAGACAAGTGGCTGAATGAGGAGATAGAAAGTGAGATTATATATTACTTTGAATGTATAAAAATATAAGGTGCACGATAGATATATAGCCATTTGTCGTCGTCATGGCTATCATAATCTTTATGCAAAGTTAGGTTATGTGTCAAAGTTGGTTATATGTCCTCTTCAATTTTGGACCCATTTACTAAGCTTATTTTTAAGTGTTTATTATGTTAACTATTTTATTGAATGAATATGACAAGAATCGATAATCTTACTTGGTAAGATCGATGATAAGGATTGATAATATTACCTAGTAAGTGAGTGATGACGACTCTTACCCGGTTAACTTTCATCGGGTAATTTGTTACATGCTAGAATCTTACTGGTTTTGATAAACTAGCGGACGTGTTGATTCTTATATGCTCGAGTAAACGACTTCTTATTTGATAAAAATGGTATAGGGCATTACAGTAAATTTGGTTTATTATGCATTCATTGTTTTAATAAAGTATTTGGTAAAACTTTTAAAGTTTATATGATTAAAATTGTATAATAAATTGTTAGAACAAAATCAAGTAATCTAACAATTTTTATTCTTATTAAAAAAAAGTCGTGAGAATGAATAACCTAAGTAAAATGTCATGTTAGTTTTTTGTTTTACTTAAGTTATCCAAATTTATCGAGTAACATTTCCTGCAATCAAAATGCATTAATAGTAAGCGTTTTATCACTCGATAAACATTTATCGGGTAAGTGTCACCACCCTCATTACTAGATAAGACTCTTAATCATTCCCTAAGACTCCCGACCCTTCGATGCTTATCCAGTAAGGTAGTAGACCCAGTGAACACTTATCCGGTAAATGTTTAGTAAAATCCTCATAAAACCCACCAACAAACTGGAACAAAAGAGGACTAGAAAATGAGTTTAACATGTCAAATATTTAGGGTCTATTTTGCTCATGATAAGGAATGAAAAGAGAATAAATTTTGGCCTTTTTGGAGAATGGATTCATTATATTACAAAAAACCAAACAAATTTTTTTTTCCATTAATTAGTGCTTAATACCTCTAACTCTAACCAAACATCCCTTATTATTATGTTAAGATCTAATTCTTTTATAGACAACAATATATGAGAGTGTAAACACTTATGTGAAGATAAATAAAAAATGGTCATATGAGAGAAGTATAATAAAAAAATTATCAGTTCTTTTTACCTTTGTAATTTGTACAAATTATATATATATATATATATATAGAGAGAGAGAGAGAGAGAGAGAGAGAGATGAGCGATCAAATACAAACCACCTTTATCGGTCAATTTTATTGTTTATTCTTATGAAAAAAAAATTCATGAAATTGTTTAATCTTGTAAAATTGTTTCATATATGGTTATAAAATTTTAATGAAATTGTTTCATGTATTTTTCTAAAATTAAAATAATGAAGATGATAATATCTATGATTAACACATTTCACAATAAAAATGATTAACTAACCTCTCATAATTACAAAAAAAATAAACAAAATAAAAAATTATGATTAATTAAATGAGGTTTGTACGGTTTATACAAATAACATGGTTTAGAAAGTAAACTTCCCATCTCTCTCTATATTTTTCACAAATGAAAGTTACCTTAAAAAAGAGTGATTTTAACAAGGATTATTAGGAAGCCACAAACTAACGACCGACAAAGCAGGCGCAGATTTTTGTTAGACATGTGAAATATTAGGGTATCATATTTCTTACAAAAATTAACGAATGGGGCAACCTTAATGGCCGAGAATCCTGCATCTTATTTTTAATGTCTCATTAATTGCTTCAAAATTAGATAAAACATTATTTTCATGCTACAGATATATAAAATAATTTCAACACTTGATACCCCAATCATTTAATATATAATATTTTCATTTTAATAATTTATTAAAATCCATGTCGCCTTTTCCATTTTCCTAAAATTTCTATAATATTTTAATTTTATTAGATCGCGATTTTTTTTCAATTATCTGTCAATTTATTAATTGCAAGACAGTCCCTCGTGCATCATATTGACGTATTCCATTGTTTTCATTCATCAAAAATAGTATAATATTTTCGCAAAAATAGTATATATGAATAAATTGATACTATCTATATATTATATTATAAAACATCTGATAAAAATTCTTAAAAAACATTTTTTATGCATTAACTATTATTTATTGATGCATATTACTTAAAATTCAAGATAAGTAAATTATGCATTTGTACAACTTATTAAAACTCCATATTTGAATTCATGTAACTAACTGCAGATAAACATAGTCAAATATTGGATATGAATCGTATTTTAAATATAAAAAATTTCAAATATATTTAAGATAATTATTGAATTATAACAAAATACTATAAAAAAACTATATCATTATACCTAAAATAAATGACTTCATTATTAAATCTAAATTATAATAAAAAAATTGAATTAAAGAAATTACACAAAAAAAAACTTTTAAAATTTTAATTTAATACTAAAATCGATATATTTAAAAAAAAAAATTATTATACCTTCAAATTCATATTTTATTCAAAAAATAAACACATTATAGTTTTTTAGTACCACGTAAAATCGCATTATAATATCGACGAAGACAGAATAAAACAAAACATTAAAATCGAGATATATCTTACTGTATTGCGTGAATATCATTTTTCTTACAAAAATTTCCTTAAATATATAATAAACAATTTTATACTTTTCTTCAAAAAGACCAATAAAATTTTTACAATAAGACATTAGGACTAATTTGAACATTCTAACATCTTTAATTTTTAGGATGATTATAAAATAAAATATCCTATTATTTTTTTATTGAACATTTTTAAAAAGTGTCATTTAATATATCGTGTCGACTTATTTAATATCTTTATATATAAAATAAAAAAATCCTATCAAATAATATATTATATTATTTAGATATATTAGACACGATATAAATTTGAATTAGTATGAAATGAAATTTTGAAAATATGTTTGTTTGAGATTGCTTATTTGAAACAATTTAGGGGTTGTTTGTTTTTTGTTTAATAGTTTTATTAAGAGACAATTTCCGAATCGTTAAAAGATGAATCTTATTTGGCAAAAAAAAAAAGAGTTTGTCTCTTAATGATTCTAAAACCTTCTGAATGATTTTGTATCACGTGTCTCACTTAACCATTAAGCACCCTAATTTCATTGTAAACAATTACCAAACAATTACATTTCATTTTGCACTATATCATGAGAGTCTCTTAATCATTCTGCACCAAACCATTCAGCAACTGTCAACCGACCTCTTATATTTTTCTACAAATGTTCTTTTCAACTTATTATAAGTTAGAATGATTTAACGTCATGCTTTAATTAATTAATATATGTATAGTAAATTAGTAGTAATTATTGATGGTTTACCTTCTAACAATATGTAATATTCCACCGATAACAAAAAAGGAAAGAAAAGAATGTTATAAATAGGGGTGAGCAGCGGAACCGGGTACCCGGCTATGGAACTGCAACCGCCTTGGAACCGTTGGTCTGGGAACTGGAACCGATATGAGTGGTTCCGGTTCCTAAAATACGGAACCGATTGAGAATGGTTCTGGTTCCGGTTCTCAATTTTTCGGAATCGTTACCCGTCGGGTACCCAATATTTTTCAATAAAAAAATATTTATTATTTTTTAATACCAAATTTATATTAGGTTTACATCTTGAAAGCACGCCGTCATCTTCATTCTTCATCTAAATTCTTTATATAGAATGATTCGTATTTTTTCAAATTGTGTGTTCACTTGGATTCATAGTATGTAATCATTATAAACTTTGAACATTTACCATTATAGTATGTAATCGTCTAACTTTGAACATTTTCTATTAGTCTATTATGGTTCGTAATCGTTAAACAATATGTGTAACAATTATTCTGTATAATTTGTATTCTTGTTTATTTATTCAGTGCTCTGGCAATGTTTTATTTTTTATTTCTAAATAACAAAATTTTAATATTTTAGGAAGCGGGTACCCGGAACCGGAACCGGAACCGATTCCCGACGGTTCCGATTCCGGTTCCAAAAATTTAAGAACCGCTCTAACCGGTTCCGGTTCCGGTTCCAATATCTCAAGAACCGCCGGTTCCGGTTCTTGACAAAAAGGGTGGGTCCCCATATGCTCACCCCTAGTTATAAACAGGAATGGAAGTAAAAATACCTGTGAAACATGGAAGGGTTTCTGTAGATACTTCCGCGAGGAACATAATCAGGATCAGATGAACGGCTGTGATTACTCTCACCGGCATCACTGATCAAAACCCTAGCTCTCCCAAGCTCCGCTTCTACCTTCTCCAGCTTCTTATCTCTCTTCATCTTGTTCTTCTTCTTCATTCTGAACAAGGTTTCGTCTTTCAATTCCTTCATCAATTTGCTAACCACCTTGTTCATCTTCCCGTTCTGCTTCTTACACGCATCAGAATCACACTAATTCCCCAAAAAAAAAAAAAAAACACATCATAATTATAATTAATCCAACATATCTAATCAATCAATCAAAACATAATTACGATCGAGAAAGTAGTACTGATCGGATCGATGAATTACATGGAACATGGAGTAGAGAGCCGTTTTAGGGTTTATTAACGGTGGTGGTGGTGATGGTGGTGGATGGTGGAGATTTATGGAAGGAATAGAGAAATTTAGAGATGAAGAGGACGACGTCGTCCATCGCCATGGCCATGGTGAAGAAGGTAGAGAGAGGAGAGAGAAGCGGTTGGAGGCGTAGGAGATGGAACCGACGAAAACTACAGCAAAGAGTGTAAGGGAGACGAGCGTAGACCATTGATAGTTTGATCTACAAATCTGCAACTTGATCATGTTAATTATGGATCGATCTGTTGATTTGCTTGTGTTTCTCTCTCTACACAGAGAGAGAGAGAGATGGGGGAGGAAAACGTGAAAAGGAAGTGGGATCAAGAACCCCAGGTGGTTCGGTTTGCATGGAATTCGGAAGCTTCCGATTCTTTTGAAAATGTCCAAATTTTTTTAATAGATATATATTTTTAATAAATTATTCCAACTTAATTAACCCCAGTTTTCTATAACATATTTCAAATATTATATATACCAATAAGTTATAATTGATATACAAAATTTTATATCATGTATTAATCAACTAAATTGGTATCAACTTTTTTGGGTTGGTGCAAGTTGGTATAATTTTGATACCAACAAAAAGTTGAAGTTGCAAGTTTATTTATGGGAAAAATTGTACCAAAATGGAATAACTTTCATCTGATTTTTATTTTGGGGAACCAACTTTCAAAATTGTCATTTAAGGGTCTCTATCAAACTTTTTGTTTATTTAAGGGTCTGGTTAACCTATTGACCTGTTAATGCTGACATCATCCAGAACTTTTGTCAACTAAGATATTTCACGTCATATTAATTTTTTATTTTAAAACTAATATTCAACGTCATATTAATTTTTTATTTTAAAACTAATATTTCATGTCATATTTAAAATTATAAAATAATTATAGAAAAATAACTAAAATTCGTTTTTTTAAATTATTGTAATAAAATCTATTTTTCATTTGAAATCTCGTTTTTTTTAAATCAGATATAAATTGAAATTTTGTCAAAAAAAAATTCAAATTACCAAAAAAATCAGATATCAAATGTGTCTTTAGGGTCTGTTTGGCTCATGCCGAGAAATGAAAATAGGAATGAAAATGACAATGACAGGGAATGGAAATGGGAATAAATTTTCATTCCCCCCAATTTAACCAGGAATGAAATTTTGGGCTTCTGGGGGGAATGAACCCATTATATTATAGAAAACCAAACAGTTTCTTTTATTTTCATTCCCATTGATTACTGCTTAATACCTCTAACCAAACACCCCCTTAATTTCATTAGTTGAGGTTTGATTTTGAGAAATAAAAAAAATGGAAGCACCAAAGTAAGTGCAAAAGTCAAACTTTTCAATATTTGGCAGTTACTGAATGGTTTGATGCAAAATGATTAATAGGCTCTCATGATATAGTGCAAAATGAAATATAATTGTTTGGTAATTGCTTAGAATGAAATATGGCTCTTAATGGTTAAGGGAGACCCATGATACGAAATTATTCAGAGAGTTTTAGAACCATTAAGAACCAGACTTTTTTTTTTTACCAAACCAGATTTACCTCTTAACGTTTCAGAAGTTGTCTCTTAATGTAACTATTAAAAGGTAACAAACAACCCATAAGTGAAAAATCAGAAGCTTTCTTTGATGTTTGTAGTAGCATCTTTTAACATAAATACAGCACCAAAATTGTGAGTCAATTCAAGAATCATAAACCAAACATGTATCAATAATTCTCATAAGTTTATAAATTAATTTTCGATCTATTGATTTATATATAAAACAACACATATAAAAAATGATATTTGTACAGTGTTGTTTCATATGTAAAATGTTTTAACCTATTTATATATATAAAACAACATTGTATAAACACTTGTATTTTTTTCATGTGTGTTCTTTCATTGTTCTTTCATTTGTAAAACAACACATGAAAAAGTTTTTATAAATTTATACAGTTATTGGATTTGTAAATGATGACAAATATTTACATTGGATTTCATAGAATAATCAAAGGTTTAATCCTATAAGTTTTGAATCTAAGGAGTCGGTTACTAAACGCTTACTTGATAAGTGCTTACCGGGTAATTTTCCTTACCGGATGAACATGACAAAGGTCAAAAATCTTACCCAGGTGATGACTCTTACACGGGTAAATTGTTGTATATGATATTATTTTGATGTACTATAATCTTACCTTTAAAATAAATTATAGTGTTGACTCCTAACGATCTATACTTACCGAGTAAACATTTAAGTAAACTACCCCTAACTCCTAAATTACATAAATATATACAATAACCATGCATAGGGTGTGGATTGACCTTTGTTTTATGTTATTTGTTTAAGAAGTTACATAATTTTAAATATTAAATGGATAAATCAAATACCAAAAATAAGCAACTTGTATATCTTGTTATGATTTCACTAGAATCGATTAGAAGTGATCATTTGTGGGTCTGGGTTGGATCTAGGTCAGGCCTAACTTGGTTTTTTGGTCCAACGGGATTAATATTGTAAACTCAAGTTTTTTTTCCTGGGTTTGACAACTTTTCATTGTCCATCCGATAAATGGGTCGGGCTTGCCCACGGGTTAATGAGCCTAAAAGGTGTAACTATTATAAATTTATAAACTTGATCACTAGCAATTAATTAACAAATGTGGAACAAAAAAGTAAAGGAAAAACACCATTTCAATTAAAATTTTAAGCAACTAAAGTAACACTAAAGAAAGAAAAACAAACAACCCCATAGCCTTTTGTGTAATCAAGAATAACTAAAGAGTTTCATCCTATAACTTTAATAATTTAATTTTAAAATATACTAGTATAATTTTAATTAATGGTAAAAAAATATTAATTATAAAATATAAACGGGCTGGATGGGTCTGTCCTTTTTTATTTTTACATTGTCCATGTCCGCCCGTTAATTTTAACGAACAAACCCGGGTCCTTTCATTTTTTCGATAATGGTTGTCCAAGACCTATTTCTAACAGGCAGGATGAGCCGGATCTAACGAATCGTCCCGCCCTTGAACAACTTTAAAATCAACGCATCATACATGACTCATAATTAAATAATACTATTCAACATCTTATGTTTAGTATTTAAAATCATATAAAAATTAAGTCTTGATATTAATAATATATTAAAAATAAGTACTCGTACAATAAATAATACATGAAAAATATCATAATTAAAAGTGCATTCAGCAATATATACAGATGCATTTAGCGCATCTCTATTTTATCTGTATGATAAATAACCGTCTTCATTTCACATTCCACTTCATCTTTGTTTGGATGATGTTCATTCACACGTGCAAGCACAAAAAGACGATCATGTCCATATAACCACAAAGATGATGTCTGATTGGTTTTAAGTGTGCATTTAACAAGTAGTAATTACGCCTTTTGCCCTATGTACCCCTTCGGTTTCGTCATTCCGGTAAATCAAGAGCAAACTTGAAATTAAAAGCATGAACAATAGGAAAAGTCTTGTTGGTGCGAATATCTCCGCCCCGTTTATTATGATAACCGGGAAAATCGCTTTTCTGAAAATCGACCTTCTCCTTCAACTTAAGACCAGCTTCACCAGCCAACAAAACCACATTCCATCTGTTATATGGATTATCATCTCTGTGCCTCATATGCACCTCTCCCCCTTCATTCAACATCTTGCTTGCACTCTTAAAGTAAGCTCTCACCAACTTCTTATGCCTCCTGTGATATATATACATACATATATATATATATATACACATATACATACATATATATATATATATATAGTACAACACAATTAGGCACACCAATATATGCATTCGTGTTTCTCCTATTTCTCCTCAGGGATCTTTATGGGGGTTCAACATATTTTGGTATCAGAGCCAAGGTGGACCACTTTAGGGACTCAACACTCTAGCTAGCCTTTTATTGACATCATGAGATAATTTGTGTCCATCTAGCTTCAATTTAAGGGGGGGTGGGG